GACCAATTGCAGTCGTTAACAGTCAACAGGTTTAGCACACCTATCAGCCAATCACCCATTCCCACCACCCTTCTGAGTAATACCCCTCCCCACCCTCTCACTATATATAAGGGTCTGGTGACTTTTGTTTCAGTGTATCTGAAGAAGTGTGCATGCACGCGAAAGCTCATACCAATAACAGATTTAGTTGGTCTCTAAGGTGCTACTGGAGGGATTTTTTAAATTTTATCATAGACAAAGTCCAAGCTTTTATTTGTCCATCACCTTGCTCTTTGGGGGGCAAAACAGGGTCTTTGAGCTGTACATCAGCACTGCTAACAAATATATAATCATCAACTAGTTCTCTTGCATATGGGTTACCAATCCACCTTCTGCTAGTGATTTTATTTGCTCACCTCCTTAAAAAAAAAATCATATTTGAAGTTTGGTATAATCCCTTCATTCCAGTTTTAACTGTATCAAAGCATGGTTAAGTGTAACAATCCTATATTACTTCCTTGCTTATCTGTCACCACCTCCCTCATCCTCCATGGTGTGCTGAATTTAAGATAGTAAGCTCCTCGGAAAGGGGCCAGCCCCCTTATACATTGAAAAACACCATGTATACACATACAATGTTAATTATAATCTATTTTATTCAATTAGGCCACAATTTTCAGAGAAGGGAAGATGGCTGGGGGGGGGGGTTAGGTCAATAATAAAGTCAAATGGTTAAAAACAAGGGATTGTAGCCAATGCTAATTTTACTCAGAGTAGACACATTGACATTAATAAGCACAACTTAGGTCCAGGAGTTCCCATGGGTCTACTCTGATTGGACCTTAGTTCGATACAACCCATTTTGATTTTTTTTAAAAGCTCAACAGATCAAAGCATTCTAAAATAAGCATTATGTGCCACACAAATTGCTTTTGGAGTTTATAGCTCTGGGTTACTGTACACTGATGAGTTCTGAAGTGGAGCTTCTCAAACTGGTTACACTGAGCAAGGTTTCCTAAAGTTGCAGTATCTTGGATACAGCTTTTTTCTGGATTAAAATCAGAAGCAAACTTCACTCCACTTTTTAAAAAGTGATTTCTTCATAATGGAACAATGAGCAGTCAGGTAGAAGATTAAATACTGCATATGCCCCAGTTATTTAAAGTATTTTTACCCCACTTATCAGTGGCAAAAAGGCTCCCAGAATGTAATATAAATATAGATATAAATAATAAGACAATCCTTGTCCCTCAGGAATAAAATAAAAAATGCACAATATAAATGGAAAAAGAATTGGGATGGAAGAGGGGAAATAAGCCATTTTCATAATGGCTACTATTGGTAATGGAATGCTGCACTAAACAGACTTTAGTCTGACCCTGCAGAGCCAAGTCATATGCTCTTATGGTGATGCTCAATTGTGTGTAGTTTCTCCAGTTTTCTTAGTTTACGAAATGTAGCCACAGGTGTAGCCTTCTGTGATGGAAGACTAAGTTGAGTGTGTGAGACAGGGGCTGCTTAACCCTTTCCCCCCAGATATTTCTCACAATCTTCTCCAGCTGTTTTACCTTGCAGTGGGGGGGGGTTATGGTTAGACAAAAAGAAACATGTACCTGTATTTTTGCCCCTCTGGATGAGAGGGAAGAAAGGAGTTTTGTAAGGAACAATTTTAGCAGGGGTGACCCCTCTCCTTATTTGGCAGCTGACACTTTGGCAAATGCATTTTATAAAAGAAGAAACTCAGAGAATAAATACTTGGAATAATAATTTCCCCAAATGTGGGCGTTTTTAGACAACTGACACCTGGGAAAGGTGTTTAATAGTCCTTAGAAGTCTGTGTGTGTCTGCCTAAGCCCTTAGACATTACTTCATGCTCTCACATATGAAGCATCTGGTTTGTGCAAAGTGAATGACTGCTTTAATCTAGCTTCAAATAGGCAAGTATTAGAAGAAGAAAAAAATCCACTTACTGTTTGGATAAAGGTCAGAGTTGCCTCATCTGAAGTCATGTAGAGACCTCTTGCAGGTTCTGCATGATGCTGTGACCTGCGGAGTGTGGCATGAGGATGGAGTTTGGAATTATCTAGCAAAGCATTTATGCATATTGTCATAATTTTATAAAAGTCTTTTTTTAAAAAAAACAACTTAATACCATCACCGCTTAAAATTAAATAATTCAGCATCCTACAAACCAAAGTATAAGCATGGTTTTGCAAATCCTATTTGACTTTCATGAAGCTTTATTTTACTTTAGAACAACAAAAAGCAGTTCTCATTATTTTGTTCTTAAAAATTAGCTTACCAGAGGCTGATGCTTTCAGCTACAGTACAGGGAGGCCCACACTGGCAAGCCCTCTGAAAACAAGAATTCTGCCTTGTCTTTGGGTTATATAGATGGTAACTACCAACAATTGTGCTAGATCATGTAGCCTTACTTTATGACGGAAGAGACGTATTTGTTTGGCTTTTTCAGTCCAATATACAAAGGGAGATGGAAAAATCCATGGATAGTTTGGTTAGATAATGGTCTGGTAACACCAAGGCCACAGGCTCGATTCCTATATGGGACAGCAGCATATTCCTGCATTGCAAGGAGTTGGACTCGATGATCCTCAGGGTCCCTTCCAGCTCTACAGTTCTAAGATTCTGTGTGCACCGCCATAGACACCATGCATGGCAATATTTGGTAAATGGATGCCTTTATTCATGAGCAGCAAAAGGGAAAAACTGCATACACACAAAATCACACTATGCTTGCCCTGATGGAACAATTGCCAAGATTCTTAAGGTATACTGGTACAAGGAAATTTAGGACTTTAAAAATCAGTACCTTGATTTATTATTTTTACTTATCTCTCTATACTTTAGAGGCCTTCCTTATACTTTAGAATACATGGTTCATTTATTATTCCTTGTTTAAACATGTTGTTTTAGCTTCTCTGTTTAAAAATTACTTTCCAAACATGAAGTTTTCATTAGTTCTACAGTTTCTTCTATATATATATATATATATATATATATACACACACACAAACATATATATGAGAACAGTTTTAGACAGACTTAAGCAGGCAGTTTCTGCACTCGACCAAGCATGGTTTAAATTTCATAACTGACATTTACTTGCCTAGTATCCTGTTACAGCATAAGAAGCCAGTCTACAAGAGTGGCTGTGATATAAATATAGCTTTTCAAGACTTCTTGCACTTTCTTAGACAAGGTCACATAAATCTGATCTCTTATTTAAATTATAAGCCTGTTTTTAGTAGGCAGTTGTAACATTTCCTCATAGGCGTTTTGAAACTTTTTCAATTCTCCCTTTTGAAATGTGAAAACCAGAACCGTACACAGTACTCCAAGTGCAGTTGTACCAAAGATATGTATTGGCTCGGTTTTTCTCAATTCTTTATCTAGTTAACCCTGACATGGTAATCATTTTTTCCATAGGTGTCATACATTGTGTTGCCATTTTCATTGAACTATGCACCACTGCTCCTAGCCAGTAACTGCCAGTTCAAAACTTGAAAACATATACATCAAATTAGGATTTTTTACCCCAATGTACATCACTTTATACTTGCTTACATTCACTCACATTGGCTATTTTGATGCTCATTCATCCAGTTTGGAAGGCTGCTTCTGGAGCTCCTTTCTGTTCTTACTGTCATAAACAATTTGGGATCGTCAGCAAACTTTGCTACCTTATTGCTCATTCCTAACTCTTGGCCATTTATAAACAAGTTTAAAAACAGCAATCCAAATAATGATCCTATTCTTATATCCCTTCTTTGTAAGAACTCTCCATTTATTCCTACTCTCTGCTTCCTGTTCTGTAGACACTTACTGGTTCCTAACAGGACCTGTCATTTCCCCTAACTGCTTATGAGTCTTTAATGGACATTGATGCACCAGATAAGCTCAGTATAAACTTAATATTGGATTTGTCTTCCCCATGGCAATGGTCACAACTTTGGCGGAGAAGCCATTGCATTAAATTCTTTAAGTTTAACATCAGGCGGGGGGTGCAGTGGTGCATCAACGCCACCACAGAACAGTGCAATAAGAGGGTACCCCTTAGAGGAGTCTAGTTGGAAGTCTCTGTCTAGGTGTATGGCAGATGGGCCACAGAGCTTTCTTCAGTGGCTTGGGAGGGTCATCCGTGTAAACCTGTGTCTTGGGGAGGACCCATTAATCCTAGGCTTGACTCTGTCATGTGCCTGCCCTCCACCAGCCCTCCAATGCCTAAGCCAAATCCAACCTACACCGGGAATCAATAAAGTTGTGGCCTAATTTTAAATTCCAGAACATTGCCCTGTCCAGTTTGTTCAGGGCCACTGCATCAACTGAAATGCCCTCTGTGCACCAGATAAGCTCAATATAAACTTAACATGGCCATTATCTCGGTCACACTGTTTTCTTCCATCAGAGTCGATGGACAATATGGCGAAGAAGAAAAGACCCTGTATCCACAGGGTGGACATGGTCTTTGAATCCTCTTTGAAATGCCCTCTGTGCACCAGATAAGCTCAATATAAACTTAAAATTGGATTGTGGTGTAAGCTGACAGCCCTTGCTTGAATCAGTATCTGAGCAAGCAAACAGCAGAGCAGTGGGAGCTGAAAGTGTTGGCAGCAGGGGTGCCAACTTGAATAACGTATGGGGGGGCAGGTAAGCCCTGCCCTGCATAATAGAACACATGACGCAGTACACACACACCATTATTATTTCCCCTGCATCTGATGTCAAGTGGATGCAGCTTGGCAGAAATAGTCTTATGGGCTAAATTGGGGCTGAGGAGCCTAATTAAATCTGCAGCTGGAAATTCCTCACCCCTGGCAAAATGACTTGCTAGCGATAGGGGTAGCAATGTGTAAACTTCCTGTTGGTTATTAGGAGGTTATTGGTTTGTTTTAGTTTTATTATATATTTTGTATTCTCATTTTCTGTTGAGAACCATCCTGGGATCTTTGAATGAAGGGTGGGATACTACACACACACCCCATACAATATCTACTGGATATGCTCAGTGTGTTATCATCTCAAAGATCTCTAAAAGGTTAGTTAGACAAGACTAACCCCCTGCAGAACCCATGCTGTTTCTCCTTCAGCAAGACTTATTCTTCCATATGCTTGGCAATCCTAGCTATAACAATGCTTTCCACCAGTTTTCCCATGACAGACATTAATTTTTCTCATGGATGGATGCCCTATGGATCAGCTGATTTGGCAGTTTTTATTTCATCAATAAAGTCTAGAATTTCATCTCTTGTCACCACTGTTTATTTCAGTTCCCAAGATTCCATTCCTTAGAAAGTTAGCTAAAGCACAGGGATCTCTTACATTGTTTGCATTCAAGATTGAATTCTTTGTATCTATGCAATCTCCTTTTCCTCCTTTAGCATGTCTTTGACTCCTTTGTCATCCAACAGTTGAACCGCCTCTCTAGCTGCTTTCCTCCTTTCATGTATTCAATATTATTTATTGTTGATCTTTTTTAAAAAATATATTTTTATTAAACAATTTCAACATAACAAATTATCAGTCCAAATAGTCAATTACATTATTTCCCCCCTTTTTTCCTCCCCATCCCTCCCACTCCCCCCCACCAAGGACTTCCATCAGCTCCCCTCTGATTTCTTTGCACATATTGCTCTCTGCATGTTATAAAATTGTACATATCCTTGCCTTATCTATCATGTGTTCAACTAATAAATTTGTGGATGCTTATTCAAAACCTGCCAAGGAGTCCAGATCATTTTGTTGTCTTTTTAGGTAATTTGTAAAATTATTTATTGTTGATCTTAATGCTTTAATGATGTGCTCCTTGAATTATTAATTTGCATCTTGGATTGTCTGCCTGATACTTTTTTCCTGTGTGTGTGTGTGTGTGTGTGTGTGTGGCAAAGTTTGCATTCCTGCATTCCTATATTACTCTTGGGCCCAGTATTGCCACCCACAGGAATTCCATGAAGGAGTCTGCCCTGTGGGGATTTCTAGTTTGCTTGACTCAAAATCACTGAGGTACAGAGCAACACCACCTCCAGTATGCCCTTCCCTATCCACTGTATAGTGTTCGTATCTCATACCATGCCTACCACATTTCCATTGTGCTCTCTGTATTCCTTGCTCTCCTTTAAAACCAAGCACTCCAGTCCACCCATCTTTATTCTAGCCAATCTCTAGCATGAGCATATAAACACCTATGCCAGCTCTCTTTTTCCAAATGCCTCTGGCACATGCCTTTCACCTTATGGCATTTGGTATCATCCTCTCACATTTGGACAATCAAACATTTTCACACACATCTCTTAGGGATGTTTTATCCTAAGCCAATACTTCTCAGCTCCTGTTGGCTTTCCCCAATCAGTTCAAAAGCCACTTTGCTACTTCTTTAGTTTAAGCACCAACAGTCTGGTCCCACCCTGAATGGAGGTACTCTTTAGAATGGAGGGGAAGAACTGATAAAAGTGCACACAGCCTGGTTTATTACAGCTCAGGTGAGCAAGCTTATGCCAGTTTACAATTCTCATACCCCAATCCAATTTAGAGCAAGGAATAGAGCTTGGAAAAAGCAACTTCTCATATATATAGATTCCACATATTAAGACTGTCATAAAAATAGTCATGCTAAATATTGCTTATTGTTGTATTAATTCTCACCACCCAAAGCCAGAACAATTAAAATGTTTTCACATTGCTTCCAAAAGATGGCAAACTCAGGTTTTGGCTACTCTTCAAAAATTTAAGTTAATTTTTGTGGATGAGCCATTGCAAATATTGCTCTGTAAATTCATTCTATATACTCCTCACATACTTGCCATAATCAACTGGACCCTCTTGGTATATCTTAGACATTGTAATATGAGGGGTTAATATTTAAAATATCATGGATTTTAGCTATCAAGGGCTCTGTAGGCCAAGTCCATCACCTACAGGAAGGATAGCACAGACAATGGATGCTACAGACAATGCACTGATTGTATTATTCACAAGGCTGAGAATGAGGTGGACCTGCAGGTGCAGTTTTTGCAGAGTCTTCATGACCAGTTGTACACAAACATGCAGCAATAGTACAGGTTTAAGATTATGAATGCATGATTGACCATTTCAGACCCAAATCCCAGATAAAAGGCCACAGCCAGCTTTGCAATCACAGAAAGCTGCAGTTTTGAAAGTGGAGCGAAGAAACTTTGATGTGAGGCATCATCTTCATATTGCACTCTGATGTTTGTCTTTATGCACAGAAATGTCTAGGAATATTAGAACATGTTTTTTGGATCAGGCCACCTCTGTTAAGTCCCCTGCTTATGTATGAAACTGTACAGAAAGGCAAAGGCTGAAGATTTGTGATAGATTCTTGAAAAGATAACCACAATAATCTAAAATGAGGAACAGATTCTTGGTTTTAAAAATGATGAGATAAATCAAGCCATCCATGTATCAACGTGTAGCGTAAGATTGAATCTTTTCTACAAGGACCAAGAGAATGCCATTTCCTACCTATGATAGCTTAAGTCAAGATAGAATAAACACAGCTGTATATCCATTCTTCTTGCTCATTCTGTGGCATCACATGCTGACAGACCTGCATACAAAAAGCAGAAAAAGGAAATAACAATTTCAAGAGAAAAATGATTTGTATTGTGCAAGGACTATGGAAAGTGTCGATAGTTACCTAGGATATATTAACACACACATCCCATTTATTTTTCTTGATTTGAATGTTTATCCCACACTTCCCCTGTAACTAGTTATAGAATTACATCTATGTTTTGACTTTTGTAAATACGCTAGAGATTTACCTCTAGAATTCTACATAATTACCATATTTTTGAGGAAGCATTGGGAACTGCTGGGGGGAGAAGGAAATCAGCAAAAATCACCCCTTCCCTCCATTAGTGACACTTCCAACTAGAGCAAAAGCACAAGGAAGACCAAGCGGATTCCACCCACTGAGGATTACTGGCCAAGCATCCTTTCCCTCCATTATTACACATTGTGAAAACCCTGATAGACTATTGTGAAAAAGCCTAGACTTTTGGTTAATGAAAAGCATGAGAAACATAACTGCTCTACAATATGTGACAAGCCATTCAAAATATACCTCTGCGGCTGCAATGTGTGAAATGGCGGGCTGTGCACTCAATGCTCATATGCATGCATTTAAGTGGATGTGCACTATGGGTAATATGCATTCATTCCCACAAAGTGACTGAACTCTAGTGACTCCGTGAAGGGAGCGAAAGTCTGAAAAATGAGTCTGGCAACTTGTGCTAACAAAATTTCAAAAAGGGAACCCTCAAGGCAAAAACAGGGAGAATGCTTTATCAAGTATAGTTACCAAAAACTCAGTACTATACCTGGGAACTAGTGACAGCTGGGTCATATGTAATAGGGAAACAGAACAGAAAAAGGCACAGGCATGGACACTAGAGGCAGTTTCTCCATCAGCTGTTCTTGTACCAAAACATCCACATTTAGAGAACAGTTTGGGGGTTTACTTTGGAGAGCTGTTCACTGGGGAAAACACTGAAAATTGTTATTGTGAGATCCATGGGTATAACTCTAGATCTAAGATGTGGTGAAATGAAGTTTATCCTGTACTTGAAAGCATTGTGCAAACTTGTAGAATAGGAAAACAAATCTATCAACAGCATGAAATAAATACTGTACACATTTGGCTATGATGAATGCCAATACCCAGCCATGGACACAAAATGTATTTTCAAAGTCTAGCCTATCACGTTGTCTAGACTTTCCTAAAATTTGACACTTTTTCTTTTCACGTGTTCAAGTCTGCAAGAAAATGTTTTTAAAGAACAGGACATAAATGGTTGTGTATAACGTTTTGCTTACAGCGTATTACTGCACAGCTTTAAACAGCACCAGTTTTGTCCCTGGTTTGTTTGTGGTATTGTTTTATTACATTTGCTGTTTTAAGCTGCCCTTTGGACCCTGACAGGTCAAAAGGCAGGTCAAAAGGCAGAATATACATATCTTAAATAAATAGATGCAATTACCATCATGGAGTTGGATGCTACTTCAATGGCAAAAGTGTTGAGTCCTCTATTACTGACACAGTTTCTACTTTGCTCATTGTTGAGGTGAATTACTGTTTTGCTTTCAGACTGTTAAGAGAAAAGCAACTTTAGCATAAACACATTTAGAGCAGTATCAATCCACGGGATTAATATTAATGACACTACAAGAAAAAGCAAGACCATTAAGAAATTATCTAAATACTGTCCATTGAAAAGATCATAAACCTAGTATTAGCTATGGGAGTTCTGCTTTTAACTCAGTCTATACAGGGCAGTGATTTTCAACCCCCTTGAGGCCCAGGACCTATCTTTAAATTCAACCAGCAATATCAGATCAACTTATTTTTGTTTTGCTTCTTAAAAATTGTGTGTGGCTTTTTATGTCCCTATCTCTAGCCTTAAAAAACCCAGTAAGAAAAATAAAATAGTGGTTTTGACAGTGGTTTGTTCCAGTTGTGTCATGGTCTATCACCAGCAGTTCAGTACTCCCAAAGGCTGGTTTGGGAGTAGACTGTCCAAGGAGATCATGAATGTTTGTGAATGTCATTATTGTGTCTATAGGCCAATAATTCTCAGGCTCCAGGGCTTATTAGTGGGCATCTGTGTATTTTTAGGTGTTTTGAAGAGATAGAAACTCACTGCAACAACTTAAGAGGAAAGCAAAGTTGAACTTTAAATTAAAAGTTGCTTGGTTCCTCAGTAGTGCCATGGCTGAAACAGAAATATCCAGGCATTAAACCATGTCATGCAGGGCAACCTGCATGGTGGTCATAACGGCCCTGAATAACCAACAAGCATTATTATTATCATCATCATCAATATTGTTTGTTACATTTATTTCCTACCTTCCCTTCAAGGAGCTGAGGACAGCATACATGGTTATCCCCCACTCCATTTTCTACATATGTTCTTCACATCAACAGATTTAAAATAAAAAATGGACCAGATTTATAGCCTAAGGTGGGATTGTTGGCAACTAAGTGGTTAAAGCTGTTGTAGAGGGAAATATAGACAAGAGGACCTTTGTTATTTGGACTACTCGGGTTTAAATGGATTGCCATTTGGTATAGCATGTTTTAGTAAACAAAGTGCTTAGAAATATTTTATTATGGTAAGCATATTTTATCGTACACACAAGGTCCTTAAAGTTCATTTGCAAAGAACACTACAGAAAGTTTGGTCTATTTGCTTTTCTCTGTTACTGAGCTAATGTGATATTGATTAGCCTGGATAAATAATTAAGTATAGAGTACACTGAAGACTAGCTGTTTGCCATTTTCCTTTTTTATTTCTTAATATTTCATTGCTTATTTGGAATGGAATTTTTCGGCAATAAAATGTTTCACTAATATGGATACTGAATATATGAAAACTTGCAATAAGTTGAAATAAACCTAGTAAAGCTAAATTGCAAAATATACAGTGGAAATGCCCAATATACCAACTTTTCTAGTTCCTGAATATACACAGAAATCGGGAAGGAGAAATGAAGTGTTCATTAGGCCGATTCACGTGATCCATTTGATCCTTAAATTCAAACCGCTTCCCTTTCTTTGCTGTAAACCTAGTATAAATCTGGATATGGTGAACTGGTCATTAGGCAGGCTCCCCACCACCCAAGTCCAGGTTGACAGCATGGTGACAACAATCATCATAGGGGAAAGCCTATCACAGGTTTGCTGACAATCTAGGCTACAAGTGGGGAACTTGCCCTGCATCCTACCCAACTTTGAGATGTAGCTGGGGTCAATCACCTGACAACATTAAGATGTCAGGCAACAACTTGAGAAGAGATCACCTATGAAATCCATTTACAAGTGGTTTCAATAACAAGCTGTTCTGCAAAGGGACTTCCAATTGATGCCTCTCTGGGCCCATCAGGTGACTGGAGCTGATTAGTAAACAGGCAAGAACACCCAGTTGTCTCCACTGGAGTGCCCATGCAGCTCTGACCTTGCCATTGCCTTGCCCCACCTTTATCCTGTAAACAGCAGTGACACAGTCAGGAAGGCAGCAACATAGCACTGTCCCGCTGAGCCAGTCACACCTCATTTCCTGGCTTTGCTTGGTCAGAATTTACTGCTTACTGCATGTCTGGCTTCAACGTGAGAGTCCAGCTCAAGTCATTGACAACAAAGACCCTTAACTAGAAGGGTTAGATTGGTCCCAGTCTGACTGTGATAAGCAAATGGTAAAAATACAAAAAGAATTTGTAAGGAAATGCTTATGTAAGGGCTGTTCCTGTTATATATATTTCATACAATACCTTGTTTCCAATAACAGATGTGATCCGTGTATCACTTTTATAAGTGTAAATAACTATATTTTCACTGGCATCCATCGGCTTGGCGTCTCCTTTATTAGCCACACTCATACAAATGGCTGTCTTAAGTTGCTCACCACCTGCTTCCAGACAAACAGGTTGAATCCTGGGTTTGCATTTTTCTGCATAGACGCGAATGGAAAAGGGGCATGCCTATAAAGAGTGAGGGGGGGACATTTGTTATATCTATCATTGTAGATATCATATTTTGATCCATTCAGTGAAACCAAATTTAAATTTTTGGGTAGGGGAACCTGAAAATGACCTTAGACCTGTTCTATTTGATGACCTAAAACTGCAAGATAGGCACAACAGCTGGTTTTAAAAGCCTTGAATGCTCCTTCCCTGGTTAGCTATGATTGTGACAATGCTACATAATGCTCCGCTACAGTTAATGCTAACAATGGAGCAAGGAGCAGCCAGTGCTCCCCTGATGACTGAAATGGACCGTTATCTTATTTCCAAGCTATAACTGGGAACTACTTAGCCTTACATGGTCATGGACAATATCTGAAGAGGTAGCAAATGCATATGCATGCCAGAGAATATTCTGAGCTTCAATTTTTGCTTCATCTGAAAAGCTGCTTTGCCTCTTTGGCCAAAGGAACTGCTGCAGCAAGAACCACCACCAATTGCCAGCTGCACTGTTTTTGGATTCCATTCCATATTGTCAGTCTCATTAGTCCCTTTTACCTGCTGGACTGGAGAAAGTTTTGGATACTTTCCCTTTGGATAACAGATGTGATGCCTTTACTTTGGGTATCTATATGACACATAAACTATTAATTAATTTGGGGTCCCTCCCAACTCTACAATTCTATGATTCTATGATAACATGCAAAGCTTGAGGCACATTACGACTTTGTAACTGGTTCAACTTAAGATCAGCAAAATTGCACATTGTGGCTACTTCCCCCTCACCTTGCCCAACATTGATCATACCTCAGTCAATTCCAATGCTTTGTTGTAGCCCATTGACCGCAAAGTCATCCAGAGACTGCTAAGATCCCTGCCTTGTTGACTGGCTTCCATGAGATTCAGATCCATAAATCCCTGTCTTGTGAGTTCATTGTTCTTCATATCAAAATTCTCTAAGAAAACATAAGGCAAATATTTTCACAGGCTACAGTGGAAACGATCAAAATTGCCTGTATTCAGGAGAAACAAACATTGGATTCCATCCCTTGGCCCTTCCCATCCCTCTTTTCATTTTGTTGTTTGCCACACTTGCTCCTCTCTTACTTCCTTTGTTCACATTGCCTCCTACTGTAAGCTCCTTTAGGCAGGCCTGTGTCATTTTGATTTGTGAAACTCTGTGAAGAACCGGCACTTTGATGGCAATGTTTGCATCAGCGGTGGAGAACCTATGGCCCTCCTAATGTTGTTGGACTGCAACACCCATCATCCCCAGTCATCAAGGAAATAATAAGGGAAGACAGGAGCTGTCGTATATACCAGATTCCCCAGTCCTGGTATATATGTCAGTAATTATAAAGGTTTGATTTTGCATCCTTGTGTTTCAGAAAATTTGTTATGAAATGTATACATGACAAAGTTATTTATTTGGCTTCACGGAAAACTCAACATGCAAGAAATGACAAATTAAACGAGTTTCTCTTGAAATTATTTGAGGCAGTGGGTGGAGTTTTATCAGCAAATCAATAAAAACCTTGGCCACAAATTGTGGTTCGTTGTAAGGTCTCTTATGGCTTTCTTCTTCCCAGGGCAAGCAGGGAAGAGCAAATTGGCCAAGATGGGCATATTCATGGTAAACTATTAACTATGATATACTGTGATGCATAAAAGAGGCTAATGGCCAATCCCCATTTTTGGAAACAGCAACCTAGATCAGTAGTAACCTAGATTTCTTCAGCAACAAGAATAAACACAATATTGGCTTTTAAATCAATGGAAGACAAGGTATTGCAAAGTAAATGAATACAGTATATAAACAATGTCTACAGTCTTCTGCAGTGTATAATTGTGGAGGGGGAACCAAGCAGCAATCCTTGGTATGAGAATTGGATTGATACAAGAATGCCACTATTTGCATCTATGAAATTATCATTCACTTTCATCACTGAGAGAGGCTTTTATGTTATGGATGCTGTGAGCTCATATCTTAGATAAGTTTGATTTTTGAAAAGTAATATGGTTCCAATAATATTCAGCAAATTCTTCTAGCAAATTCTTGCTAGAAAACCAGGTCATCAAGCAAATACAAAATTAAAATGTTCTTAAAGCACAGAATATTTAAAAATGGATTTCTCATCTTCATTACAATGCTAATTCTTTACTATGTATTATTTAAAAGAGATTACCAAATGAATAAATCTAAGGGTTCAGGTGCTATTATAAACTGCTTGAACTTTGTTCTCAAGATTTATGAGGTTCATCTGAACCCTCCAGCTGATTAATTGCCAAGTAATCTATTCACAGCTTTTGCTGTTGCTTCCTTTTGACGGGCCGGCTAATGTCTTCTAAGTATTGTTGCTGTGTTTGTTCCAGAAAATGTAAGAATTATTGAGGAAGGGATATACATTTCCTTGTTCTCTGACTTGTGTCCCCTACTCTCAAATATATAAGAAACCAAATGCACAAAATGCAAAGCCAAAGCTGAGAACTTTATGTCTGCCCAAAGGCTTGGGCATGTCCAGTGAGATTTTTATAATTCCCTTCTTTGAGCAACAGATTTTGAGATCTTCATGGAAGTCCCCTCAATTTCAATTTCCCTTGGGCATATGGAATTAGTCACATGGTCCTTTGGACTGAAGCCATCATATAAAGGATGTCTGAATTTGTGTTCCTTAATGAAAACATAAAAAGCTCTAAAGATTTTACAGAGTAATATGAAACAGGATCTGTCAAATGCTGAATATTTTAGCCGGAATTAACAAAGCACCACAGCCTTTAAAATGTCTATTTAAGCTGTTGCAAGCCTACTGGTACACCTCATTAATTCCAGTTTCTATTTTGTGCTGTAATAATAACGAAGTTTCTCATAAGCATTAATGAATTTACCTTCATATCATCCATGTGCGAGATCATTTATTCTTAGCATGCAATTCCTAATTTGTGATACTGAAGGCCAAATAAGAAGTGACAATAAATTGAACTATGTCTGTGGATTATGAATAGTTGAATGCTTAGATGAAAGTCTCAGAAGGCATGCACAGTCATAGTTTTATCAAACGTATTTACAATCTAAAAATTCAAAACTGAGAACATACAGCACTCTGGATGAGTAAGGGCTAATTCAATTCTCTTCCATGTCAGGAAATGCAATTCCTGCCATGCATGAACTCATTATGCACTTCCCAACAGTAAGGAGAATGAGGTGGCATGCATTTGTGCACACATGCTGAACAGACATAGTTTTCAATGCGGTTACGTGAACCTCCTGAAGTTTTATTTGCAATGAAATATATCTACATATACAGGAACATTTATGCAGCCAGATTTTTCCAAAGGCGTGAACACGTTATAAAACTGTTTTAAAAAATGCAATTGACATGAATGAATGAATGATTATTATGATGACCAAGCAGCCAGCATAACATGGGCCCTTTCGTGCAAACACAAATCTATTCTGCCTCCCTTCCCCCCCTGAGTGCCAATATCTCAATATTCTTTTTTATGTAATAGAACCTGTATAGCTCATTTGGTTAGAGCACAGGGCTGCTAATGCCAAGGTTGCAGGTTCGATTCCTACATGGGACAGCTGCTTTGCAGAGGGTCCCTTCAAACTCTACAATTCTATGATTTTTCCACCCATTTTCTTTCTAAAAGTGGAAGATACTTCAGCACTGGATTTCAAAACATGGTGGACACTAGTAGCAGGACATTTATGTGGAGGAGGATGGTAGGTTATATGAACTCTCATTTTAACATGGAAAGCGCTGCCTGTATACCAGTCTAGAAGTAATTTAAAATAAAACAAGCTTTACAAAATAATGCAGGAAATGTGCTGGGAAGTATTTTGGTGAAGTCATGGACGTTAATCAATTGGTGCCTGTGACACAAAACCATATTTCTCCAGAGTCTGGAGTGGTGGCACAACAGATTTGACTCTTACCTTTGTACAGTAGACTACATTCCAGCCATGCAAAAGTAAGAGGCTTATTCTCTCTCTCTCTCTCTCTCTCTCTCTCCATTCATACAAGCAAGGGGCATCATCACAATTCAAGCCAAACAACAACAGTTGAGGAGGGTGCAAAACAAAGTCAGTAAGGGGGTGTGATCTATGAAGGAAGCAAGGTCTGAGGAGTCTGACGGCCACATTTGGTCCCTGGGCCTGTGCTTTTCTACTCCTGCTCTGCACTGTAGAATATGTGCAGGAAAACATCACATTTTCCCATTAACAAAATATTGCTGCTTGAATGCTGGGGAAATGAAAAAGAAACATTACCTTAGGGCAAAGACATTTAGATCCCCTGCAACAAATGAATAACAACTGTACATTTACTGTGCAATAAAATGACCATCTGGAATGCCCCCTACAACTGACATGAGACTTACTGAAGCTGCAAGAGTAGAAGCCATGAGGAGATAAAGCAGTGGAGGGTTTGCCCCCTTTTTTTTGTTATTCTCCAACATAACCCCCTATTAGGGACATCTTACAGTCTGACCTCAGGCAAGAGCAAAATAAAGCAAAAGGAAATGGGAGAGCTAGCAGGGAGACTGAAAATGACAGTCAGGGGACTGAAGGAGCTGCCTTTGATATTACAGAGATGCACGCTAAAAGAAGAAAGAGGAAAGAAATGAATTTATGAAGTAATAGAAAGACCTCGTAACAACAGCACAAAGCAATAAGGGAGGGGGGAGATGACAAAGCAATATATGTCACACAGAGCTTAAGATGCTGAATTCTATGGTATATTTTCATTAGAAAAATAACGTTGCCCATGAATACACCCAAACTACATTAACAGTTAGCGAACTATATTGTTCCTTCCATGTAGCCTCATGCTAATGAACTGTGAATCTATGTAATCAGCATTTCTATTTAATCATATGATTATCTGAATAATATTGCCAAAGGCATTCAGATAGATGACGCTGCACTTGGGCATAGAGAGGTTAAATTTGCATATAGATAATTTCAGTGTTACCTTTGCATATGGCCCAAGCTTCTTCATCACACTTTTCTCCACTAGTTCTCATTTCAAAGAAGTTGTTCTCTTCCAGGCTGAGAAAGCCATTCCCATCCAAATCAATCATTTCAAATATTTCTGATAAGGCTGCTCTGAAAGGTTGAAGAGAAAAAGCAGCTCAACAGATTGTCTGCTTCCTTCATTTCATCCCTTGGACTCACTCATCAGTTCATTTCAGAAGACTGATTTCTTTGGGAGACAATTTTTTCAGCAACATATTTTTGTTAAAATATGAAGAGCCTAAATTTCACAAAAGCTGGCCTGCCTTACCGGAACTCTTTGGTAGCTGTGAATTCTCCATCTCCATGTACAAGTTTGGCTTCTCTTCTAATTTGCTTTTTTGATTTTCTGAATCTACAGCCTGTGGTGAAAGGAATTACCCAATAGACACCACCTTCAAGTTCGCCTCTCCAACCAAAAACCTACCACAAAGGAAAAAAATAGATGCAGGATGTTTTAGATTTCTGACCACCATCATTCTTTCTCCTCATACAAGCCCAACAAGTATTTGAGTTCATATCTTGTAGACCTTTCCCACATGTAGATCACATAGATTAAAAAAGGAACTAGAGATAATAAAGTAAGAGCCAATGAAGTGCACCGAATTGAGTTCTGGACTCAGAAAGGAGAAGCCTGTGCTCAAAAGCTCACAAAGCATTGCTTCACCCTTTATGAGGCAACCTGGGTACACAAGTATTTGCTGTAATAAATGCATAAAATGTGGAGGAGAGCTGCACATTCCCACTCTCTATAAAGTAGATTGGAATGCAGTGGATTTGGGCCCAGTTCCCTGATGTGTTTTCTGGAAGTGGGCATATTTTCATGTAAACAAACAAATTTATTTTATTTTATATGTTTATGTATCATTACATACTTAATGCTTAAGATAGTCTCTAAGTGGTTTACAAAGCAACAAAAACAATACGTAAAACCTCGAAAACAGTGTGAGCATGGGGAATCTCTCTCATCAATTGTCGTTTTTCAAACACTGGAGAAGCAGGTTCAGAGCTAACTTTCAATGAGAAAATTATGTGTGGCCTTAGGATTAAACTCTATACTCTGGCAGTCCTTGTACTCCTGCAACTACTTTTTGTAAACAAAAGGATGTGGCCAGTCCAAATGTTTTTGAATCCTATCCTTAAAGTCACATATTGTTTGACCTCGATGAAAAGGGGTAATAATGGCATTATATCACATACAGAACAGAGTACGCCAAATGTGGGGAACACTGCAATGGCCCTCCAAAAGAAATGCTATACTGAGGGAAGACATCAGCACTCTGCACCAGAAGTGGGTTACATATGTATACTTATTGTGCTAAATAAATAAATAAAATGATTGGACATAGAAGGCCTTGGACTCCTATTTACATTGGGTTTATAATAAGATAATCCCTCCATTTGGATTGACTCATATCTGGTATAGGAGGAAATAAAAGTAATAAGTATTTGATTTATCTTAGTATTTCTACTACACTCACTTGAGGACAGTTTGGAAATTAAAATGAAAGTTCTGTTGCTTATTCAAGTCCACATTTATGTGTTGTGAAGGAAATCAACAGTCTTCTCAGGCCTAACCAACATAAGTAACTTTTTAAAGGGATTCTTCAGATTTTGGCTTTTATCATCTGTTCACAGGGGAAATATTTGGAAAGTATATAATTAACAGTGTATTAATTCTGTTAGGAATAATATTACGTTTCCTTGACTACTTCATTGATAATTTAGCTATTTTCTCAATGGCAAAGCACAAAGTACCAGCCATTTATAGATATCATCATTATTAATATGCTACATATATAAAGTCAGTAAAGGTAACTTAAAAATGTCTATGACCTCTTTATTTCGTAGCTCAGTGAAGCCGACAAGCTGTATGTTTTCTTCAGTTTCATTTTCTTTGAGTATGTACAAAGCTGTGTCCACCACTAACCAAGGAGAGGGTTTTCCTGTCAAAAAGCAAGCAAAATTGTACTAATAGTCAAAGATCTGTCATTAACTGAGTGATGCAGCTGAATACAGTGGTACCAAAAGAATCCATCGTGTTTTGCCCATTATCATTGTAAGGTCTCACATGCAGTGAAAACAGTTGTCATGCATGTTTGTGATTGAATGCATGTTTGCAGCATACAATCAATCAATCAATCAATCAATCTTTATTGTGGTCAAAGACCAGAAAGCTGCTGCTGTTGCTGTTAACAACAGCAACATATGCCGCAAATATTAACATTTATGTTTTTGTTTTTTTAAAAAAAATGCTAGAACTAAGAATTTGCAACCCTGCAATGGTTACATTTTATCTTGGGCTGCTCCATTAATCCCTTGTGCAGTTCTATTACAGGGACATCTCCCAGTTTTCAACCCCTAGTTGTTGTTTTTTAAAAGGTATTCCTACCTTCCATTTGGCAAAGGTTCACAGGATTAATGGTAATGCATACTGTAGATCTCTGAGATAAAAACAACTTATATTTATGACTAATTATCTCTCCACTTTCCTCTAAGAAGAAGCATCCTTTGGACTGTGCCTGTTGCCATTCCTAGAGACAAATCAAATAATTAATATAAAAGAAGTTACTTAATTCCTTGTAAGGCAGTGACTTTGCTAGTCACTCCTACCATCTGTTGGCCAAGCGGTTCTTTAAGTCTTAAAAGATTAGTGTCCGATCTTTTGAAGGTTTATTTTCCAAACCTTATTTACTGCATAATTCTTTGGATAATTGGAAACTGGAACATTCCCCTTCAGAAAATTTGCTTGCGACAACAACGTATCTTCTGATACAACTTAGAACAGTACTGCTAACAACAGCAGTAATAACACTTATAAATTATATGGCACTTGGAGTGTTGAGAGTATGCTATGTACATCATCTCAGTCATCCCTATAACAACGCTTTAAGGTTTCCAGTTTTATCCCACATTACAGACAGGGTTGTTGCAGAGGATGAGAAAACAGTAACTTGCTAGGGCAACCTTGTAAATTCTTAGCTAAGACAATGTTGCAATCAGGGACATCTCACTATTCACTCTTGTTGAGACTGCACTATATTGACTCCTAATATTTAAATGCCAGAGTGGATTTGTATGTCTCAAGTAACAGAAAAATTCAGCTGCAATAATTCTGCAGAAAACACTGTCTATGTTGTGGAAAGGATTGAAAAACTCATAAAAAAACCCTCACTCTAACCTGTTATGCTTCTGAAGAGCATAAGGTGGTGCTACAGACCCTGTATCTACTTGTAAACCAAGATAATATAGCGTTCTTCAAACTGATATTTTCACATTGTATGGCTCATTTCAATTTGCAGTGCAGAGTGTGACATGGGAAAGAACAAAATGTTGAATAATAAGGAACATCCACACTCTGAAAACTAAGATTAAATGCTGAAAGTGTATTAGAGAAATGGCCATGGCTTTTTAGCTTTGGGCACAATTAAATAAGATAAACTGCCATTCATTTTGCCTAAAATTCCCCATATATGGTCCAATGAATTGAACAAGGCTTGTGGCTACAAGCCTACTTACAGTTACTTTGGAGTAGGACTTGATACCATGTATGGGATAAAGCTGCATGATGCCACTGTGTTTGTTTAAGCATAGAATGGCTTTTTCTACATGCCTTGCTAATTGACACTGCAGATTTAAATCATAGGAATGGTTATACTGGAAAAAGTATACTTGTCTATGCCTAAATCCAAGAGAAAAGTTAACCCAAGTCATGTGACAAATCATAAATGATGGCATCTACTGCTGTTTGCAATGAATTCTGGCATGGAATTCACCAAGTTTTCTGGTTTACAATATTTCAGATGGATTTTGCTTTTTTACATATTCTTCTACATTTATTTCATAACAGCCTATTCCTACATTCACTAGAACACTTACCGTATAAGGGGGTCACAGGTTCTATTGCTCTTTTATATCATATTATTACGGAGTTGCCTATCTTCAGTACAGGACAGTTGACTAAGATGGATATTTTTGCAATTTATCACATACACTGCTCAACTTTATATAGCATAACTGGAAGGGCTCTCCTACGAATGCTTTGCTGTTATTCTTATGTGGTAGACAGGAGGCAGGGTGGGGTTATAAGCATATAGATGAATGTTCCTTGTAATTTATCAAGCTTTCCCAATTGTCAGGGATGTCTGCAATTAGAAACTGCAATGGCTTGGAAATTTATCATATATTCTTGATTTTTTTGATTTGCCACATATCCTGTGCATGCTGCAATAACCAGTGTAAAGTAGACATCCAAGTGTTATTTGGGTTTCAGCTTTCTGCTGCACCTTGTGATGGGAAAGGAAATTCACATATATCCCCTGTTTGAAGCTGGGGACCACACAGTTCCCCATATGCGGCAAGAGTCTGCTTTTCTTCTTTGTGTATTACATGTAGTGGGAAAACAGTTGAAGTGGAACTGGTACCTAATGGTTTGAGGTAATTGTAGTGCTCAGAAAAATACTGGAAAATATCCAGACACCTCAGCTGATCCTGTCCTTTCTAGCAGTGCCCACCTGTTAGGAAACCAAACCTTGTTTCGGAATACTCCTGTTCCACCTGCAAAAACACCTCATGCACAAATAGCTATCAGCAGAATACTATTAAGAGATACACAATGGGGTGCAAGTCAAAAGAACAATGATGAACTTTTATTAGCAAAAATTTAATAGAAACCTACTCAGAACACTAAACTCATCTTTGGGAACTTCACTATTTAAGCAGGCGGTGGATCACTCTTGTGATGACCAAACTGATCATTCGCTAACAGCTTAGAAAGCTAGTTTTCATTACCATCTAATAGGTTGTTGAAACTGAACCAATTACAACTAGTAGAAAACTACTGTATGTGTTTTTATAACCAACAACATATCATCTTTGAACATACTGGAATTACAGGCTAAATTGCATAGGGGTTTGGATACCTAAACACACAGAAAAAAATCCTTGGAGAGGATGCTTTTAAATTTTAATATAGAACAAATGTCACTGTCTAGCAATGTTAAAGATATAAAGGACTTCAGAGTTCAATAACAAATACAGAGTTGTTATTTGAAACAAAAATGTAACTCAAGAGAACAATCAGTTCAGTCTTCTAGCTGCAGTTATATTATGTGGTCATAACCATTCGTTCTCCCTTACACAGAGGTCTCAAGGTGCACATTTTTAATGTATCTTAGCAGTTTCCAGTTAATGTTTTATATTTCTCTAGCTATTATTTTCTGCTGAAAGAAAACTAGTAAAGGTTGAATCAGGAAAGGGAAAACAAAGGGAAAAGATCAATATTAACACTCTACAAATATTGACTTAGCAAAGTGACTTTGTTGTCTTTCTCCCTTAGGAATGGTTATTGAATGAATGACTTATTTAAAAGAAATTACTTGTAAAACTTATTAGTCTAAATAACAGTCAATATTTTCAGGCTACAGTGTATATTTACCAATTAATGTCTTCTGATCTGGGTACGTTTGAAGATATTTATTTCCAATTACCTTGCCTATAGAGGGTTGTGATATATAATCTTTCAGACTACTTAAGCATTTAAAGTACTAATAAATTATTCAATTTTGCATTTCTCAAACAGTCATTAACAATTTTATCCAAGAGTGCTTTCCTTTATAGAAAAACATGTTTTGTTCTAGCAAACCTTCACACCTGAAAAATGATCCTAAATAACGGGATGTCAGCAAAACCAACATTATATAAAAATGTTTATAGTGTTTTGCAACCAGAAATCTCTGTGTGCTGTGTTGCTGCCCTTGACAAGCAGTTAATAAAACATAAGCTATAAAAGAGAGAAAAATTGCTTTCTATTTAAAATGCAATGTCTATACCTGGTGAGGGGGAGCAAGAGTCAAACTAAATTAACGAAGTCTACCTTTGCAGCATTTGCCTCAATGAGCTTCGAATGTTTGTTGCTGCTGGCACCCATACTGATAGTGGAAGAAACAGATGCTTTGCAACTTGGAGCTGAGGAACACTGTGAAGAAGTCTTGCAGTGACCTACAATTGCAGAGTTTTATTTATAGCACCTTATTTATGAATATTTACATTCATCAAGTGAGAAAATAGATACAGAATGATAAATATACCTTATAGTAGTTAATCTGGTCTGGTAAACTGATTTGTGTTTTGCTGGGCCGGTATATGCACTGGAAAAATTTGGTATCTGCTTTGATTTGCACTGAACCTGCCAAGTCTACTGGTAATGAATCTCCAACCCAGCAGCTGCCAAGTGATATTTGCACTAAAAGATTAGAGAATCTATCAAATCTATTAATTCAAACATTAAATAACCCATATCACAAAGTTGGTGTCATATAATACCGTGCTAAATCTTATCAGGGTAAGGCCAAATTTAAATTGTAAACTGCCCTTTTATTAAATAGAGTGGACATTCTGCCAGCTTTCAGTGAACCAGCCACTCACAATGCAGGAAAAGTTCATTTGCCAAAACACAACATATGGAAGATCTCTGGTCCAAGGTTTGCTCTTAGCTTATTTGGAAAAAAACAAACTGCAAGGAAGGTTCAGAAGACATGAAAGCCAAACTGTAGCTTGCTTCTTCTGTGGCATTGCAACAGCAGCAGAAGAGTGCTATTGGGATATGCTGTGTGAATGGGGTCACTCAAACATTAATCAGCTAATGCTAGAGAAAGAAAAATGCTGAAATGAGGGATGTAGCAAAACTTCTTCTGAGCCTAGGGCTTTGGAAATACCAGAGAGACATTTCTACCATTGATAAAGCAAATATTTTTAGTGAAATAAATGAACACACCTTTCAAAAAAGAGAGAAAAAAATCTATATCCAAGGTGTCATGCAGAGGGGAAATGACACTCTATGAAGTAGAGCTTTCTTGTTTGAAAAATTATTACCTCTTTTTAGCATTGGTTTGGATTCTGTTTTCCTTGCAGTTTTTGGTATTGTTTTTGATATTAGTGATGTAGCCAGTTCTGATGAAGTCTCAAGTTGACTTCCAAACTGCTGACGCTTCAGTTTACTGTCAACCTCCAGTTTCTCTAGTGCGTTCTTCAGACATTGCTCATTGGTTGTCATATACAATTTACAAAACTGTAAACAAAACACACACACACCTTGGTCTCTTAAGTATTTTAGAAGGAAAATAAACAAAGGCACTACTAAGCAAGAAATAGATCAACAGATAAAAAATATTTCTTCTGTTAGTACAATCCTCATCTTGCTTTCATGAATCAAACTGACCACTCTCCAGTGGCACAATAAAATGGAGACATGATTCAATGAGGAGATCATACAACTGAGAGAAAATAAAAATGAAAGGTACCCGAAGATAAGATTTATATTGTCTACCAGACATATTTGTGGACAGACTGGCTTTTTATGTCTAATTTTAAATGAAGGAGTTTTCTTTTCTTTTCTATGAGTCTGGATGGGAAACTTTAATGAACAACATAGTCATTTCAGATAAGGTAAACTCCAAGATTAACAAACTCCAGATAACATAAAATTAACAGTTGCATTTTTTAAAAGAACATTGCTTTAGCTACGGCCAGAAAGATAGTATTGTGATAGATGACACTGCATACTTGGGAAAGTATTTGGAAAGAACAGCCTTTAATCAACACTTATTTTACACATATACATTCCTTATCCTATTTTTCTTTGTTAAAAAAGGGATGTTCTTCTATATTCACTGTGAACTCTTATGAGAAAAAGACATTGTCAATATAGCTCGATGGGATACTACTCCTGTTCTGACACTCTCTACGCTCCTTCTATTTTTAAGTATTAAGCTTGATGTCTGCCATAAATATATAGTTGTATATAGGGTTGTGTCCAAAGGTTTATGTTTGCAAGCAGAACTGAATTCTGCTCACACAATGGGATATTACCTGCCTCTCCTCCCCCTGCAGTCTTCAAAATCTGCTTTGGAGGACTGGGGGGACCCTGCAGAGCAGATCTGGGGTGTGAGTGAAGTTTGCGGGGAGGAGAGGGATGACTTACTGCATGAGCACAAGTCTGCCAGTGCAAGTTTGGATTTCACTGATACATGTATGATCTAGCTAAGATCCTTGCATTGCAAGGAGTTAGACTAGATGACCCTTGGGGTCCCTTCCAACTCTATATTTCTATTGTTCTAATACACTCAGGCTGACAGTGACTCTCCCTTTAGTAAAAAGCTTCTTCATTTCTAGCATATTGAAAGAGTGTCACATGACATAAATGACTGCATATTCAGAGAAGCTCTTCCATTTGCACAAGTTCCTTCTCAAGAGATTCTTATAGCCGACTAGAGTTTCCATGCTACAGCATGTATCTTCCTTATTTATCATGGTTGTCATACTATAACACAACCTCTGATGTACTGTGGTGCCTCACTGTGAGAAGTCTTACACTCCCTTGCCAAGCAGCACATTGAATAGCACCAATACATTTTCTCCCTCCACTCCTAGTACTTTGCATCCAAGACACAGTGTGTGATAAGATATTTATAAGTACTAGCTACATTACCATATTAATAAGCATACTTCAAGGTTGCAAACCTATACCTTTACTTTGTCAAAGGCCAACCACACTGAGCTCTATTGTTCATGTCTGCAACATGAAGAGCTGTTCTAATATATCACAACTAAAAACTTGTAATTTTTTAGTGCCTGACATACTTTTCTCTGAAAGCATGCACTGACAATCAGATCCTCTAACACCTATGTATCACATTCTGAACTGCTGTAACCTCCTTTGAAAGGATTACTAAAAGGTGATCAGAAAACTTTGACACCATGGAAATATCCTATTAGGCGTTTAAGAACCAAATCACTCTCACTTATTCAGCCTCACCTCTTTCTTGTTTAAGCCCTCTGAACAGCATGTCAGGGCTCAGGGGACCTCCACTATTATAATCTGCTTTCCCCCAATTTTTACCCATTCCGACTCCCAGTCAAGACTGCACCACATTGAAGACCTTTCCTGAGGGTTTAGTGGGAAGGAGAGGGCAGGAAATCCCCAATATAAAAGCATATGTCTGTTCAAGTAACTTTAGATACAAACCTATGTAGTCTTATCCACTATACCTTGTAATAATCAAACTTTCCATCACTGTTCACTTCCACCAATTTGGTGATTGCATTAACTTCATCATGGGTCATTTTTTCACCTCTCTGCAAAAAAAAAAAAAAAGTCAGCTTCAGTTGCAAAGCAATGAAGGAAAAACACTGCAATATTTAATTATTATGCCTCCCCACAAACAGTAATGATTTATTAAAGTTTAAACATATTTCCCCTGTGGTTTATATGAATTGTTAAAAGTATCAGTCCTAACTACCCTTTGAGGTACTTACAGTTGTAAGAAGTTTATACAGCTCACTATGTAAAATACAGCCCTCATTATTTACATCTATTTTTGCAAATGCTTTGAGCAACTCTGTTTTCCTAACAGGTTCTTCTTGTTTTAAGATGAAGCAAAAATCATCAAAATTCAGTGTGGTGGTTTGCAGCGTCCAGTATTTATTAACTGTCTTCTGAGATGGATTTCTTCCAGCTTGCTGAAGTACTGCAAAATAAAGCCCAAAAAAAAAAAAAAAAGCATTTAGTGACACTGACAAGACGGTGTATATATCATTTTCTTAAAACACTCTGTAAGTAGCTACTACTGAAAATTACTCTTTTCTACTCCTGTAACAAGGGACGCGGGTGGCACTGTGGGTAAAACCTCAGCGCCTAGGACTTGCCGATCGTATGGTCGGCGGTTTGAATCCCCGCGGCGGGGTGAGCTCCCGTCATTCGGTCCCAGCTCCAGCCCACTTAGCAGTTTGAAAGCACCCTTAAGTGCAAGTAGATAAATAGGGACCGCTTACCAGCGGGAAGGTAAACGGCATTTCCGTGTGCTGCGCTGGTGCAGGCTCGCCAGAGCAGCTTCGTCACGCTGGCCACATGACCCGGAAGTGTCCTCGGACAGCACTGGCCCCTGGCCTCTTAAGCGAGATGGGAGCGCAACCCCAGAGTCGGTCACAACTGGCCCGTACAGGCAGGGGTACCTTTACCTTTAGCTTTACTCCTGTAACCCCACTGTGCACTAAAGGCCCACCAGTGCAATTCCAGGAGGTATTTAATAGCTAGTATTTGTGCAATCTTTCCTGATGCAGCAGGTGCTGGTGCAAGAACAATGTGACTACCAGGGCTGGTCCAAGACATTTTGGCACCTGAGAGTGAACTACAAAATAACCACTAGCAGGGGGAAAAGGAATGAATGAAGATCTACAACAGGAACAAGAGGGTAATAAGTATATATATTGGAAAGAAGGGTGGGAGGAGACAAAGTATTGCCTCCGATTTGCCAAAACGCTGCTTTAGAGGCATCATGGGGGAGCGCAGCTGTCAAGGAGGCAGCGCATCCAGCCTCCAAGGATGTTCTGCAGCTGTTGCTGATATTATGCTTAAGAGCTTGAAACTGCCTAATGGAACTTTCAGCTTCTTTCCCTTTCTAATAGCAAACCCCAATGATGAGTAACAAACTACTTTGGAATTCTGCCTATATTCAAAAATAGTTTGTCCGGAAGGCTTTTGTTTTAAAAGTGAAGTCTAAAGGCCTGTTGGGCATTTGAATCTAGTTGCATGGGTTGCTGAATTGTGGTAATTGCCTGCAAGGTACATTTTGCTATGCGGGTGGGTTTAGCTTCTTGGGAGGCAATTTGGCATCCCTCTTCAAGATGATATTCATTTTTTTCAATTTTTTTAAAAAAACACACTTTAAAACTCCAACTCTCTTGAAATATATTGTGAAATTCTGCTGGTTGGTATATTATTTATACTTACTGGGAACTCAGTACTTTCTGTGAACTGCTAACTAGTCTCCTCAGACTATTTTTATAAGAAGTTCTTTTCTTGTACTCTTTAAATGTACCTGATAAAAAGACTTGGACTCTGATAAGTGTCTACAGAGACATTTTAGCTCAGGACATTACATTTCATAAAATAAGTACAACTCATATAAACAAGAGTTTGAAGAACCAGGTTGTAGATTACAAAGCAGAATCTGTGTTATTAATCAACCACCATATAACCAATGCCATTCCGGTGATTTTATTCCTAGCCAGAACCGAACTCTAAGCCTCGACACAAATCTGTAATGGGCTAAAACATGTTTGTTTGTTTTTTCTAAAGATCCAGACATCTCGTTAAGAATATGGAAAGCTTGAACTCTCCGTTGTCTTTCCTAAACTGACCTTGAAGTGCACATGGCCAAACACATGCCCTCTTCCCAAGTGACATATGGACAGAGATGAAAGAAATAGCATAAAAAAGAGCAAGTGAGCATTTGTTCACACCATTCATATTTAAAATCCAGATTATCTGATGCTAACAGAGATTTACAAACTGATTCTACTAGCCTGATATTAGAGTCACGCCATGTAAGGCTAATGTATAAGAACTTTGCCTCTGAAATCATCAGAGTATTCTGTAAAAATGTAGAAGGTGGGATGTAAAGTACAATGATCCTTTGATGTATATTGATGCCAATATATAACTAATTAATAGCATCAACTGCAAAGAAAGGACATTACAACAGGATGCAGTGTTTATCAAATTTTTTATACTTTTGTTCTCTTCTAAACTTATGCTACCGTCTATGTAACATTCCAATGCACCACCAATAATCTGTTCCACAGGTGAATTTGTGTACACAACCATGTCTTTACTGTCCATTCTGTCTCCTATGTCATTTAGTTTCTATATGAAACCATTGGGAGCTGTCATCTGGGGATTTGGAACATGGTGTCGTAAGTATGCTGATGACATGTGACTTTATTTCTTCATTCCATTGGAATCAGGAAAGGCTGCAAAAGTGTTGGACGCGTATCTGGAGGTAGTGATGAACTGGATGGGGGCCAAAAAACTGAGGTTGAATCCTCATAAGATAGAAGTGCTGTAGATGGGTAGTTCCCATGTCTGGTCATTAAGTGTACATCCTGTTCTGAGCAGCGTTTTGCTACCCTTGAATATGAGGTTTGCAGTTTAGGAGTATTCCAACTTATCACTGGATTCCAACTTGTTAATGGAGTCTCAAATAGCTTCGCATCTAGGAGTGCTTATGCCCAGATTAGGCTGGTTCATCAGCTACAGCTGCTCCTGGACTGGGACAGCTTGGTCTCAGTTGTCCATGCTATAGTGACCTCCTGCTGGGACCACTGTAATGTGCTCTATGTGTGGCTGTCCTTGAAGATGGTCCAGAAGCTGCATCTAGTACAGAATGTGGCAGCTAGGTAGATAAATGGGGCAGTCCAATGGGACCCCAGTCCTGAAAGGACTGCACTGACTACCTGGGAGTTACTGGGCTCAATTCAAGGCATTAGTACTACCATATAAAGCGCTAAATGGCTTCAGGCCCGAGTACTGAAAAGAGCATCTTCCCCAATACCAACCATATCAGACTATGATTGGCAAGCAAGGCCTCGCTGTTGGTGCCACCACTGGGAACTACCTGGTTGGCACTGAGCTGTTGCAGGGACTTTTCATTGGTGGTCCCTCAGTTGTGGAATGCCCTGCCTAGTAAGGTGTGCCTGTCTCTATGATTATTAACTTTCTGGAGAAATTTGAAAACCTTCCGAGCCCCACACTGAGCAAAAGATTCCTGCATTGCAGTGGGTTGGACAAGACGACCCCCATGAACCCTTCCAACTCTACAATTCTATTATTCTAGATCATGCTGGAATGATTTTTTTTTAAAAAAGAAACTGATGTCTTGGTTTAAAATTAATTTGCAACTTTTCCCATGAACAATAAAATTATACTGATTTATATAGCATAGCTATTAATCTATGCATGCAGAATGAGTAGGGTTGTGTCCTTTCTGTGTATCCATCAAAAACAATATGCAAAGTGGCTATTATTTTTGTCACTCAGTGGAAATAAACTTACTTCTCCTCACCTTTCATAGGGAGAAGAGAGTTAGGTACAGACACTATTTTGATCACAGTAAGATGCTTGGCCTGATTTTCTTTCCTTGGGCCTCCCTAGTGTGTCCCCCCTAGTGTGCAGCAAGGGTAAGACACCTGGGGTTCTTCCTGATGCACTTCAGTGAGTGTCCACCCAACAGTGGTTTGATTATAGAGAAATATGGCACATGAATTGTATCAAGGTTTCTTAGATCCATTAAAACAGTTAACATGTGCAAGATACGATAAGCACTCAGATATATTATCTACTGCTAGAATTCAAGATTTCTCCCAAACTGATCACAACTTAAAAAAATATACTCACCCAAACACAGTTGTTCTTTTGATTTAATGTTTTCTAAGCTGCTTTTGAAGACAGCTAAATAAGCTGCTCTGCAGTTCTTATAAAATGTCTCCTCTTCATAATTCTGGGATCTTTTTGCTTGAGAACTTTCCTGGGATGGGGTCTGATCACTGAAGAGGGATGCATTGCTCTCCTGACTGCCAGCCATCCTGTGAATAATGCAAACATATCTAGAGCCTATTTCTTTTATTTGCATATTTCAGTATCACATCACCATCTGTCCATCCCTCTCAGGTGGGAGGGGGTGTTTACTGGACTTTGCTGTGAGCTTCTGCTTCTGCAAAAATGGGAATAGTCTGCAAATATGCTTTGACGTATATGTTTGCATTTCTTTTTAGAATATTTATATACCTTTGATAGCCATCATTTTCAAAGCCATTCACAATAATAAAATCAGATTTGCAGGTGTCTCATATTGCCCTCACAATGATAGACCCAGCATACCACACACTGTCTAATCTACGAAATGGTATCGTATGACTCCTTGTTCTGTTTCTATCAAAAGCTGTGGCATTGAAGGGTGGTCTGTGGAGTGGAGTTGTTTTTCAAAGCCCCCTTTCCCCAGTCCCTGAGGTTTTCCTGCAACCGCTACAGCTGCTGCAAATTTTGTGGAAACTATCATTGGCACCCAACTCTTAGAACTCTCCAGAGGAATGGGTGTTCTCTACCCAGCTCTCTTGCTGGAGTGGGGGTGGCTCAAGGAGATCCCAGGGAGCAGCTATTTTAGAAAACCCAGAGTTCCTCTGAAACAGCTGGAACATTCTCATTATTACATAAAAGTTTACACATTACACTGTAGCACAATATAGATGCAGTGGAGAATGAGGCATGAAGGGGGGGATTATTACGGCAGGACATCCCATAATGGCTAAGACTTGCTCTGCAACAAAGTATTTTTTTACCTTATCTTTTTAAAATCCATCTCATGCCTGGCATGAGTGCATAGTAGGTGCAGGAAAAACACCCAAAATTCTTGTACTTGCAAGCTCCCTGAGTTGTGTGCATCTGCTGCCTCACACCAGAATCAGCTTTTGGCATACCACTGAAAATGCCATTTCCCCAGTATCTACCAATGTGCGTTGAAAGATGAATCCTGCATGTGGCTGGCAGGTGCACTTGACCAGCTGCCCGTGGGCGAGCAGCCAACATGTGCTGGATTGCCATGTGAATAGGCTTCTCATTCTATTGAAATGGATTTGATTAAACACAAATCCTGGCTTTGATGAAATGTATGGGAATTTCTGTCCCTAGCAAAGGCAACATTTCCACCTTAAGCTGATCTAAAACTGGTGGTTTATAAGGTAGTGGTTTCCAAACCTTCGACCTTCAAGGTACCATTTTCCACAGCAACTCATCTGTCAAACAAGCCCTGAACATCCACCATGAAGCTCCCTGCATTCCAAGTGATTCTGGGGCATGTTCTAGAATAAGCTCAGCTAACACAATGCACTAGTTTACCTTACTATTCCCCATGCACTGTACCCTAAACACACTCAACACTTCCTTGTGGCTCTTTGTTGCAGGGAAATATCTATTCTAGGAAGCTTGTTCACCACTGCCATTTTTTTCACCAAGGAAACCAGATTACCTCAAAGGAAGCTCAAGGATTCTCCTAAGCATGATCTGAAAATCCAAGGTTTAAATATAAAGGTGTGCAACAGCAGAAGTGTAAAGATCTTGAGAGGGAATGGGTAGAAACTACTTCATTAACCTTTACATTCAAGATTCTAACAGGACTCTTCTCCAGGTCAGCTGTGTAAATCAGGAATTCACCTGAATAAAGGAGGACAATCAGACTGGAACACAGTAAGAGTGTTTAGGTAGGCCAGAAGAAATCTGGAACAAACAGGCAAAGGGTAGGTTAATCAGGATTCAGGTGAGATAGGAGGCTCACCAAAAAAAGAGCAACAGAATAAAATATATGATGCTGCCACACACTGAGTCAGGCCGATGGGCCATCTAGTTCAGGTACCTGTTTTATTTCCTCCATGAGACTGATAGCATCTTTGTGGGGGGATTATTTAGATTAGAAAAGCTGTGATTTCAGAAGCTGGGGAAATGTAGCACCTGATTCGATGTACAGCTGACTGATTAGGCTGCAATTTTATGCATGCTTATATGAAAGTAAGGGCCACTGAAATTAATAATATTACTTTCTTCCAAATAAATGGGTTATAGGCATGAGGGTGGCAGTCTGATTGTCTTTGGGGCAGTTTATTTCAAAAGGGCCAAGTGGATTTAAATGCAAGTGTTCTAACCTAATGGGTTTGTGAATTGGGCAGCCCATCACATGCAGTAGCTGCCTGGATGAAGAACCTAATAGCGCAACAGAAGAAAATTGTATAGAATAAAAGGACCACATAAATGCATTTTCTTTTTAAATAATTGATATAATTCTGCACAGCCTTTCCTCACATATGGTTAGTAAATGTCAATAGTAATTTTCTTCTATAACAAAGGTGATGAGGGTTTTTAGAAGGCCATCACAGAGGGGCATTAAATCGTGTGCTACTGTTGGTCTAACAGCCTGCAACATTATTTTATCCAGTGCTGACTTCTGAAAATATATTCCACTATAATAAATTGAATATTTCAAGTTCAATAACAAGACAACAACATAGGTAGGGTCCCCTTCAGGACTCATTGGAGCCTTACTCAGGAGGCCTAAATCACTCGCACCTTCTTGAGTTATATAGGCCTTTTACACTTGGGAAAGAAAGATAATAATCGCTTATCATGGATGAAGTACCCTATTTATAATGCACAGACCGCCTTGCCTGACAGTTTCATATTACAGTGGCATAAGAAGGACCCAACAGGGACACAGTCCAGTTACTGCAAACGGGTGTCACTATAATAATTAAGCACCAGTGTTAGCACACACAAAGGAAAGCGAGTTCTAGCCAATGAGGGAAAAGAGAATAAATGTTAATTTTCCAGTAACCAGTTTTATCAAATATGAACACTTGTTTATGCACCTCAGTTCTCTCATTACTTAGCCATTTCTTATTTGGGCAGCTGTGCAGCACAGAGATGTTTCCAATATGTTACTCAACGTACAGCATGCAAGAGTTATTTAGTAGAGGGAAGCTCTCTTGCTAAGGTTATTAAAATATAAACTTCACTGATAGTGCACTACAGAAATATAGACTAGGGAACAATTTTGTAGCGTCTACTGTTGGTGGCTGTAGACAATTTGACTGAATTTTCAAATTCTAATTTCTGTTATTTCAACATAGGATAGATGGCATTAAAATCTCACACCTACATTTCCCCCCATTATTTATTTAAAATAACTGCCCTTTCCAATTGTACTTCTGTGCCACTGCAGCCAGACTGGAACACACCATACACTTCCAGAAGCCGGCCTCAATTTAAATTGAATGTACTTGGGAGTTAGAGCATGTCCAAATGATATTCTTCCTGGGACCTGAATGTACTAGATGCAGCACGTCCAGTTCCAACAAAGGAAGACTTTGCCAGTTCCCACACCTGTCCACACTTGTGGCATTACAGTATCAGGCAATGTTTTTTTACACAGAGGAATACTGAACAACACCTTCCACATACTATGTCCTTTTCTCAAACACTGCTTACTAAGTGCCTACTTCCAAACAGAGTAAACATTCCATAAATGCTTACTGGTATATTTGTAAATAAGTTCAATTAAAATACTTGGGATTGAAGTATACTGCAAAAATATTCACTCTGAATGACCATTTCCTAGACTCCAAAGTCAAAATTGATGACCAGGAGCAAGATGCTAATTAGCCCTCAGTGCACACAGAGGAGAAGACTAGGTGATGTGATGAACAGAAGAACAAGGTAATAGGCATAATAGCTGTATCCTAGTTTTAATACATTAAATTTTATGGGTAAACGCTGCCAAAATCTGCTTTCATTATTGTGGAAAACTGGCTGCCTAAGAAGAACTCTCCCAATACTTACTGAAGGATGAAGTTTTCCCTGCTAACACAACTCATTTGTGTGATACTATATTACAGAAGTCCTGAAGAGAAACAGTGTTTGGATTATTCTCAGCAGAACACTCCCTCTGCAAAAGCCATGGGCGTAGCCAGGATATTGTTAGGGGGCAGGGCTTTTGTTAGTGGAGCAGGCCTTTTGTTGGGGGGGCAGGACCTCAGTTTGCTATGTATTTTTATTGATTTGGGGGGCAGCTGTCCCACGCCTTGACTACACCCATGTGAAGCCACATTCTTTCAAAAGGCCCTTACAGACCAATCCATGTTTACTCAGAAGTAAGCCCCATAATTCTATGTGATTTATTTCCACCTAAGTAAGCACACAACTGTAAGCACACAAGTAAGCACACCACTGCAGTCAAAATTCTCTGTGTAGATGTTAAAAATCTGCCTTAGACTCAATGCAACTAAGGTGGAAGTGGGATCAAGCCTTCTATCCCAACTCCAGGCTCCAGTGTACAAGTTAGACATGCATGACTGCACGAGTTTCATGTACACAGGAAGTCAACACACAGGACACCAGGGGTGGGAAAGACAGGGAACAGGGCTTAAATCAGACGAGACACTGTCAACTGCACAGACAATTCCTTATTCTACCATGCAGACCAGCCCCTAAATCAGTGTGTGCAGTTGACAAGCAATGCGTGGTTTGGGAGGATGACATACTGAATCATCTGATTCAAGGATTGGAAGCAAATTGTAACCCTAGAGCAGGCATGTCCAACAGGTAGATCTGGTAGATCGCGGGGTGTTCCTGGTATATCCTGGTAGATCTCTGGCCCCTCAGTGATCACCTTCTCCCCCCCCCCAAAAAAAACCCCTCAACAACTCAGGCTTCCTAAAAAAGCTCAAGAACTTTGGTCCATCCAACGACAATGGGTAGATCACTGCCAGTGTTTTTATATTGTGAGTAGATCACAGTCTATTGGGAGTTGGACATCCTTGCCCTAGAGTAAGGTACATCTAGTTACCACTTCTCTACAGTTTCCTTGCCATGCACAGGAAGTAAATACGCCTGATCAAAACCTGTAACCAAACCCCAGTGAACCAGCTCCTACCATAATGAAAGATGTCGCAACATTTTATGGTACTTTTTGGGGGGGAATCATGTGAAGTGCCCTAATATCTTGTGATGAGCGGCGGTACATAAATGTAATTAATTAATTACCACCAGTGCTATTTTTTTTTAATAGAAAAAGAGGTGCAGGAGCTCACCAGGAACACTTCCTTTCTTCTTCTCTTAGGATAGCAATGGCGCTCACCTGAGAGGCGCCGGAACGGAGTTCCTGTGAGTTCCCTCTGGGGGGAAAAGCCCTGATAATAACGACAACAACAACAGGTCTTTAAACTTTGCCAGATGGAGCTCCAAAACCCAATGTCGAAGTCAGGGCTTGGGCTGTGATTTGCATAAGTGCATCTAGGCACCAGCAGAAAAAGCCTTTTCTTCATCTCTGCAGAGGAATAGCTTCCCAGCCACCCCCCCCCAAAAAAAAACATATTACCTGAGAATACAAGAAAATTCACGCACTCTCAGTTTACCCCCCAAAAGCGGCAAACTATTCGACCGTGACACGATTCAGAAAGGAACAGAACGCCGCCGCCTCTTTATTTGGACCAACCCGGATCTTAAATCCGAATTCCGTGACTTGAAGCCACTTCGCTTTTGCAAGTCCTTGACACGCTTGTGAGAACAGCCGCTATAACCGCGGTGATAATGAGAGGGGCGGAGGTTGTGGGGGGGGGGCGGAGAGAGAGAGAATATAAAAGACGATGAGACGAGAAGCAAATGAGGAGAAAGTCCGACCTGGCCTTGGGCGTTTTTTGCGGCCCTGCCTTCTTTGTCGCCGTCGCCTAGTAACCCGCGTCTGCCTTTGCCAGGCCGAGCCGAGACCCGGAGCTTCCAGGGCCCGCCTTCTTCCCCGCAGACTGGCCGTGTTTCTACCCGGAGCGCTTTGAGAGCTGCACGGCGGGAATCTCAGTTTCGAGGGCTGGGAAGGCGAAGAAGCGCGTCGGGCGCCGGACATGCCGTGAGTCGCGGGCGGGGTGAGGGGTAGTTGGATAGACGGGCAGGACCTGGTGGGCCCACGGGGCATTTCATCTCCCCCTACACCCCCCTTCCCTTCCTTATGTGCATTTCATTTCAACTGGAGAGAGCCAGAGTATAGCCCTATGTAGGTTTTTTGTATACCTGTTTAGGGAAGTTTTAAATGTTTGATGTTTTGTCGCTTTATTATTATTATTATTATTCTGTTGGGAGCTTCCCAGAGTGGACATAGCTGTCAACGTTTCCCTTTTTTAAAAGGGGAATTCCCTTATTCCGAATAGGATTCCTCGCAAGAAAAGGGAAAAGTTGACAGCTATGACCGGGGTATAAATAATATGTTATTATTTTATTATTCAAGGCTGAGGGCTTCCTTGCACGGGTCTTCGGCTACTACTCCAACAAGTTCTCGACGCGATGGGAGTACATTAGTAGTGCTTCGGTTTCTTTTGTGGCGCTTCTCCAATTAGGCTACCGTAATATATATATATATATCCCTTTTGATGTCTCTGAGCACATCAAAAGCAGGACAGAAATATAAGCAGGACCTGTTGTGGTGTGAAAAGCTGTGCGATTTCAGCTGCTGGTTGCTTACGGCGGGATACGCACAGGTTGGGAATGAAGCGGTGTGACTGCTGCCCCCACAAACTGCCATCTCATTGGGAATGCTCAATAAAAAGGACCCATGGAAGGGAACCTTAGGAAGAAACAGGGATGGCAGATGTGTGTCTGAGCCAGAGCCAGCCCCGTCATTAGGCAGGGTGAAGCCACTGCCTCAGGTGGCAGAACACCACCACCGGTGCCCTGTCGCCACCATTGGTGCCGATTGGGGGCAAGATCACGTCCATCTTGCCCCAAATTGGCGAGATCTTGACCCGAGTCGGCACTGATGGTGGTGCCACTTCTCTATCAGTGACAGATGTGACAAAGCTCGCAGCAGAACGGGTGGCGATGGCAGGAGCAGGTAGGTGGTGTGGGAGTGACAGCAGTAGCAGGGCAAGGCATCACTTCCCATTTCTCCTCAAGTGGTGAAACAGGATGCAGCGCCCCTGCTCTGAGCATATGTAGAGTGTTTTCTGCTTACCAATACAAAACTTAGACCCTATAGTGTGTGGGATTGCTTGCTACAGAATAGGTGAAAAGAGATGTTTTCCAGGCATTTTAAGTATGTTTGCTCAGTTGAAAATCCCACTAAGGACACAGTCCTGATCTCACTTTCCTGGGAGTTAGCCCCATTGAATACAGTCTAACTTATGTCAGACTAGATGTGGTTAGGGTTGTGCTTTGGGTTTAATGAGACTTATCCTTAAGTGGGTTTAGGTCTGCAGCATTGCCCAAGACATTAAACACAAGTGTTTGAAGATACAGAATTAAAAGAGTATGTAATAAAAATCCTTCTGTTCCATTCATTTTCCAAGTATTTTGTTGCATATTAGTGTTCATTGAAGCACTACATAAATGTGTTTCTCTCATACATTAGTTTGTTTGTTTGTTTGTTTGTTTATTATTGATACATACACCAGGCGTTCCATATAGAGCTAGAAAGAAAGGTCCCTGTTCTGACAAGCTTATAGCCAGACAGAACAATTCAGGGAGCCTTTGGCACAATGGGTCAGTGCATCTGGCTGTTAACCAGAAGGTTGGTGGTTCAGGCCCACCCAGGGACAGCTGTGGGCAGGATTCCTGCATTGCAGGGGGTTGGACTAGATGACCCTGAGCGTCCCTTCCAACTCTACAATTCTATGTTTCTAACTGGGCAGATACACTTGTGTATATCTTGTGTGAGGTAGGCTAGGCTACATGCTAACTGTTCCTGATTATGGGGGCTGGGGTGGCAATGTATACATAATCTGCCCTTCCATTGTCTCCGATGAATCCGAATAAGGCAGCTGCGTATGTTCCTCTGAAGCAGACCACCTTAAGATGATAGGAAGTGGTGGAGTAGTGCATATGGAGGGGTCAATAGATGTTTAAGGCACGCTATCTTTGAGTACAGTCATGGAGATGACTGCTGATAGAAGAGTTGGTCATAACCTCTTCAGGGTATAGCGTAGGCTTCTCAGAACACTGCTGACTATCTCCAAAGTGGGGTGGGGTTTGCTGGTTTCCTTTGTCATTAAAAATAGTGTTGGAGAGAAGAATAATGGGCCTGGCTTCTCCTCAAGTCCTACAATAGTTCAATCCCAAATCTAAAGTAGCATATCATGGTTACGGAAGTTCTGATAAGAAGTATATGGAAGACAACTAGTGTTGCTGTGAGTAATGAATAAGCTATCGCAGAGGACACTCCTAATCAATTCCCTGATGCTGATGGCTGGAAGAAGTTAGGATTGTGGCCTGGTGTCTCACTCCTGGCCTCTACCAGCAGAGAGGAGTGCTGCCAGTGCAGATGATCTCTGCCATGGTGGAGACCCCAGTTGCACCCAGGCAGGTGGATAGTGTTAAGCCTCAAAATGAGGCATTACAAGGGCAAGCACCAAATCCAAAGCCCCATGGAACTGGGTCCCTCAGCTACTTGAGCCTGCAACTAGCATATCAAGAAAGGGGAAAAATGCCCTCCACCTTTGTCCCTGGCGGGTGTGTGCTGAGGTGGCAGGACTTAGGATCCAGTGGTGGATATTGCACCCAACTCTTCTTTGAGCCCACTTAGAATTGCTCTGCCACTCATTAGTTACCTCCTTTAAGTACATTGACAAATAGTGAGCATAACCAACTATAACTTATGAATGGATAGATGGGATGGAAGGACGAAGACATTTCCCCAAAGGGTCCATCCACCATACCATTCCATGGAACTGGTAAACAGAAGCATTTAGCTTCCTAAGTTAAACTACAGTGGTACCTCAGGTTACATACGCTTCAGGTTATATACGCTTCAGGTTACAGACTCCGCTAACCCAGAAATAGTGCTTCAGGTTAAGAACTTTGCTTCAGGATGAGAACAGAAATCGTGCTCCGGTGGCGCGGCAGCAGCAGGAGGCCCCATTAGCTAAAGTGGTGCTTCAGGTTAAGAACAGTTTCAGGTTAAGTACAGACCTCTGGAATGAATTAAGTACTTAACCCGAGGTACCACTGTAACTTTGTATGCAGTCCTATACATATACCGTATTTTTTGCTCTATAAGACGCACCAGACCACAAGACGCACCTAGTTTTTGGAGGAGGAAAACAAGAAAAAAAATATATTCTGAATCTCAGAAGCCAGAACAGCAAGAGGGATCGCTGTGCAGTGAAAGCAGCAATCCCTCTTGCTGTTCTGGCTTCTGGGATAGCTGCGCAGCATGCATTCGCACCACAAGACGCACACACATTTCCCCTTACTTTTTAGGAGGGAAAAAGTGAGTCTTATAGAGCAAAAAATACGGTACTGTGTTTACTTGGGAATACATCTCATTGAACTCAATAGGACTGATTCATGCCTAGATATGCATAGGACTGCATTGTTAGTCTCTATCGAACCCAGAGTCAATGATAACTAGAATTCACATTTTCATGCATTTACTTTGTTCAACTGTGGCAGTCTAGTTTGAATGACAGGCTAGTCCATCTTAAATATAATTTATTTTCTGATACTGATATCCTATGAGACATAAACAGTGATGTGAAATAAACAAATTCTTCTAATGCAACTTTTTTCATAGTGGAGCCTTGAATGAATTTCCTGCCCTTTAAATTGGCACTAGTGCTCCCACCTGCCTCTGTTACTGTTAGTGCATTGGGGAGGCAAGCATTTATGTTGGGCACAGTGGTAGTTATGCCTGTTTGGACTTGTAGGGTGGAAGGCAAGGAGGCCACCAGTAGGTGGAGCCAGAGCTAATGGCAGGTAAAAGGTAAAGGTAAAGGGACCCCTGACCATTAGGTCCAGTCGTGACCGACTCTGGGGTTGCGGTGCTCATATCGCTTTATTGGCTGAGAGAGCCAGCGTACATGTGGCCAGCATGACTAAGCCGCTTCTGGCGAACCAGAGCAGCACACGGAAACGGCGTCCTACTAATTCTAGTTTTGTCCCCATCCTTTTTGCTGAGTTCCTGCTGCTTTGCCCACCCCCACCCCCCATTGTTTAGCTGCTGTGCAAAGTCACTGTTTTTCCTGCAGGTTGTCCAACCCAAGCTTGTGGTTCAGCTTTCCCAGACAAACCCTAAGCTATAAACCACAGGACAAATTTTGATTATCGCTCATGGTTAATCTGCAGGGAGCTAAATCATGAGCCTACATGCTAAACCAAACCATGGTTTAGCTCAGCATAGCACAGCAGTAAAATGGCTGTAATCTCTCCAGGAGCCCGTGCATTGTGTGATGTCCAAACCAGGCCTATAACTACTACCAGCCAAAGTCACTGGAAGATTTTAAATAGCATAGTTCTTGACCATTCTGCCACTTTTTTTTGTCAAGTCTTTTTTTTCAGGTTGCTATAATTTAATGTGATTTTCATGTAGTTTTTCATTTATCCTAATCATAAAGCTACCTTGAGTCCAGATTCAGCTGTACTTTGGCTTCCAGCTTCCTCTGAAGTCCGTCATAAAAACTTCCATCATAGCATGCCTTAGTATAGCATGCAAATACATGGTCCCCTAGAGCACCTTTGCAGAGTGAATGTATTAGCGTATAAAATGTTTCTCTGCTGCCACTGGGGTGGAAGATGTAATGGAGTCTACATTCCTTAAGCAATATGAGGCACTATATTTAAAAAGAAACATGATGTTAAGAATTTTTGTCAAACTGTTTCAGCTTTGACTATCCCTTGGCAAGAATGTGGATGGCTTTTTAATATAAAAAAATGTAAATCTTGCACAGTATAGTTAGTCTGCTTTTTAAGACAAAAATGTTTTTCAGTGATCTATTTTCAACATAAGATGTTAAACTGGAACTAGCATACTACAGTCATGTTTCAAATATGCTTTTAAACTTTCTTTCTATGGTTCACCTTGAAGAATGACAAGGTTACAAAAATGCTTTGAGTGAAATCATTTCAGACCGTGGCCCTGCTGGAATGCCAAGCCATTTATGCTTGCAGAATCTGGGCTTTGTTAAACCTTATGAGCATTTTTAGCATTGAGATCTTGGTTACTAAATCAAAATGCCCTATTCCTAATATGGTGCCTGCGCCTTTCTATTCTGAAATGAAATGTTTCTGCAAACCTTGTTTAATCTAAAATAATCTTCTGAAGCTTTTATTGGATGATTTTAAGGGTTTTTAGTTGCTTTATATAAAAAGGCCTTTAACTGTTGTTTAAGATTTAAGAATGTAGTTTAAAAGTTGGAGTTGTCTCTGGGAAAAAATAGTCTTAATTTATGTTGACCTTTCCTTCCTTTGAGTATTTAGTCTGCATTCAATAAAATTTTGATGACTGCTCTTTAGAAGACAGCTGTACGATGTAAAGTATTATAAATATTCAGCTTTCCATTCCTAGTGTTGCCATTAACAGCTGGGCATCCAGTTCAGCAGAACAGATTTTACAGAGAAAGCTTGGCGTGTTCCTGAATCAGTATAGTGAAGAACACGAGAAAATAGTTTCGTATGGTTTAGGGACCTGTAAAGACATAGAGCATCTGTTCCCTAGTTAAGTCAAAGTCTAGTAGCATTGAATCATGTTAAGAGCTAAAATGATGAGAAGAACTACTTTTTTCACCTTGAATGTACTGGTGGTTAAATGCCTAGTACATTATTTCTGTGAACAGCAAAATAATTGCAACACCTACAGGTAAGTTGTTATGCACGTCCGTATAATCTCATTCTTTATCAGTTTTATATAAAAAGCAATTGTTTTTTATTGTTATTTTTTTGGTAGTGTGACATTGGGATAGTGGACAGGTTGGGCAGGGGGGCAATCAGGATAGGATCAAATTTTCAAAGCAGTATTCAAAAACTATATGCCATGTATGAGGTTAGTTTTACTAGTGTAAAAAATGCTGTATGTGGTCTGATAACCACTGATAAGGTTATCAATATAAACTTTGCTTTGGAAATATGATAAAACTTGCTCCCCCCCTTTTCTTTTCTAGTGCTAAGAAAGCTCTGAAGTTGGAAAGCCTTGCCATGGGAAAAGTAAGTGTGTGTGTTTGTGTGTGTGTGTGTGTGTGTGTGTGGGGCGCACACGACGATTAAATTATTTTCTAGGATATACATAAATGATCAGAATGTTCAGTGAGACTATCATAAATTACTTGGCAATCTGCAGTAAAGCATTCCTGAATATGGAAAAGAATTGACTGCCAGACGTCTTTGGGAGAAAAACTATTCTTATATAATATTCAGACTTTGCCTACATGAAGCAATTGGCTATAACTGAGGAGACTGCAGTGGTTGTTCTTTATTATGTACACGCCTCTCTCAAATGAGTTAGGGACCTTTGTGAAATCATTTATTAGAAATTAGTTCCGTAATTTGTGAAGCAAATGCAGTGCCATCTCTCTGTACATATAACAATATGGGATTATGATAATGCCGTAATCTGCATATTATAAACTGCAAAATTGAAATGAAAACATTAAAGACATTTTTATGTTGAGAATATAATTACCTCTCTCAGCTAATCTAACATAATGAAACGATAAAGTACTAACACTGCAATAAATTTCCCCTACAGTTATCACAATAAAAATAAAATTGTACTGTTGCTGTCCCCCACCCCCACCCCATCTCTCTCTCTGATAAAATGTGGCCATTCCGTTTTTCCAGTGCCATCATGTCACGACATATGCCAGTTTATTATCTTCCAATACCAACTGTGGGCGTTGCTATGAACAATAATGCAGAGGAGTTCATTGGGCAGGTAGCCTTTAAGGAGGCAAAATTGGTGGGGGGAAATGTATACCTAAATGTTTGGTAAATAAAATGAGCCTCCTGTTTTGTTTCTACATACCAACAGTTTCTTTATAGATGGTAGTCTTCAGAGGTCTCAGTGGTACTTAGCAAAATTGGAAACTTGGCAGTGTTAAAAATCTTCTGTATACTTTTTGTATTTAAGCAAAGGTGACAAAATACAGCAGGGGCACTAACAAAAATCATTAGCAATTTAATTAGCAATTTAGTTTTCCATTACCCACCTTGTTGTGCTCTGAATACAGCTGTGACTGTAATTTTGCATCTGCTTCCTTGGTTGGAGTAGCATTTTTGGAGGCGAGCAGTCCAGCTTGAAATGATTCTGTTCCACCCTAAAGCTATTTTTCCTTCTGAAATGGAAATTAAAAGGGGGAAAAATGTCTGTGTTGAGATTAACTATTTAGGAAGTTTCTAGTGTCAAAATTTCTTCATTGAAAGCTTGAGGTTTCAGGTTTTCCAAAATTCAGTGATGGAATTAATTTCTAAAGCTGTCTATGAAGCAGAATTATTATTGCTAGTATAAATGTTGTATCCTTATCCAGAGTTTTAAGATAATTGAAATAGTTATGTGAAAAGGAAAGGGGAAAGGGAGAAAATGGTTTATTATATGTTTCAGAAACACGCATAGGAGTTTACTATCAGTCATTCCCAATTGAAACAAAGGTGGCTATTCTGCAGCTCTCCAGATGTTGTTGGACTACAACTCCCATAAGCCCCAGTCAGCATAGCCAGGGGTCAGAAGTGAAGGGAGTTGGAAGCCAATAACATCTAGAGAGCCATCCTTCCTGCACTGAGAAATGTTAATTCTCACTCTTTACTTTTCCTAACTCTGCGTGTTTACTCAGAAGACAGTCCTACTTGGTTCAGTGAGGTCTCCTTCCAAGCAAATGAGTGTAGGATTGCACCTTAATTAATCCTTTGGTTTATTTACTTATGGCATCTGTATGCTGCCACATAACAATAAACTTCTTGGGCTGGGTTACAATAAATAAGTAAAATCCCTAACAACAAATTAAATACAACATAAAACCATAAAGTAAAAAATACAACAAAAACAAAACTCACTACACACCTCCCCCCACTCCAAATGAAGACACAGGCTTAAAATTGAAGGGTCCACACTACATAAGTACCTGATGTTGAAAAGAGGCCAAAGATGGTGTCAGCCAAGCTTCCATGGGAAGGCTCCCAGGGATTCCAACTCCATAGTCCTGTGCAAACAGTACTTCAGTATACCTGAACTTGTGACTGTACAGCTGTCTGATCGGTGTATTTTTGGTGTTTTACCTCATTGTCTCATTGCTAATAGTATATTTCTTTTAACTTAAGTTTGCTTTGGAAGATTTGTTTTAGAATCGGGTTACAAGTAACACCAATCTATCAGTCTGCAAAATACTTACGGTAAATATATATTTTTAACTTACTCCAGGTGTAGCACATTTTCTGCATCTCGTGCCATACTGTTGGCAGGGATTCTTCTGATGAGTGGGTCATTTGGGAAGAGCCATGCTGCACCCCTCTGGTGACTCATGGGGCTTAGCGTGGCTAGTTCCCAAGTGATTCTTTCATTCAGATTTTGCTGATGTGACCTAGGATCCACTGCATGGGTGATGTTTACATTAGGCCTACATCTATGGAGTCACCCAAATAGGCCACAAGCAATTCAGCAGAATATGGCTATATTGCAGCCTTATAAATGAGACCACAGAAGTCACTAGTTTGCAGAAAAAAAGAAAAAAAGAAAAAAGTTTATTAGTCTGCTGGGGGTTGGCAGAGGAAGGAAGGCAAGCTCTTCCCTTCTTGCAGTAGCCCTGTACTAGTCATGAAAGAGGGGATTTCCTTCCCTGGCAGTCCACTTGGCATCTGTGCTCAGTGCAGAGGGAGTGATGAAGCTCTTCATCCTTTTTTCACCAGCCTGCTCACTTGTCTACATGCAGTTTCTTCCTGCCTATTACTTCTAGGCTAGTGGTTTAAATACGAGGCTGCTGTGTCATAAATTGAGGATTGGTAGGCTAATCCACTAATATTTTCACACCAAACCTAGTATTTATACAAAACATGTAAAGGTCAAGGAGCCTTGGATGGTTAAGTTCAGTCAAAGGCGACTATGAAGTGCGGCACTCATCTTGCTTCAGGCCGAGGGAGCCAGCGTTTGTCCACAGACAACTTTCTGGGTCATGTGGCCAGCATTATTAAACCGCTTCTGGCTCAACAGAACACTGTGATGGAAGCCAGAACACACAGAAACACTGTTTACCTTTCCTCCGCAGCGGTACCTATTTACCTACTTGCACTGGCATGCTTTCGAACTGCTAGGTTGGCAGAAGCTGGGACAGAGCAACAGGAGCTCACCCCGTCACGTGGATTCAAACCAGCAACCTTCTGATCAGCAAGCCCAAGAGACTCGGTGGTTTAGACCACAGCGCCACCCGCTCTCAAAATTTGGAATCGCCGAGCATTTACAGTCATAGTTCCGGAGTATTAAGGAGCAACAGTGTTTTACTGTAGGGCAAGGATGGGGAACCTGTGGTCTTCCAGATGTTCTTGGATCACAACTTATTTAATTATTGACCATTGGCCATTTGCACTTAGGCTGATGGGAGTTGGAGTTCAGCAACATCTGGAAGGCCATAGTTCTCTCATCCCTGCTATAAGGCAAGTTTTGTGCTATTTATATAGCTTCACCTTTCAGAGTCACCTTTCTAAAAGACCATTTCAGTTGGAACATGAGAGGTAGTTTGCTCATTTAATTTGATTGTTCTTTCCACTAATGTGATAGATGGCCCTGAGTGTTGTAGCTATTTTCCTTCATCATGAATTGTTAAACAAAAAGTTAACATCTTGTGTTAGTCCCTTGGAATAGATGGGTGGGCTTGAAAATCATTTGATTCTTTTTTGTTTGCATAAAGGACTAAACGTGAGACTCATGTTACCAGCACAAGGACTAGAAACATAGTGTGTTCTAGGAACTTGAGCTTTGAAGTGTTAAAGTGTGTGGGATACCTAAAAATACACCGAGAGGCATGATTCCCCACATCTGTTATAGGAGAATTCTATAGCCTGCCTTGACTAGAAATATAAAGGCAGAATTGGATATTGTCAAGGTTGAAAAGGAAAACATGAATGTGCTTTACACTGCATAATAATCCTGTACAGGTTGTTTTGTTACCATTATTTATTATTCTTTAGGTGTCTGCAACACCATTGCCAAGGAGTAAGAAGAATCTCAAGTCTTATTCACCAACAACAGGAACGTGCCCAATCAGTCCTTTTTCAACTCCCAGGAGCAATAATGTACAAGAGCATGGAAATGGTCTATCAAATGGTTAGTTGAACATTCTCTCCTACTTACTGCAGAATTTTTCTGGTTATTGACCAAGTCAAATTCTTGATTTAGTAATTTATGTCTTGTGCGGTAATTCTGATTCCTTCCACCCACCCACCCACGAATATGAATTTGGATCTTTATGGTAAAGTCCAACTTTTCTGCAGCCTTCACAAACCTCTTCAACAATTCTCCTCTGACTAGTTTTGCTTACTTTTGCTCGCTGAGGAGAATCAAGCAGTGGCATAGTTAGCCGCTTGGGCGCCTGGGGCAGCATGTGCGTTCTGCGCATAGGGGGCATGGCAAGCTGTTGGCAGGGCAGGGCGTGCTGCCAGAGTCCCAGTTCCTGAGCTGCCGTGTTCCGTTTGGGCGCCCTGTGGGCCTGTGTTGCTTTTTCAAGCAGTGCAGAGCCTGCCCGCTGCCTCCCCCCCAGCTGGAGGTCGGCTGAGGGGCAGGTGGGGGGCAGAGGCTGGCCCCACACTGCTTTTTTGGACGACATAGTGCCTGCAGGTGCCCGAGCCACTCCCAGTAGAGACACAATGGCTCAGGCGCGCTGCGGGCTCAGTGCTGCTCGCGGGACCAGCGCATGCCAGTTGCGTCCTTCTCAGCCGCCCTCTGGCAGCTGGGGGAAATGCAGCAGTCAACACCCTGTGAGCACAGCCCTGGGCTGCGGTGCTTTGGGGAGCATCACACTGTGCTCTGGGGCACCTGGACTTGGGCGTCATCTTGGGCTCTGGCATGCCGCCCCCAAGGTAAGTGCTGCCCATATAATAATAATTATTATAATTTATTATTTATACTCCGCCCATCTGGCTGGGTTTCCCCAGCCACTCTGGGCGGCTTCCAACAAACAATTAAAAATACCTTAAAACATCAGTCATTAAAAGCTTCCCTAAGCTGGGCTGCCTTCAGATGCCTTCTAAACGTCAGAGAGTTGTTTATTTCTTTGACATCTGATGGGAAGGCATTCCACAGGGCGAGTGCCACTACTGAGAAGGCCCTCTGCCTGGTTCCTTGTAACTTCACTTCTCGCAGTGAGGGAACTGCCAGAAGGCCCTCAGTGCTGGACATCAGTGTCCGCATTGAACGATGGGGTGGAGACGCTCCTTTAGGTATACTGGACCGGGGCCGTTTAGGGCTTTAAAGGTCAGCACCAACACTTTGAATTGTGCTTGGAAACGTACTGGCCCAGTCTGACACACCCCCCCCAGCTACACAACTGGAATCAGGCATTGAATTTAATAGAACCAAATTTCTCACTGTGTAGAGTGGGCAGAGTTTGTTAATCCAGCGAGTTTGTGCTGTTACTAGTTCCCTGCCCTTTGAAACTTGCTATGATAACATTTAACAGGTTTGGCATCTGTATTGGGGAAAGTAAAGAAGGTCTTACCTGCCCTGTACAATGGAACTGAGGGTGCTGCCTTGTGTATAGGGTGACCGTCAGTCCCCCTAGCTCAGTGGTGACTACACTGACTGGCAACAGATCTCCAAGGTTTCAGGCAGGGATCCCACCCAGCCCTGATAAGAAATGGTGAGGATTGAACCTGGGACCTTCTGCATTCAAATTATATGCTCTAACACTGAGCCCTGTAATGATGGCTAATCATATTTTAATAATGCTGAACCCTGCATTAATTTGTCTGTATGTCTGATCCTGTGCAAATCTTCTAACCTTTTACCGTCAGTCTACATCATCATACATGCACAATCTTTTTCAGGCTTATGCAAGTTCTTTACAGTGAACATTTGCAGAACATGGTAGCACAAAGGTTTATATCTCAACTAAGTCATCTTTGGTGGGAGCATCCGTTCCACTAATGAAGCACTTCTACAAGCAGAAGGGGAATAGTATGGTTCCCTCTTCTCCCCTCCACTTCTGTTTGTGGAAAATCTGCCCTGAAGGATCCTCCACTTGGGAATCTTTACTGGATCCCGCCTCTCGCTGTCAACAGAAGGCATCCTTCCATTTGCAGATGGCTAGTGGCTATCGAGTGCAATTTGCCTTAATATTGTTCTCCATGCATCTTGGTGTTCAACAAGGCATAATTTTAAAAAAATCAAAACGCTTATCTCATAAGAAAATAAGACGAGCCCTAGTGGATCAGACCAGTGGCCTGTTTTGTCCAGCATCCTTTTCCCACAGTTACCAACCAGATGCCAAAAGCAGGACAATATCTGATTTGCATTGTTGTTTTCCAGCAACTGGTATTAAGAGGCATGGGGCCTGGGATCATGGAGGCAGTATATAGCCATTGATAACCTTATCTTCCATCTGTTTTGAAACCTTTTTTGACGTTGGTGGGTGTTACTACTTGCGCTAGTTAATTCCACAGTTTAACTTTATATCCCTTTGCTGGGAGAAGTGTCCATTTAGCCTTACTCTCTGCTTCCTGTCCTTCGGAACCAAACACATTTTGCCAGTACTTGAAAACCTAACAGTCTTCTAGGTATACTAAAGTGTTGGTCCTGCCCTCAAATAATTTGGGTGTTGTTGTTTTAGCATGAGATGAGAAATGCATTGTGATTTAATTTCACAGAATAATACAAGAAAGGAGTTACTGTTGAGGTGAAGAAGAGGAAGCAGAGGACCTGGTTTAGGAATCCATATTACTTGATCTAGATACTTTTAGTGAGATGCTATCTATATTTGATTGCATATCACAGGCCGTTTTGCAAAATGCAGCCATTTTACACAAAGCAGCCAGTTGCTTGTAGGAGAAAAAACACAGTATGACCATTTGTGAAAGCACATCTTTGCTCTGCTGATTCTGCCCTGTTAACTGAAAACTGACTGACATTTTAAAGCAGTGAAGTGTACATACAACTTGAAAACTCCAAATGCTGTTATCTCCCCACTTCCCAAGCCAATCTTTTATTGATGATATTATATGAGTTTTGCTTTCGCTGTTCATATGTGATTCTGTGTTTGTGTGTGAGGGAGGGAGGGAAGGAGGGAGGGAAAAAGTGAAACAGGGGAAAAAATCTGTTGGATTTTTTTCACATGCCATTTCTGACAAAAAAAGGGGGAAATGCCTGAAGGAGTAAAACGCCTGTGTGCCGGGATGTCAAAGGCAAAGGTGAGTGTGTGCTATATTTCCATATTGTAATTAAATATGGGCATAAGGGAACAGTCCTTTTGCACATAAAAAGAGAGATCACGTGTCCGCAGCTGACATTTAGATGGATAATTATTCAGTAAAGTAGGAATAGCTTTCCTTTTCTAGTTTCACCAAGCTACAAAATGGTGGTAAGGACGTAGAATTCTGAGTTGTCTCCTATATATTTAATGTTTTCTTTTTATCTTGCAACAGTGTTAACACTGCTTTATTGTTGATAGATATATAAGTGCAATTATACAAGTTGCACTTGTTATTACACTAAATGTATTTTGACCTGAAACACATACACACGCACATATATCCCCATATCCCTAAGGGCTTTTTCATTTACACTCTTTGTTTTGGTCTGTCCTCTATCCTTGAGCCTTCGCAATGAGATCGAATACAAAATCCAGTAAAATCTCATTCATATATATATATATATATATATATATATATAGTCTTGTTGAACATTGATATGTACAGAGAACAATATTAAGGCAAATTGCACTGCATAGCAACTAACCCTCTGCAAATGGAAGGGCTCATTCTGTTTGCAGGGAGCGCTGGGATCGATTGCAGGCTCCCATTAGCGTACTGGGCAAGGATGGCATTTTCTGCTCCTCACTCTTTTCTCTTGCAGTCCCTTGCACCATTGTCATGTTACTATGTAGGATCCTTAAGAGTAGTGTTTTCAATTGCTCTGTGTTTTTTGTGAGTTTGATCTTATGGGGCAGCTATATAACTTTGGTTAGTAAAGAAATAATTTCAAATGGAAATTATAGTGGTTATTGAGCATGTTCTTTCATATACCTAGCATCCAAATTAATAATACATAATATCTTGCATTTGCCAACAATCTTACATTTCTATGGAGTGAAATGAATGTTGGGAATTTTTTAACCTCTTAAATCTATTAGTAGTAGTATTAACTTTACCATTTCTATTTTTGTATTTGTAGCTTTCCTTTCTAACATAAGATGTTTATAATGGAAAAGCTGTAATTAATTAAATGTCAGGTTACGGTGCATTTGTAATGAAAAGGGGGTGGGAATAGAGAAAATAGTTCATGTTTATCTTTCATGCAGAAGATGGTAAATCTTTATACTGTTTTGATTTTTGTCTTCAACTACAGGATGGTTATAGTGTTAATTCTTATTTCTTGATTGTCTTATTCCTAGGAAACAGAGAGAAACGCAGTAACTTGCTAATCAGATCACCCAGAAGGGGGCATCCTGAAATGGAAGACTATGAAAAGTAATGTTACCTAATTCTATAGTTTAAACCAAGCATAGAGAGGCACAAATTTAATTGCAACAGAGCCTCTGGGAAAGCCGTTTCTGCTGTAGCAATATTGGGAGTAATTTTTATTTAGTCTTTTTGCAATTATTAATTATCAACAAAACTGAGTTTTAAAAAAACCCTAAGAAATGTTTGTTTTCTATCACAATGTTACACAGGTAAATGCAGATTAACATAAAATCACAAAAATTCTTCTAAAAAAAAATCAAAACCTACTTGAATTTGTTTTTGTGGGAGTTAATTATTTTCCTGACAATATTTTAGAAATGGCAGCCAGTTTTCCCAGAATTTATTCTATACAATTTGTCTGTCTGTTCAATGAGCTGCCTGGTACTATGGCACTGCTTCAGTTCTTTCAGGCTAATGTCACTCCAATTAAAATCTGTTCTATAAGAGAAAAAGTTACATTGCTAGTTAAGCTGCCTTCATCCTTTTGCTTTATTTATTCATGCAATCTTGTGCTTCTGGTGCACTCTCTAGCCTTTTGGATGATCCTACTGGTTTTTCCACTTCTCTCCCCCCCCCCCTTCCATTCCTGATCTGCTTTTTACTGTCTCCTAAAGCAGGGCTTCCCAAACTTGTGCTCCAGCCGTTTTTGGACTACAATCCCCATCATCCTTGACCACTGGTACTGCTAGCTAGAGATGATGGGAGTTGTAGTCCAAAGGCCTAGGTTTGGGAAACCCTGTCCTAAAGAGTCCCATTTGTAGGACTGGGCTGGGCTGGAATCTTGTGCAGGAGTATTGATGGGTTTCTTTGCACTATCCATGGGAAGTGGGTGGAACTGACTCTCTATGCTGGACTTTAGGGAGGAGGTAAGATAATGATGGGAAATTAGTATAATTATACATGCTAGAAATGTGTGCATTTTGCTAGTGGTTGATGTACGATAAACCCTAGACTTATTTACCTGTTATATACCAACAAGTTACAGTATTTCACAGCCAGGGGAGGGATGTTGCCGGCAAAGCTATATCAGTGTTACTTGGTTTTTATTCATTTTTGTTCTTGTTTCAGAAATTATGCCATCAATTTAAATAATTCCTTGTTTCCCTCTTTCCTTAAGACTATTAATACTGCAGTCTGAAGTTGAAGATTCTCTGGGCAGATTTATGAAAATCAGACAAAACCTAACCAATTTACAGGTCTGTTCTCCCCCGTCTTGAGCCTTGATTCTTTCTTTCTTTTTTTCTTTCTTTCTTTCTTTCTTCTCAATTGTTGCAATCTTCATTATAGAGTAGGGGTGGGGAGCTTCTGGTCCACCGATCAAATTTGACTTGCAAGGCTGTTTTCCCTAGCCTACTTTTCATATGTGACATCATGTGTGGGGCAGGTAGAGATGCAGCTGGATCATCTGTGCAGCTGACAACATGGTTGTGCAGCTTATCTCTGCAGAAAGCCCTTGCGCTGCAGTCCCTAGGCATCCGACAACCAGCTGGCAGATGGGCACTTGGAAAGTGTTATGCAAGAGACTTTGACAGGTGGGTGGAAGTTAGCCCACGGGACAGATAGCTAATTAGCCTACTGGGCCAAAAAGTTTGCCCACATCTAACAATACCTATAATTTTATTAGCTATTGTTCTCTCAGGTCAGTCTCCACCCTCTACCCAGAAAAATAGTTGGTTTTCTGATTCCACTGTGAGGATCAAACTAGGTGTGATTGTGGAGTCTGATCATGCATCTCCCACAGTTTTGTTTTTTAAAAAAAGCATGTTAACACTTTCCCTTATATCTGTTTCCTGATTTAAACTGCCCCTCTTCAGCTGCTATTTGCCCCACGAGGTCACACCTATGAGTATCCTAAGGGCACCTGTTTTGCCCGCCGCTCTGTACCTGAATCCTGGTGGGGTCGTGTCCTAAGGGCTGGAAAGAAAGCAGAGGTGGTAGGCTGGGATGGATTCTGTGGTCCAGGCTAGAAGCCAAAGTCAGGGCAACACTTCCTCTGATTGAAAGGCATGGCCGGATAGAGAGTGGTTGGGGTAAACTAGGGGAGCTGACCAGGATTCAGGCAAGCAAACAGTCTGAAAAGGCAAAGTGGCAGCCTGATGGTGTCCTTCAGCGATAAGGTGCTCAGATTGTGGGGATGCGACAAGGCTTCCAACTTCACACCTGTTGATCGTACTGTGCATACAGAAGCATTCCATTTCTAATATCAAATGTTAGTAATATAGAATTTTTTCCAGCCATTTAAACTAATGATGCAGAAAGAGTGGGAGGTTTTAAGAGTTCTGTTTGTTAGAAGATTCGGCATTAAGACTTAGCTTTTTTAAAAAAAATAATTTTTTTTCAGGCTTTAGAGGGCACCAGAGAGCTTGAAAATATTATTGGTGTTTCAGAGACCGCTGGTAACTTGAAAGGCGAAGTGAGCAAAACCAGAAAGCTAAGTAAGAAGGACTTTTCATAATTTCCGTTTTTGTGAAAGAATTAATATGCATCCTTTCACATATTTAATCTTTGTTTTAAATGAGCATGCCTAGGTATCCTAGAAATATTACGTATTGCAGAAATACAGATTAGTTTCCATATTGAGTACTTCATATTAAGCAACATAATTAAGCAAACAAATAATTGATAAGTGGTAACAATACAGATCACTCTTGGTATAACTCAAGTGAATTTATATTACAGGTCTCTATATCCAAGTTACTATAAGCAGGAGTAGGGAGCCTCAGGCCCAAGTGCCAAATGTGGCCCTCCAAGCCTCTGTCTGGCCCTCATGACTCTCCCAACACCATGCCCTTGCCCTTCAGCCCGTTTCACATCCTCTTTGAGTGTTTTGCTTGGCCTAGAACTGATAATTAAGTGATCAGTCTGTGAACACTTAGAAAAGGATGCTAGGATTACTAAGACCCAGTGTGGGCTTCTCAAAAACAAGTCATGCTGGACCAATTTCATTTCTTTTTTTTTATGGCATTACAAGCTTGGTGGATCAGGGGAATGCTGTGGACGTAGCGTATCTTGATTTCAATAAGGCTTTTGACAAAGTCCTGCATAATAACATTGCAGAGAAGCTGCTAAAATGTGGGCTGGATGAGGTAAGTGTTAGGTGTATTTGTAGCTGGTTGACTGACTAAACCAAAAGACTTCCCACTAATGGTTCCTCATCAAGTTGGGTGAGAAATTAGGTGCCACAGTGATGTGTCCTGAGCCTGTTGTTCAATGAAGGTATTGAGGGGTAACACTGGTTTTACTTTTGGCCTAACAATCGGGTGTATCTTAATCAGAAGAAAGTCCCACTGTATTCAATGGGGCTTGCTCCCTAGTAAGTGTGTTTAGGATTGCACTCTGCTGCTAGCCGTGTCCAAAAAGATTTAGCAGAACTTTTGTCTACAGAAGTGTGTGTGAGAAAAAGGGAGGTGATTGTTTTCTTCTGATTTTTCCGATGTACAAAGGTTTGCAGGGGAAAGGGAGATCTGGGAGTGCCCTGTTCTGGGAGTAGAACTCTGCTCGAGGAATTATGAATTCAATCCAGTATTTTCTTTAATTGAAAAATTTCCTGGAACGTTAGAGAAAAAACACATTTGTACCATTTTTCTATATTAGCATCACATGAGTAGAGTTCTCACAATATCTAAATATATTTTGTTCCTCAGTAAAGCAAGCAGGAAAGCTGCTAAGAAGAACCAATGCAAGACAGCCTGCCCAAGGTAACTCCCCCATATTATTTGTTTTGATGGCAAACAGTTGTCAAAGGGGTCCATTTAGCAAATTTCTTCTGAAAGACTTGAAAAGGCCTTTTGCAAGAGACCGTATCAGATTTGTGTTCTTTTCAGCAAAATTAGGTCTCTTGCCCTCTCTTTGGTTGTATGACATTTAAGCTGTTGGCAAGATAAAGACTCCCCCCCCACCCGCCGCTTTTAGATTACAGAAGTGCCTAACTGAACAAACTATGCATTTTAAAAATGCATTTATTTGATATGTTTTTATATACCACGTTTTTACTGAAGTCTCCCGGTGGTGTTCATATTAAAAATACGCAAGATAAAAATGATAAACTATTAAAAAGCACAACAGTATAGAGGCTAAAATTCAGCTGCAGCAGGCGGGGGTGGGGAGTAAGAACAAAAAGTGGAATTGCACATCTTCAGAGTCCTGGTTAAATAAGTGTGGTTTAAAGAGATGCCGAAATAGAATAAAAGATGGTGCCTGCCTGCCCAAGTTCAGGAGGAAAATGATTCCATATAAAAGGTACAATTGCAGAAAAGGCATGGCTCCAAGGGGACTTCAGTTGCACTTCTGTTGGATGTGACACCAGAAGGAGCTGCAGCGGAGGAGAACCAGCCGTCTGCCATAACGGGTGACAGATACATACCTCTCTATTTTGAAGTGTTTGCAAAAGATAGGAAGCCACAATTGCTAAGTGATTTGCTTGCCTGCACACAAGGTGAAATGGACACCAGCATTTATCTCATGTTAAGGTGTTCATACAATGTCCCTAAGGGGTATTTATTAATTCGCCTTAGCTCAACGAAGCAGCTTTGTGGGCAGTTCACCAGCAACATACCTATTCTGTCTTTCTGGCCCAGAATCAAGAACAAATTCTCAAATCCAGATCCAGATCCAGAGCATCCTGGCCTTGTGGTGAGAATGATGGAACTCTTGTGGATTATGTCAACTCCTTCCCCCCCTCACCCATCTGTGTGGGTGCTGCACTCAGCTCCTGGGAGGCAGAGCTATCCATGCATGTTGGACAGAGTTATCCATGCAGTGGTTAGGAGAATGCACTCTGCAGATGCTCTGTTCTCTCCTTTTTCCCACATGGTTTGGCCTCAGCTCTGGCTTTCGGGAAAGGTTGAGCCCCATTTACTAGTCAGCCCCATTAAAAAAATTAAGGCTGCAGTTTTTTGCCCAGTAATATATCTTTAACTTGTCAATCTGAGTTACTGGGCAAAGGATGGTAGTCAGAACTTTTCTTGGTATTGGCATATGAGCACCCTACCAGTTTGAGAAGAACCTTTATTTAACTATCTGTATATGAACTGCCTCCATGTTTATTTTATTTTTATTTTTTTACATTTTCTTCCTTATCCACATCACCTTGTCTTAGGTGTAGGCTTTTGAGTGAACTATAAAGCCTTGATGTATCTCAAGGCTTTAATAATGATAATAATATTTCTCTAGTGTCTATTACCGGAGGACCTGAGCGTACTTTGCAAACATTTATGAATACAGCCTTGCCACATCCCAGAGACATATGATCTCTATTTTACAAAGTCCCATTTCGGCGAGGTGCTTAAGAACATGCCTTGCATTAAACAGAGGAAGCGCATCATTGACGTCACGGCTTGTCTGATATGGGGCATAGGCATCTCTTGGAGAACAGGCACATTATGGTTTTGGTATTCTGCGAATGAGTGGCTTAGAATGAGCTTTCGAGCAGATTAAATATACCAGCTACTTCCATGAAATCCTGTGGAACACCCACCCCTTTGGCAGATTTTTTTTTTTTTAAGCTTTTAAATTAAACTTGACTGAGTTTCCAAAAACACTTTTCTAAATGCGCATTGTGTTATCATGCAACGCACCAGCCTTGCAGATGAGTTTACAACATCCATGCCATTTTACTGTTCTGCCATGTATACCGGGGTCGTGTAAGTCAGTGGCTCTCCCAGGAGGAATTGTTCTTTCCTCTGTGTGAGTGGGTACCGCTGTCCCATTGTAGCCTTTCCCCAAAATGTTCAGAAATGTAGTAACAAAGCTCTGTAGTAAAATGAGAGCTTTGGCACTGTGCCAGCTAGGGGTATGAATATAGACCATCCCACCAGCTGGTACAGAGAAGGTGCCTGTGTGTCTTTTACTACAAAGTTGTGGTTAAATGCTGAAAAGATGAGTGGCTTGTCTGCCCTCCCAGGTAAAGTATGAAATGAGACGACAGCTGACTCCTGGTCCTGTGCCTTAAACTCAAGGCAATACTTCCTCCTAAGCTTGAAGTCATTTAGCATTTATATCGATATGAAGTGAAATCTCTGTAGCTCAGCAGTGTGTTCTTGATGCCAGACAGGCAGCCACACATCTTGATCAAGTAGATTAATTTTCCCTCGTGGTTTATGATTTAGTTTTTAAAAGAAGCAGAATAAAGGACATTTTAACGATGAAGACTTAGCTTGCCAAGTGTCAGTTGTGTTGAGTGGTGTTTTCTCATTCTTTATCTTTAACATGGAGTAAACAAATGACTTTCTTTCCTTGGTTTCTCCCCACCTCCTTATTATGTACTTTTAAAAATTGCCTTGTATCAGTTCATAGGATCGTTGAAAAGAGCTGTTTCTCTCTTTAATGTAATATATAGACCTTAGTTATCGTCTTCTTTTTTTTAACTTTGAAGTTTAGAACATCACAGTGTCAGTTACTCCCTCTGAGTGGAACAGAGTTGAGTTTATGCAAGACTACAACTGGTAGTTTATGCAAGACTACAACTACAAATTGCATTGGGCCACATACCAGGCCTACTTAATATCTGTTGGAATGGTGCCTGTGTATATAAACCAGAGCTATGAGATTATTGCTTTTAAAATCCAAGGTAACAATTGCACATATGGATCTAGGTATGTAAACGATAGCACAGAGAAGCAGTACTTTCCCATCTCCATGTCTTTGTAATACGAGGGGTAAGTCAGCATAAACATATACGGGTTAAATTCAAATCTTTTTAGATGAGTTGATCCAGTGAAAGAGAGGGGAAGACCATTTTGCTGATTTGCCCTGCAGCCCCTAATCTTTTTGGAGGATCCCCTAACTATCAGAGGGTGCAAGCAGAAATAATAATCAATTACAGTCCCCTCTCCAGGGCCGGCCCAGGACATTTTGGCACATGAGGCGAAGCACAAAATGGTGCTTCTCCCCTGCCAAGGAAGAAGAGATGAGTGAAGTGCATGGGAACAAGGAACGAGGGTGGGAGGAGACCAGCAGCACCTCCTATTTGCCAAGAGGCCACTGTAGAGAAGGCATTGGGGTGGGGGTGGGGGGCTGCTGAGGAGGTGTCAGATCCGGCGTCCAAGGAGTATGCTCTATGTGTTGTTGCTGCAGCCACAGCAGTGGGCAATGCATTTCTTGGAGGCCGGGTCGACCCCTGTGGATCTTGCCCCTGTGGATCTTGCCACTTGAGGCAGTCACCTCACCTTGCTGTATGGGTGGGCCAGCCCTGCCTCTCTCCCACTTTCCCCAAGTGTCCCCAAGGAGAACTCCATGCAGGGGATGAGCTTGCTGATGGGAGCAAAGTCTGGATCCAAGCTACTGTCTGGAAACCAATCGCTAGAATATCCGTGACCAATTTTAAGCTGGGAAATCTAATCTTGGTCACATACAAGAATCCTTACAGCTGCAAGTTTAGAAAATCGGTCAAGTTGGGCTGCAGAAAACCAGGACAGAAGAGCGAGTTTGCTTAAGGAATTTTCATTTGGGGGGAATTCTTACTCGTTCTGAAGTTGGTTTCGCTTACAAATTCTCCCACTCTCTTCTTAGCCTAATGAAGCCCACAGAAACCAGTGCCATAGTATACTAAGCATCTCTTTAGTTGCTTTCTAAGTAAAGCAACCATATAGCCTTATTTGTGCTCAAGAACAACAGTGAAACATGCTGCATCATAATGTTTCTTCCATTTGTAACACTAATGACCCAAGCAGTGAAAATTTAGTATGACTCTGAAATCATATGGGTCAAAATGACGCACTTTTAGCATGTTAACAATATAATAAATACTTCTTGAATGGGAACTTTGATCCCTTCTGCTGTCCTAATGAAAATAAAGGCTGGAGAAAGACTGTCTTCTTTATTTAGCTTTTTTACTTTTGGATGTGGTTTTCCATAATTATTTTTAATTAGTTACGCTCAGGACATGAAACCTATGACTATTCTTTGGCTTGATACAGATGGAATGTCACATTATCATCACATGGTAAGGCATGAAATTTATTTACTTTACATAAACAGCCTCTACTTAAAACAACTTAATTCAGAACATTCCTTTGTCAATGGGCAGCATTATGTAGATCTTAGTATATCATTCTGCATTAGCAACATAAAAAATGGCCCCATTGTTTGCCCATGACTAGCATTTACAGTAAACAAAATGTTTTTTGAAGAGAATGTAAGCAAACTTGAGAGCAGCTGCCAGGAGATGAAATCTAGTCATGTTGCTGCTGTCCAAAGCATGCTTTATGTGTGTGTAGGTTGCACTCTGCATATTTCAAAGGGGAACTTTTTAACAGTTTTAGCATTTTGTGGGAGTGAATACAAACAAAACGAACCTTTATCCTGCTGGTTCTTAGGCAGGGTTTCAGTAAATGCTAGATCTAAAAGAGACTTTTTACTCAACTCTTCCCTAATCAACCAGGATTGAAAGATTTGTTTACAAATGTTTTTCTTCAATGCAAGACAAAGCACCAAAGTTCTGCAGGCTTTAAAAAGTGCTGTTCTCTGTTACACAGCTTTGATGTACTGCTTCCAACCTGATTTGGTCCAGCTTGTCCAGTTTCCCATCATCACCCAGTGTAGATCAGAGGTAGGCAAATGAAGGCTAGCGGACTGTATCTGAGTCTACAGTTGGGGGGGGGGGTTGTCCAGGCTGCTGCAACCATGTAGTGACTTGGTTCCCAGTCCAGTTGTCCCAGAAGATTAAAAAAGGAACAAAAGATTTTCAACGGAAAAAAATTGTGGGATGAATTGGGAAGATATTGCCTGACATTTAAAACGGTGAACGGAGCTAATAAGTGCTCTAGTCCTGTTAGTTACTACCTCATCCCTTGCACTTTTTAGGTGCTCTTTTGTGAAGAACAGAGGGATCTGCCTGATACTGGCTGTGTTATGATGACATGATAAACTATGGTTTGTTGTGATGGGGATGACCTTGAGCAAGCCTCAGGCTTTGTGTCCACTCCTCTTCCAGAGAGCTGTCTTTAACAGCTGTGTGGCAGGTCAAAATTCAACAGGTGAAGCCTTTTCTGGTATGGAAAAAAGCTCTACCTGTTCACATTCAGTCTGTCAAACATTTTATTACTTGTGTGACCCTAATTTGTTTTGGGGTTGTCCAACCAAACTGCAAAATAGGATACAAAGCTTAAACCAGTTTGTGTCCTCTTTTGCAAGAGGGGGCATAAGGCCTAATCCACATAGAGTGCATTGGACCCATTATACTGCTGGCACCCTGGACTTACTCGCAGACAAGTGTGTGTAAGATTGCAGTCTTGGTTGCCTCGAAGGCTGTGCCACTCTTGAGATTATTTTGTAAGAGACAAAGTTTTGGCTGTATTGATTTTTGTGGGGTGTTTTTGTGTTTTTGCTTCAGGTGAGACTTTAATCTGTCTAGTAGAGAGATACTACTTATTGTGAAGAAAAATGGTCAGAACTCAGTTATTCATTTGACCTACAAATACTGCACAATTAGATCTTTTTCTCATCTCAACAAAAAAATGCTTTGTTTCCCCAAAGACACTTATGTTAATATGTGGCTGTAATTAGGGTGTGAATTTTAAAATACAGCTTTTGGCATGTTTAGCATCACAGGCCGGAGCTACAAGTGTGATAGATACTTGGGAGGCAAACTACAAACTTCTCCAATTATTTACTATCCTATGCTATGTAGATGAAATATTAAGCTATTAACTTTGGTGGCAGACATAGAAATGCATATGAGACATATGACTATAAAGCTTCAGATATATATACACAGCCAACCATACAGATGTGCACAAACATTCACTGACCTGTCAAACTGCATTCCTTATATGAAGGTCTACCATTCAGCCATTGTACATGAACTTTGATGCATTACTTTTACAATGTGTTTTTCTTGCAGATCTCTTCCTACAATGCTTTTTACAAAAAAACCAAACCCTGACATTAGATATCAGGTGAAATGAAAACTATTAATTATATAAGTGTTATGTATAGTAATTCGTACATTACTATAAATACTCCTAAATATGTCTTCTTTGAGACGTACAATAGTTATTTTAAATAATAAAAAAGGAAAGGTGCATTGGTTTGGAGTCACTTAATAGCAATTACATTTTAAGAGGTGTAAATAACTTGCTATCCAGACATTACAAATATCCAGGTGCTCTGTATGTGCTGATGACAACAAAATTGAAAAGAAAGACTGCAATAATTCTGACTGGTTTTCTCTGCAGAAGATATTGATTATTTGTGTGTGGTGAGAGATTTGGAAAATTCAATTAAAGGAGTTGTGCAAAGGTTTCATAAATTTTCCTTATACAGCGTGTACACAGACACTGTTGCGTATTAAATCAATGCAGCACTTCACAATATATTTTCTTTGAAACATAAAAATAAATAACATTTAAACAGTTCTGCTTACTACAGAAACAAGTTTTATTTTCTGTGAAGCATTTAGTCATGTGCTATCACTGACTCATACACATTTGCCAGCTGTAACAAATTTTATAGACATTTTCTCCAGAGACATAGCTCATGTACTATGAATTTTTAAATGAGCAAATGGTGAAGAGGGGATGTCAGCAATATAAAAATTGATCAGTTAAAAGATAAAAGCATAAGTAAAGAGATTTGTATGGTAGTCTTAATAGGTTTTATTAAATAAAAATACTATAAAAGGACAGTAATGAATAGACTGAAGGTTTTAACTGTAGTTGAGGTGGAGAAAAATTATTCTGGCACATTTAAGAGAAGATTGGTTTTATATCACCAGACAGGTGGCCATTTTTTCCTCTCTCCCTCTCCACTTTAGAGCTGTTCATGGTTTAAAGCATTTAAACTTGCACACACATGCATAAAAGAGAGTAAACTTTCAACTAGATCATGACCTTTCACTGTGCTGGTGGATGGGTAGAGGAACAGAAGATTCTCCCCCACTTTGTACAAGCAGATTAGGGTGGTTCTCTAGAAAGACTTGCGTAACGCCCCTTGACCTGGGCAGGTCTCTTGAAGTTGAATGGCAAAGTTGATTAAGGTCTCGACACAGCGTCACAGTTGATTCTGATTCAGCTCAGAGCCCCTGTGGTGCAGTGACCAGAATCTGTAAGAAGGGCTGTAGCTCAGTGGTAAGAGGGCATCCATAGCATGGCCAGGGTCCCAGGCTGAATCCCTGGCATCTGCAGCTGGAGCCGGGAAAGAGTCCTGGCTGCTGGACAGTATTTACAACACTTACTTAGATGGACCAACGGTCTGACTTGGTATAAGGAGCTTCCTATGTAACCCCAAATCCCCACTGACCATTGAACACTCTGTAAGACTCTGGGAAAGCCAGTAGCTTGACTAACTTGTTGCATTGTTGGAGAAAGGGCAAAATGGAATGGTAAGAAGCCCACTGTGGGGCCTGATATTGTTACAATAAACACAGGACAAGACATAGACAAGACTGGACCTTTGGTGGTGAGTCTCAGATCTCCTGCTTGTTCCTACACACACACACACACACACCAGTATTACCATCTTCATTCTCCAGGGATGTTGTTGCTTAGTTGTGTCTTCGTGACCCCATGGACCGGAGCACGCCAGGCACTCCTGTCTTCCACTGCCTCCCACAGTTTGGTCAAACTCATGTTAGTAGCTTCGAGAACACAGTCAAACTATCTCATCCTCTGTCGTCCCCTTCTCCTTGTGCCCTCAATCTTTCCCAACATCAGGGTCTTTTCCAGGGACTCCTCTCTTCTCATGAGGTGGCCAAAGTATTGGAGTCTCAGCTTCAGGATCTGTCCTTCCCGTGAGCACTCAGGGCTGATTTCCTTAAGAGTGGATAGGTTTGATCTTCTTGCAGTCCATGGGACTCTCAAGAGTCTCCTCCAGCACCATAATTCAAAAGCATCAATTCTTCAGCCTTCTTTTTTTTTTTTTAATATTTATTGAGAATTTTAAGATTACAAAGAAACAAAGAAAAAAAAGAAGGAAAAAACAAGTAACATTTAAACAATACGAATCAATAAAAAAAAACCAAGGTCAAATACATCAAAATCAAAAAGCAAAAATAGACAAAAAATTTAAAAACAAATCCAATATTCCCAAATCATTAACTGTCATTACCTTGTTTCATCGACCTCCTCACACCTCCCTTTTTTGTATTCTAGTTGTTAATTATCTCAGCAAATCCTTTCCATCTTTCATAATATTCTGTCATTAAATTAGCTTAATCTATTTTAACCTTATCTTACCATAAAAGGCCCAAAAACTTAAAACTTAAATCTTATTTATACCAAATTCTCTTAACCATGACATATTCTTACATAATTCTTTTTAACATTTCTGCTAAAGCCAAATAATTTCATTCCAACATTTTTCTAATACTCTTTACTTTTACAAGATTTTCCTAAATAATTTGTTTAAAACTTTCTTCCAATCTTCATCCAACGTCTCTTTCTCCTGGTCTCGGGTTTTGTCAGTCCTTTCTATCCCATCCATCTAGTCCATCAACCTGGTAACCTTATATCCGAGGCCCTTGGATCTCTTCCATGTCCCATCCGCAGATCTTCTTCATATTTATACCTGTGCTTTACTTTATCTTCTGCTCCTTTCACTCGGGGAGACTCCAGCTTGACAATGTTTTTGTCCCTTCTCGACAGATCAGCCCCTTTTCCAAAGTCAACACTGAACTCCATGTGGTATTTAAAAGCATGTTTCTCCAAAGTTCCTCCAAAGTTAAGGGCCGCACAACTCCGAATGCCTCCAGGCCCAAAGCCAGACTTGAAAGGTCAAAACATCCCTGCATAGGGGGGGTCTATCCAGCTCCCCATCTCCAAGCCAAACAGAACTCTGTCTCTCCAAATCTGGCTTCCTCCAGGTTCATTCGTCAAGTCCAACAACTCATGTTCCTGCTGGGCCACAGTTCCCTCCATCTCTACCTCACTAGGTCCAGCAACAACCTCCTCCCTCATCTGATCTGTCAAAGCACACTCCTGAGTTAATTCCTGAGTGGGTTCTAAATAAGTACCCACTGCCTGTCCAAACTTTCCGATCCCAACAGTCATCAAATCCATCTTCTCATGTAACTGTTCCAATAAAGCACTTGTCTTACAAAAGGCCAACACCAGAGCCTCCGAGTACATTCTTGTTGAAGGTCAGAGTCTATTCCCACGATCTTAATCTATTGCAGCTGCAAAGCTCCCCAGTTCGAATTTAATAACAGTTTCACAAGCTCCCTCTAGGGGGAAAAACTTCTATTTGTATCCATCTCTCTCTCTCTCTCTTTTTTTAAAGCAAATCTAACAACAGAGTTTCCCTTTTCAGATATTTTGTCAATATTTTGTTCCTTTTAGATGCGAAGGGGAACAATGGAATCAAGATGTTTCTCTTCTTTTAACTATCTGTCAAAAACGTTTGTCTATAGTCAATGAACTTCCCGAAGACGTCTGTCCTGACACCCCGCTCCCAGGTTCAGGACGGTGGAGAATTGCTTTTCTTTACTTGTCTTCTGCAAGTTTAATCAGTCCAGAAAAAGTTTTCCCCTCTTCTCCTGCTTCCAAGGGGGGTTCAGTAATTTTAAATGATGAAAATTGATCCTTTACAAACGATTTTCTAAGCTCTAGCTTGCCGTGTCTTTGCTTCAATCTATTTACAAAAAGCGGAAGGCAGACTTCCTGTTTATACCTTTCCGCTTCAGTGCCAAATTAAAGGAAATTTCTTATTCCAATTTTCCGTTCTACTCATGGACAGTTATTTAAGCTCCAATTGTCCACAGGAAAAGTCAGCGCTCTCCGGCAACAGCAATGCGGCTTCACTCCGTGAAAGAAGCAGTCGATTCAAGGCACCGCGCCACTCACCCCACGTCGCTCCGGAACCCCGAAATCGGGTTTCCCCGCGAGTAGGGGGGGCGCAAAGGTACCGGCCGAATCCCACGTCCACAGGCTTCTCCCGCCTGTGGTTTTTGATGGGTCTCCACCTCGCCGTGGCGGTTCAGACCCTGTTTTCCACGGAGCGGATTCCTCCCGATCGGAGGAAATTCTTCAGCCTTCTTTATGGTGCAGCTCTCACTTCCATATATCACTACTGGGAAAACCATAGCTTTAACTATACGGGCCTTTGTTGGCAAGGTGATGTCTCTGCTTTTTAAGATGCTGTCTAGGTTTGTCATTGCTTTTCTCCCAAGAAGCAATCTCCAGGGATACCTATACATATAAATTAGCTTGTGTCATGGGCCTCAGCCACAGGGCCGTTAAAGTAGCAAGCATCAAGTCCCCCCAACCTTATGTCCTTCAAATGCCTTGGACCTTGTAAGCTCTCATGATCTCTGATTGTGGCCTGTACTAGCTGGGGATTATAGGGGTTGTCATCCAGAACATCTGTTGAGCACCACGTTGGGGTAAGGCTGACCTAGCAACATGCCTGACAAAAGTAGCTTCCTGATGGTCAGCACAAGAATGTGTTGGTGGTAGGCTTGGAGTTCTTTCTTACCTCAGTTTTTAACTTGCCAAATCCTAAGAGCTTGAAGTTCTAACAACCCAATGAAACCTTTTGGGTAAGCCTCTGTTTTTGCCACTATTGTTAAAATAGAATCTTCAACATTTGCATTAACTTGTGTTTAAAAGCAATTTGTGTTCCACAAGATGAATGCATCTCAATGAAAACAGTGGGCCCAACTACATTTTAGATTGTGTCCAATGACTATGTTAGATTTTTCATTTTCTATACTGCAAGTATAAACTGCAATATATAATTGTATTGGTTTTCTTGTTATGTAAAAAAAATGTTCTTTGTTTTACAGACTATCTCCAACCTGCCAACAGCTTTGAGTACCTTAAGTCCCTCATCAACTGAGGTGAGGAGATCGTCATGTTTAAAAGACAGGATTGAAATCTGTAATTGAAAGTACAGTTAAAATTTATGTGTTTATTGGAAGCTTTTTGAGGAATGGTAGATTTGTGGGACTTAATTTCTAGCACCCCTTGATTAATGGGGGGGGAAACTATTTTCACTGGTGTTCACTTAATTTGAATGTAAATTACTCTGAGAGTTAATTATTAATATTTTCTCTGCAAACTGATGATTCTTTAATTCCCAAAATGTGTATTAATCAATATGCTGGGCTAGTTCAGACATAATGTCTTTCAAAAGGCATTACTTAGCACACATGTGTAAGTTTATATGTCAGAATGTTTTCCAAAACAGTTTTTTGTTTGTGTTTTCATTCATCCAAAGAAATATTTGCTGGGATGATACCACATGAAATGCGTTCTATTTTTGGCACGGCATCAAAGCAAACTTAGCAAGTATTTGAACCATTTTTGTTTCTTGCTAGCTCAGGAAATTCTAGTTTACTTGAGAGCTCATGAGATGTAATTTTACAATTGCTCAAAATAGGATGACTTCCAACTTTGACGAGGTTCCCTTGAGCAAAGGCAAAATTTACTCTGAAGCTCTACTAAAATCATGCTGTTTTAATTGCCATTTTTCTCCAGGAATATATGTGCTGAATCACGAGATGAGACAAGTTTCTCACTTTCGAGTACTGGCATTTCCAAAGCCCAACTCATCTTAAAACATGCAGTTATGTGCAGTGGGACATGAACACCATGCCCTCTCCAAGGGCCACCCCACATTCATAAGCTGGATGTGACAAAATGGTGTTTAATGCACCATTTAAATTGAGTAGGTCTGATTTGTGTGATCTACTCTTTCCCCAACTATTTGAGCAGGAAAAACTATTGCATCAGCTGGGTCTGCATATACTGAACTTTCCTCCTGTAGACCTTTTCATTCCAGCAGTGTATGCAACATGTGGCCCAGAGGATGGCTTGTGGGGGGCAGCAAGATCCTGTTCCTCGACTTAAAGTAGACAAGGAATGTTTGGTTAGGACACAAGTCCCCAGACAAACAAAATTAAATTATCTTGCTGCACAGAGCTATTCCATAGCATAATTTTTAGAAGAATGCCATCCTTTCTGAAACATAATGAAGATATTCCAGGTCTTGCCTTGCAGGCAAACATTAAGTTCATTGAGCCTGTCCAATATGTCAGCCAAGAACCCTAATCAAAGCTAGAAAATGTTTGTCAAGGAAATGACAAGCCAATCAAAATGTATGGCTCTTGTTTCTGAGTTTACAGACTCATACAGATTGTCACTTTTTATAAAATCTGCAGTTTTTCACACATGTGGTAAGAACTACATTAGCTGCATTTAAATTTGTTTTTTGTAGCTAGTACCTGGTCCTTTACCCATTCCACATGGCCAGTGTTGTGTCTGATAGGATGCCATCTCTTCCAAACACCTTCATTATATTATTAGCTGAATGAGAAGTTTTGAAAAAAGAATTGTTAGCAGTTCTTAATGTCAGTCAGTGATAAAATAAGGACTCCTGCTCAATCTCAGGTAACCCAATCTCAGTGTAGCAAACATAAGCCATCCCTTGTGCATTCCTGGTGCTGTTTGCATTGTTATACACACACAGTGCAAAAAAGGGACTTGAGTTCTGAGCATCAACTGCCATATTGGCAGTACTGCAGCAAATTCTGGTATTGGACAGTAAATACTTAGCTGTATGGTATACTATAGATGCTGCTATTTTTATTGCTGCAAAGCACCACAATTTTTTTGCTGAGGGAACAGACATGGCTGCTTTGTTCTTGCCACAGTACAAAAGACACCATCATGCCTCAAATAATATAGAAGATGGAAATAAACTCCACTGAAGTTAGTGAGGCTTACTTCTGAATATGCGTGCAATGAATTGTGCTGTTACAGAACTCCCTTTAAAAAAAGAAGAAGTTGATTGCAGGATATCTTTTACCAAATGGCATTTTAATTAATGATTGCTCAATTATTTTAATCAATGGTTTCATACTATCATGGTAGGATGGCAATTTTGCCTGTAGACAAAGATGTGGCTGTTCTTTTGAAATCAGAATATAAATCCTCACCTCTCGCCAGACAGGCAGCTCTTTTGTTGCCCTTCCAGCTTTCTCCCACTCAGATTCCTGTTTCTGGCCTTCTCCTCTACCCCCTTATTCCTGTTTCTCATCTTCTCTAAGTTCTAACCCTCATTTCCTAAACTGCTGCTAACCTTGGCCCACTAACCATTTAGATCAGGGTTTCCCAAACTTGGGTCTCCAGCTGTTTTTGGACTACAACTCCCATCATCCCTAGCTAGCAGGACCAGTAGTCAGGGATAATGGGAATTTTAGTCAAAAAACAGCTGGAGACCCAAGTTCTGGAAGCCCTGATCTAGAGTCCTCTCTCCAAAGCCATCTCCTACACGCACCAGTCTTCTTGGTTCATAATTTCAAAAGTACAGTGAGCCTTGAGAGAGTAGAGTGTCTTTCTGCAAGATACAGCGAGCAGAAGAACCCAGCTGTTGAAAGATCTATCAGTTTAGAATCACATCCCTCTGATTGGACCTATGACATATACCTCCAGGTGAATGGAGGTGACTTGCAGAAAGATCCAGGAGTTGCCACTCCTGCAACACTGCTTAGGTGACCGTGCAGGTTTGCAGTAGCAGCCATGCTCCTCCAAGGGAAACGTTGGCGCTATGGCAGGCGGCAAGAATGTGAAAAGCAGTGCATTAATATGGCTTCTTGCTCCATGGCGTAAAATGCACCAAGGAGGCTCCAAACATAGCGAGCACAGCAATAGACTCTCTAGCATCTGTCACAAGCATCTAAAAGTAACGTGCTTATGTGTAGCATTTCCCCTCCCCACCTGCCTCCTGAGGTGCTACATGCACATTGAGGGCATGCACAGTCTCCTTTTGATGCTTGCTAATGGACACCACCCTGTAGGATGCTCATGCCAGGAAAGCAAGCTGAAGTCTTAAGACTTGGTCGATGGAAGCCAAAATTGTAGCCAACACAGCTGGCATAATGAGTTGATGAACTGCCAGTTGAACAAAAGGCAAAGCTCTTGCATGTCTCTTAATTAGAAAAATCACCTCCCGTTATTCCAGAGCAGCTAGGAAAGAAACAGGAGTTTACTGAAAGGTAGTCACAAAACAGAGAACATATTCAAACCCAAGGATGCTATGTAATATGTCTAAGTTTATACTTCTTTATTCTAATCCTTTATAACCCTACTTTTAGGAAACAAATCCTTTGTAGGTTGAAGCTTTCTAAACTGGCTCTTGGTAATAGCAACCGGATCAATGTATTTGGGGTTTTTCATTATATATGTCCCTTGAAATATTAAGCTGACACATGAAGTTGCCCCATGTTAAATTGTGAACTAAAATAATACTGGGAAGCATTTGTATTTTAACATCCAGGATGCTTTCAAGGAAGTGGGGTATTTTGTTTTCTAGGTGTTCTGTATATACACAGGAAAGCTAGAGCTAAACCACAAATAGTGTGTTCAAAGGGCAACATGGATGCCAAAATTGTCGTTTATTTTAATCATTTTTTAACCTACACAGGCCATATCTGAAGAATATATTCTGCTTGGCTGCAAGATTCTACAACTGCCTGATCCTACTTAAAAGGTTGAAAAGAAACGCCTGTAAATCTATCTCCCCAGCAAATACCAGCTAAGGATTGCTCAGTGCACTAGGCAGGTGCACATCTAGATACAGTTTCTTGCGTCTAATTTAAACTTTACAATCTGCACAACCAGATAATCTCAATGTAAATAATACACTTCTCCATAGCTCTTTTATGCAAATGGGTAATGGCACAAGCTGGATTTCTGCACCAGGCCCCTACGCTTGCCCTACCTTGGTAAAATGCCTCTGTGAGCTTTCCCCTCATGTTTTGGGAAGAAGAGCTGTGCTTAAGGATGGACACTATTTCCCAGGCCTTCAAACAAACTGTAAATTTCACAGTAATGATATGCTCCATGCTTTCTCTGAAGGAGTGCCAGTTTGACCACAAACAATGAAAACTGCTTGCCAACATGCAGGGCATTGTTTATGCAACTTATCAGCACACCCAAAAGCAAGCAATTTTCCATCTATCTTTGGCTCACTACCATCGTTTTGCTAGCAAAACCTTATGTGCCTCACATGCAACATTTGCAATGCCTTTTTAGTTACTTTGGTTTACAAAAGCACCACATAACTTTAGTTTTGCACTGCTAGCAAAGCTATCAGTATGTTCTTCTGCTTTGTGGTGCCTGAACTTATGCTGCAAAATCATTAAAAAGCAACACCATAGAGATTAATGTTTCTTTGCAATAGTACCTGCAAGGACAGGAATCAGTAAAACCTATCCTAGCATGTACTGAGATCCACAAATGATATCACGTTTCAGTCAAAATAAATGGTAACTATGCTGGAATGTTTAGAGGGCCAAGTACATCTTTAATAACTTTTTAACATAAAAACTATTTTTAATGGAAATTTAGGTGGTGGTGAAGCTGAGGCATGTACCTTCTCAGATGACTGACACTGAAATGCCAGCTTCACCATTTTGAGTGTAAGCAAAGAGTGGAGCCTTAAGAATGTGCTTGCTCATCTCTTCTGTATATATACCCTTTATGATGGTTTGAAGACACTACATAGGGAGGTTTTCCTTCTTGCTTTGCACTGGGTCCCCTTCTGATCCCCCAAAAGCCGCTCTTGAAAGTTAGAAGGCTCTATACAACAGGTTTGGGAGCTGCAGAAGGGGTGGGAGACAAACAGGTAGAAATTGTGGAGCCCTTGCTCCCAGTGTGGAATGTAAGTGCCTTCTGCCCATGCAAGCAGCTTTTTGCAACCAAGCAGACAGTAATAAGTTGTTCGGCATGTACCAATTTCAAAACTGAAGTTGTCAACTATAATTGGGTCACAATTCTTTTTATAGAATAAAACTTTTGAAGGATAATTTGGTGTTGACAAATTGTTTTAAAAAAGTGATTTGCTTAGACATTTCAGTGTAAAGAGTACAGGTTTCAGTTCAAGGTATTTCACTGCTATCAGTGCTAGTTACTTCAAATATATGCATATGCTTTTAAGTAGGAAAAGGTTGAGGGACTTTTTCTTCTCAAGATGCAATTGCTAGTCAGTTTCACTTACACAGTTTGAGGGACTTTATTGGGGCAACATCATTGCTGCCTCTTCATTTGTTTGCGGCATCATAACTCGGTCCCAAGCATGTTTACTTACAAGTAAGTTCTACTGATTTCCTTGGGACTTGCTCCCTTGTAGGCTTCTTCAGAATTGCAGCCCAAGGCTATTAAAGTACTGCTTCTCAGCCACTTGTACTAAGCTTTTTCTCTTTTCAGAAACAGCTGGGTCTGTTAAGAACCATTTCCTAGTTCTACATAAGGTAGATCAGATAACTCACACTTTATCACCCTTGAAGGCCATCTGAAGGACAAAGAAAAGAGATACACATAAAACTAATGTTTTTCTATGCTGGGGAATACTTGCTCCGGGCTTCTGATGACTACAAGCAGAAGAAATGGCTAATGGAAATGTGAGATCAGTGCTCTGTCAGCAAGAGCGACTGTTTCACACTCTCCTTCCGTGAGTGATTTTTGCAGTGCTTCAACATCTTAGAAATATTTTACCAAACTCTATTTGGGATGCGGGTAGTGCTGTGGTCTAAACCACTGAGCCTAGGGCTTGCCAATCAGAAGGTCGGTGGTTTGAATCCCCGTGACGGGGTGAGCTCCCGTTGCTCGGCCCCTGCTCCTGCCAACCTAGCAGTTCGAAAGCACGTCAAAGTGCAAGTAGATAAATAGGTACCGCTCCGGCGGGAAGGTAAACGGCGTTTCCGTGCGCTGCTCTGGTTTCGCCAGAAGCTGCTTAGTCATGTTGGCCACATGACCCGGAAAAACTGTCTGCGGGCAAATGTCAGCTCCCTCGGCCAGTAAAGCGAGATGAACACCGCAACGCCAGAGTTGTTCACGACTGGACTTAACTGTCAGGGGTCCTTTACCTTTTTAACAAATTAATGAAGTAAATGAAAACCCACACAATCCTCATTTTGGAGCAGTTCAGTTGCTGATAGCACTCTGATAGCACTCTAGAGACTGAATATGCCCGCTTTTTCCCATCTGCGGCTCTAGACCCGAGGGAGGTGAGGCTGGCACTAGGCCCACGTTGCTCCATACTTTGAATTGGCTCTCCAGTGGTTGCGGTACCTATGCCTCTTGGGACGAATAACTGCTATGAGAAAGGAGTAAAGTTAAGCTTGGTAGTATTTAATAAGGGAAATGTGGAAGTGATCCATAGATAAGATAGCCCTTTCATATGTGGAGGCTAGGAGGCTTAGTTTGGTCAGAACTGAGTATACACATGCAGAGTTAATGTTACATGCATTACTTCTGGTAAATCAGTATCAGGGCCGTAAAAATTGTGTCCTGGGCTTTTTAGACTCATGTATTATCTGAAACCAAAGGAGTACATTGGTTGCCAGATTGGGGGGGGGGGGGAATCAGCTCTCCTACCACACTAATAGCTTTAAGAATGGGGTAGAAACAGACTATTGTTAATGTCATCATTCAATAAAACATTGGGTTGGAACCAGACAACAGTTTGGAAAATTGAGATTTCCTACCTGGTCCATGAAACATCACCCAGCAATTCCCCTTACATAGCCCTGAGAATCCTAGAGGATAGCATGGGAACTGTTGCGATGAAGTGGGGAGGTTCTGCCAACTATCCTGACACACCAGTTCCCGCTGGTGCAAGGCATCTCTGAATCCAACTCCCTGCTTAGGATTTAACTTTCATTACTATGTGTGACAAGGCTGCACATTCAGCACATGCTATCCTCTTCAGTTCACAATAAATATATCCAAATTGCATAGGAACGCTGGGCCTCCACTCCAGGGGAAATTGCACACACCAGTGGGTTTCTTTGCACACATATCTGAGCAACAAGCCATCCAACAGATGGTCAACCGTGAAGGAAGTTTGGCTGGATTTGGGGCACACCCAAAAGAGAGGCAATTGCACCATCCAGGCTGACAGAGCCAACCATCTGTTTGGTATAATCTTTGATCCAATATTGGGAACCTGGAGTGCTTGATATAGACTGACAGGAACTAAACAAACATTTTATGCATGCAGTTTCTTTCAGCACACTGGACCTTTGATGGATTGATATACAAAACTTTAAAGGATACAGTTTGAAAGTGTATACGGGTTTGTATACTTGAGACTTAGAGGGCTCACTTGGTGTAGGAAAAATACAAGTTTCATCGGTGTGAGATATCATTCCCTTTAATACAATAAATTATGTGTTACTGCTCTGTGGCAACTTTACTTTTAATAATCTTCACATTCCAGCACAATGTTTTAATTTCAAGTCACCATGATTGAACCTCTGCTCTCAGCTTCTGTTCATTTTCATAGAGCATAGCAGGGCCATTAGAAAAATAGAGGGGGAAGGACATCATTAGCATTTGTTTGCATAATAGATTGTAACTGTGCATGCAGAATTTTGGCTTCCTGGCACAAGATACTAGGCAGCTTGAGCTTTGTAAAGAGCTACATTCAGATTATGTTGCATTTTGTATGGCAGCAAACCAAACCATGTACTTGCAAACTGAAAATCTGTATCAGAAAGATGTAGTACCACTTTATCCCATTTTGAGGGCTTTGTCTTATCGCTGTACATGTTTTCAGAACAGCAGAAAGGAATAAATTTGGGTGGAGCTGACATGCAATAGAAGCATGTGATGATAAGTCTATAGTGTCTTGTTGAATAAGGTGCTAAAATATGGCAACAAATCAAATTAAATCAGAGGCTAGTTGAATTTTGTATTTAAAATGAATACTCAAAGTCAATGTGTATTGAATGTAAGACTTTGGCTAGGAACAATGAACTAATTGTTCATGTCCATGATAAATATGTGTCAAATACAGCAGAAATGTCAAGTCTTCGTAAGTGGCTGCTAGAAATTGGTCTAATTCTTTATACGCCATGTATACTTTTGTCAGTGCAGGCAGATGGCAATGGAAACAACCATCAAGCACCAAAGAATTCCAAATGGATTTGAATTTGTGCAATAACTTCATTTTTAAAAACCCAACAATATTTGAATTGCAGGCTATTAAATATCAAGACTATTACAAAGAGAGTGCTACAGAAAAAGGACTTCGCACAATTTGAGTTCTTAGAATTAGAATCCATATAGACTAAAAATGCTATTTTGGTTATAAAATTTGCATATCGCTGGGAGGTTTACATGTTGATGTACATTAAAAATAATGTTGGCCACAACAGCGCCTTGGAACTCTTGTTATGGACTTTTAGCTAGTATAAAGGTTAATACTGAAATAAGACTGTCATGGAAGCATGAACCATGACACTGAGTCATGAATATTAGTTCAGTGGCCTTGATGATTTTAAGCATATCATAGAGAATAGTGAAATATTGTACAAGGCAGCTTAATGTATGTAATCAAATAGGCTAGAAGAGACAGCATTTAGTAGCAACAGACAAGATACGCCGTAAAATATGGTTCTGCATCCCCATCACATTTCATTTGAAGTGCATTAAACTGAAACTCATACTATTAAATTAATTTGGAAATTTTATTCAAAATAAGCCAGTAAAGGTGGCCAAAATATTACTTAATTGTTTTCAAGGTACCAGTAGCTTTCCATCTTCAACAAATAATCAAGTATGATGTTTCCCTTTTATTGCATACAGAGGACAAAGAGTCCATTTCAAACCTCTCTTAATAATGGCTATTCACATTCCTGAAACAGCACAAATTGACATGTAAACATTTTTGTGTGGCTTTCCCCAGCAAATACATAAAATAAGAAAGCAATTTATACCTCACATTACATATGATTTAAGACATAGTTCTATGAAAATATTAAAAGGTTTCCCCTTGCTTTAGTCATTAGTTTTGCGGGTTGGCACTTTGACCTAATTGGTTTTTTTCTGATTTCGGCTATCTCTTGATTCCCATATTGCAATGACATTAAAATATAGCAAGAAGAATAGAAAGTGCAAGCAGGATACAGCAGAGACAGCTAGAGGAAATAAATCTGGTAGCCTTTGTGGAGGATCCAATGTAGCACTCATTAAAGTCAGGATGCCCATCAGAGTTATTGAGACAAGGAACTGAAAGGAGAGAGAAAAGGTACACTGGTTATCACTGATTTACAATGTCCAATAAGTCGTTTCATTGCTTAGGTGCTCTGTTTTCATCATCCTTATGGAAGATATTTCAGAAAATACAATGTGTCTCTAACATGACATCTTATGTACCAATTGCCAGGGTTGATGCAAACATGGTCACGTCAGCCATATTAGGATGCCGAATCTAACCATGGTTTAGTGTGAGGTGAACAAGCCCAAATGAGCTGGATCAAACTTTCTACTCATATCCTTCCCTCTCCTCTTTTCTTGATGCTTGTTTCAATGTTAACCACAGTTGGTTGGTTTGTACATAATGGCCAAACTGCAGGGTTGTTTTGTTAAGTGCCAGCCAAGGCATGCTGCAGCTTCTTCATGCCACACTAAAAGTGTCAGATGCTGCCCCAGATAACTGCTTAAAATGTTCCAGCAATTTTCTTCACCAGCAGCATCTGCACACGGTGGGAATCATGGCAGTGGTGTGACTGGGGACCTTGGCAGCTATACAGTAGCTTATGTTTAAAACGCATAAACAAAAGGAAAGCATCTACCCCTTAGACAAATCAGTGGATAAAAGACAAGGTTTTTGTAAGAGTTACTTACTGAACTCCTAATAACCTTTGAGAATGTTCTGAACCATGGAATGCATCGTCTAATGGAAGTGGGGAAAAGTTTTAGCTGCATATCGTCCTCAGAAGTATTTTCAAATATTGAAAAAGAAGTTGCACACACTGTGAGAAAGGCCAGTGTTGTCACAATATATGGCAGGAGCAGGCCATCCTTCAGGAGAAGGGGGAGCATGCTGTGGAGAAAGAGACAAGTTAGTTCATGCCCTATCATGGTTATTTGCCCAACAATATATAAGGGTGTGGGAAGTTCTCAATAAACTCAAGTTAGAATTATTTAGAAATACTAATATTCAAACTCACCTGAAGGTTGAAACAAGTAGAAACCATGTAGACATAAAAGGAATTTCATGTATAACTAAGCAGACGGGTCTATGGGGAAAAGCAAATAAAACCTACATAAACATTGTCAAGGTAACATTTCAATTAGTTGATAGCGGAGCTGCTACATCATACATTATTTTTTTGTTTTAACGAAAGTGACGCAAAACAAGAGTAAGGGGCATTTATTTAGAATACAGACCACAAGCACATTAATACACAATACATAACAATAATGGCCAAGCAGCCCATTAGGGCAACAGAGTAAAATAAATTGCACATGGAGATTGTTTATGCACCTTCCTATGGGGGTAAGTGAAGTGTTAACACCACTTACTATTCTTACAATCATGTATATATAGCAACAGAAAATCCAAATGGTGAGTGCCACCAGAACTGTAACCAAAACAAGGCCACTGAGAAACCAAGATAAAGGCATTAGCAATATTTAGTAGGGGAAACTGTAAGGGGAGAGCTGAGTATGCACAGTAGCTACTGAATGTGGGATGTCAGGGGATGAGGCACTGGCAAAGGAACCAAAGCAAAATATAGTGAACCTAGAAAATGGAAGAAAGCTTGGCTGGCTGGCATATTCAATACTGTCACCCCACACTTCAACATTCTATTGCAAGTCCCACTCCTTACTACTACTTGACTCATTTTTAACACAGGAAGCTGCCTTATACCAAGTCAGACCATGAGGCCCATCTTGCTTAGTAATGTCAGTGCTGACTGGCTCCAGCGTTTCTGGCAGGAGCCTTTTCCAGCTCTAACTGGAGAAAACAAGAAATTGAACCAGGGACATACTGCGTGCGGACGTGTTCTATCACTCAGCCATATCCCATCCCTTGTCAATAAGAGCAATTCTGACAGACCCATGCAAGCAAATACAGTGGTACCCTTGGATTGTAACCATAATCTGTTCTGGAGGTCCGTTTGTAAACTAAAACAGGTTGTAACCCAAGGGGCGCTTTCGCCAATGCGGCCTCCCAAAAAAATTTGTTCGTAATCCCAAAAAAATGGGTTGTAATCCCAAAAAAATGGGTTGTAATGCAAAAAAAGGTTGCAAACCAGGACACGCACTTCCAGGTTAGAAGTGTTTGTAATCCAAAATGTATGCAAACCAAGAAGTATGCAAACCAAGGTACCACTGTTTCTGAAAGTAGTTAACTGAAGGGCTTGATAATGAAGATAATGAAAGACATACTGACAACATTTCAGTTTCAAAACAAGCCAGCTTTAAAATCATGGTTTCTGAAGCTGGCTGGTTTAACTACAGTTTGTCGGTCTGGATAAAACGAGACACTTTCCAAAGAAGCCGGAAAGTAAATACTAGAAACATCCTTCCAGCTATGCAGGAGGAAAGGAGTAGCGTGCAAGCCTGAGTCTTGCTCAGATTCGTTTCAGCTGAAGCATGTAGCACTACACCATGGTTTAACATTCTGGGCAAACAGACTTACAGATGCAAAAACTGCTCTTCAGTCCCAAGTATATCCCAAAATCTCAGATTTGACATTTCTGTGATATAGGAACCTGGTTCTACGGTTCCTGCTGAGCATGTGACTTCAATGCATGTTCAGCATCTTGTGAACTTGGCAAAAGCCATCTCTGAAGCATGTGGATCAATTTTAGAGCTGTCACTTTTTCCACCTCCCCACACTTTTCCTACTTCCCAAGTCTACTTCTTACATGATGGGTGTAAAAATAAAAAAGGATGGAAGACAACAATGCATTCTAAAACATTTAGCTTTTCAAAAATAAGACATAGAAGGCACCTCCTTTGGCCAGGTATACTAAATACCCTTTCATGCACCCTGGGCAAAGGGAATAATGTTATTTAGTTGAACCAATTCTCTTGTGCTTCGGCACATTCAAGATGTACCCTTGCATAGATGCTGGAGCCCGATTCTAGATCTGATCCCATGATCCACTTCATCAGATGTGCTGTTTATTTACTTCCCATTTCAACAGATAATGATGCAATATATTTTTAAAGCAGAAAATGCAACTTACATTGAAACTAGAAGAATAGATTTTTCATGCACTTGGAATGAGAATAGGAAGAAGGATAATGCACAGCTAACCTGTTAAAAACAAAGGTAACAAGTGTTAACACAGAGGCAACAAGTACTGTTTATATTTCCATCGACAGGAACGTGTAGAGGATGCTTTTGCTATTCAGGAACAGCTTACATGTATCCATAGAAGCAGGCTTTCCCAACATAGTGTTCCAGATGTTTGGACTACAATTTCCATTGCCAATGGTGAGGGTTGATGCGAGCTGTAGCCCAACAATATCTGGAGAGCGCCAGGTCACAGGATTCTGCTTGAAATGTCACTGTGCTTAAGACCACTTTTCCTTATTTTCAAGTACATTTAAAATGGGTATGTTACCATAACTAAGTGTATGAAATATTTTTAAGTTGCAGTATAAAAACAACATTCGAGAGAAAAGCACAGTTCCTTTTTAAAGTTATTGCAATAATGACTGTTATTTTTTACAAGTAATATTGATCTGGAAAAAAAGCAAAATAAGAAGTGAACACTCATCCATACAAGGCTTTTTTGAGACTTGAGGTCTCAAATTTCAGCGGCAGCCTGTGCAACACAAAAAAATTATCCCCCACCCCATCTTCCATTCTACATTATTGTAGAATGTGATACACATAGGACTCTGTGCCCTGTGTTGCTGGACCAGTCAAACTTCCTTAAATCCAGCTCGGCTTTTTTGCACGATTAAAGTATTTTGAAGAAAAATTATAGAATAAAAAATTAAAGGCAGTTCCCTTCCCTTCAGCAATTTGAAGAATACCACTTACGTATTGCTGGAGGACTGCTATAATTGTGTTCTGTTAAGAGTGTTTTAAGTAACTTTTAAGAAATACAAAGTAGCACAGCGGAGTAACTTTACTGATCCTTTTAAAAGTACTGTGTGACTATTTAGGCAAAGCTTCAGCATGCAATGACAGATAAACTTCAAAAATTAAGTAACGGAGACAAGGGTGGCTGTTTATCAGAGATTATTAACATAAGGCACAGGTAAAAAAAGAACCTTGAGCATCACAATACAGTGGCTATTCTCCAAGCCTATAATATTAGTCATCTGATTTATGAGTCTTTTTGGGCAATTTGGACCAACAGGCCTGCTAATGGGATTGCAGTTGTTTAGGCTACCACATAAATGTTTATTTAATTAGGCTTCCTCATTCCCAGGAGGCGGAGTTGGTTCTCCTTAATCTAGATTAATATGTGACGATCCATGTGACATGAATAGATGAACTCCACTGCCCAAATAACTTTTAAGTGTGCAACCTTGCACAAGTAGCATGACTGATCATGTATCATCCATCAGGTCTGATCTAGCTGAGATTCCTGCATTGCACGGGGTTGGACTAGATCAGTGTTCCCCAACCTTGGGCCTCCAGCTGTTTTTGGTCTACAACTCCCATCATCCCTCGCTAGCAAGACCAGTGGTCAAGGATGATGGGAATTGTAGTCCAAAAACAGCTGAAGGCCCAAGGTTGGGGAACACTGGACTAGATGACCCTTGGAACCTTTTCCAACCCTACAATTCTATAATTATATCTATGGTGAGAGGTTAGGAGTTGTGGTTCCAAGTTGGTCAGGAAATACCTAGCTACTTTAGGTGAGCTAGATGTCTTTAGAACCAGATAAATTGCATCATAAGCTTTTAAACAAATTTGTTCTCTGCTGTCCCAAAGGGCAGAACAAGGGTGTAATAAGCATAACTTACGGGAGGATAGACTTCAGAAGTTTCTCAATAGCACCAATTACCTTGAGAGTAGTGGGCTCCCCTCACTAGAGGAATTCATGCAGAGGCCAGACAGTCATCTGCCAGGGTGACATTGCTCCAGATTTCCTGCATAGGCCAAATGGTCTATATAGCAATTTCTGTGCATATTTTGCCGCCTCATCCTAATTTCCATTCTGTGGTATATTTTCATCCTATATATGATTGTGTGTGCGTTCATATGTACATACGTATTTGTGGGAAGGAAAGCAATAAGTCTTATGACGTATGGATGATTCCAACTTCATAATCTGTTTCTAGAGCACCATGTTTTGGTGCGCAAACAAGAATAATGAGCAGTCAGACTGGTCTGAGATACAGCACCTATGGTTACTCAGAATGGCCAGGTTTTTGGTTTCCTATTGGAAGAGATCATATGGTACATATATATGTTGTTCTATGAAACTGAACAGAGTGTGAATGGAGAAAGATATTTGTTTCTTTTATAAAACATACAAACATTACATTAAATTAAAAAAAAAAAGTTCATTAAACACTTACCAAAGCATATTTAAATCCTTTGATAGAAGGCTGCAGAGTTAGTTTTATGCAACTGGGAAGTGCAGTCAGGAATGTTAAGGCAAAGCTGAACATAACATAATGTATTAAAAATGCTATCTCAGTAACAATGGATTCACCTTCTTAAAACTATGGATCAAACCTGATTTTTTCATACCTGCACTAAAAAACAAATAAGGTTCCTGTTTTGAATTTCCTAATTTTAAACTTACAAATTAAACAAGCAGAAAACAACCACATGACACTACTGTTTAAATCAACTCTGTTTCCATGCAGATGGCTGAACCAGTGCCAGAATCTGACATTTAATGTATTTATTATTTAAAAATATGTATAACCTGTCCTTCATCAATACAGATTCAAGAGTAAGGTACAGAACACAAAATGAAATAAACACCAACCAACCAAATCATAAAACAAACAATAAATTGTAAAAGAAACCATCAAAGCAGCTAGAAAAAACAAAGCAAGTTAAATAGCAATCAACTTGCAAAACTTAAAATGCCTGGGCAGATATAAGTCTTCAGCTGGCATTGAAATGATAACAATGTTGGCACTACTCATAACCATAAGGGGAGGGCATTCCACAGACGTGGGAACCACCATAGAGAGGGCAATATTATTACATTGTTTTAAAATACTATCTTGTGATCCTACCAACAGTGTAACATAATTCAGACTTGAAAGTTGCTATGGACTTCTATTCTTACTTACCTTAGTTTAAGTTGAGTTTCTGCTGACAGCACTGCCTTTACTTTGAAAAAAACACTTACGGTGCACCAAACATTGGCCACTTTATCCTGAGAAGATATTTAAAGTGTTGCATTATTTTTTTGTTGATGGGCCTTATTTATACATTGAATGGCAGGGATCTTTTTGCATGGATGTATATTTGATGCCGAGATTAAATGCATCTGTGTGACCTTGGTTCAAAATAGTGGGCAATGTCATTTTGATTAAAACAAGCCTTTAATTAACAGAGAAGCACGTTACTGAGTACAAGAGCCAGAGCCTGTGTTAGAAAAATCTCTTATAACAATACTGTAGCATATTAAGTAAGAGAAGTTTGAAACTTTTTTTTGCAAATGTGAAGCCACACTATATTTTGCCACATTCTGCTACTAGAACATATTTAGCTCTGCTTGCTAGTTGCTAGCAATGACAGAGTTAACCCTAATAAATCAAGAAGTCTAAAGACATTAGCAGTTGTGCTAGGATCACTTTCCAAATTAAATTTGTAACCACACAGCTAGCATGCTCATGAAACTCATCCCTAAACAGCTGCTTGAATCACAGCTGTGTAGACATAACAGCAAGAAAGCTACTACCAACAACTGAGACATCCCTCCTTGTTCACTTACAAGTGTACAGAACACACACTGCAAATTTGCTGAAGGTGACAAGTGCTTGGCAGCACCCACAAACATATAAGATGCCTGTTTAATAGCCAGAGAAGTTTTACAACTATCAGCACTTGCAGGCATCTCTGTAAATGGGAACCAATTCAAAGAACCTGTCACAGGCAACCCAGTATAAACTTACTGTGCACTGCTTACGTAGACAGTTTCTCAGTTTATCCAGATTAATATCCAAATCAGTCACTCCTCTGCTCAGCTCAGAAAACATTTCAGCTAACATTAGATCAAAAATCCCTGAGCTATCCTGGATAAAATCGTGTGAAGTTTCTTCATTATAAAACATCAGTGAAACCTAGCAATGTGGATCAAAAAAATACATATATTGCCTCCCTAAAAATACACATGTAAACACACCAAATTACTTGACAGTTCTTTGGCTTGTGAATTTCTATATACCTCACACTTCGTGTAAAATGTCAACATACAAGTGAGCCTAAATTTTTCTACCAATGTGCCAGCACCACTACCAGGGATGTTAATGGTTTTCAGAAGTAAGTCCACTGATGAGTTGTATCACTATTTCTCACTCTCTCTTCCCCACACCCTCTCACTGGTGCAAACCACTTAATATAAGTCATATCTGTAATAAAATCATATACTTTATGCTCAACACCTTTAGGCCTTACTTTAGCAAAGCAAGATGGCACTTTCCAACACAGCAAATCAGGAATCTCAATGCCTTCTAAAGCATGTAACATTTTAGCATCAGTCCAATGACTATTTTAGAACAGTAAAAAAAAGAGAATCCAGTATGTATTCATTTTTTTAGACCCTCTAGATAAGATTGAGCAAGGACGCTGTTAATTACTATGGAATCTGGTCAAACGGAAAAATGTACGTCTGAGCTATAGATCTGACGATGGGATAAATGTTGTCTACTCATATAATATCCTGGAAGATGCCAGCTGAGCTAGGGGTTAAACGCTGGATTAAATAACTGGCAAGAAATGACGGTCAGAGAAGCCAGATCATATTACTAGCCTTCTGGTGTATCTTCCACATGAAATCCCTAAGGGTCAAAGTGAAGGTTTCTCAAGGGAGCTAAAAATATAAAACATTTACAAGAAGCTTGTAAGGGGGCAGGGCAGGGAAGATGAGGCATACCTCGAACAAACCTCGATCAACTGGGAAGAGCCTTCTGAACACTTGCAAAATTTGTTCAACGTCTGTACAAAACGGGAGCCAACAGAGAGCAAAAGAAACACCTACGGTAAACCCGAGTTTCATTAACAGTAACAGCCTGTAAGAAAAAAAATTAAAATAATCCAAGCCCTGAAGAAGAAGTGCTCATGTGAAAGAAAATAGTAATGTTTGTGTGCTCTCAAAAAATAAAGCTGACTTTTAAAGTACCGTGCATAACGACAGACATTAAATAACCTAACGTGAGATAGCTAACAGGAGAAGAGATCAGGGATAAGAAAACTGTTAAATGTTAAAAAAGATATGCTAAACTCTTATCTTCTAAATCTGGGTGTCCATTTGTGACCTGTGCTTAACTAATGACAGGTGTTGAAGAGAAAAGATAGTCGTGTGTATTTTGATACACTATGGACACTCTTAAAACTATTTAGTATGTTATTTAATGACTTAGGAGAAAATGTTCTTCTGGGGGAGGGGGGGAGTAAAGAATTATAATGACATGAATCCCTTCTCCAAAAGCTTAATCGAGAAATGAATGACATGCACAAATTCCCAAGGCGAGCCTGCCTAAGTGCATTCCAGGACCATTTTCTGGATGTCAACTTTTAAAGATACTCACCCCTTCCCCACCAGGCCTTTTTTGAAGCACTTTCCCAAGAGATAGCTGAAGAAGGGCAATGAATGGTACAGCTCCATTTGTTTGTAGTTTAGAGCCAAGCAGAATGCTATTGAGCCCAAGAGGTCCAAATCATAAGACAGGAAAAGCACTCCCCACAAAGCAAAGCCAAGGCTCACAGAATTATATATGTTTTTAATGTTAAGGACAAAACAGATTTAAAAAGTTAGGTTATAAAGGAAATACTTCAGATGGTCTCCTCTCGCCACGATTACTGATTGCCCATGCCATAAATTTAATCTTGTCAAAGTCTGAAGTCCCACTGATTTCAATGGGAGAGATTTAAGCAATTTGATTTGACGTTTAATTAATCTTCCAGTTGAAATAAATGTGACTTCAAAGCATTTACCTGTGAGGAGATTTTGCCCTGAGCTCTCAAAGACCAATATGACAGAACCTGAAGGAACGACATCATCTGTGTGTCTCTGTTCTGGCATTACCGGAAACTCAAAAGCAAGCAGAGTTGTGGAGCAGTTCCTACACTTCTCAAATAACATGAAACAAGGACCCTGAAAATTTGTAGTTTGCCCATACTGGCTGCAACCATCATAATGATGTGCAGTTTTGGTACCTTTCCATAAAGATCCATGCAAAATACATTCCTATGGATTGCCTCCACTGAAACTCATTTTGAGATAATGTCAGGTGACATCAAATTGTTATCTTTGCTGTTTAATCTCCGATGGCTGTTTCACACATACAACTTTTATTTCAGTCATCTTGAGATAAATATGCCTATGTGAACTCACCTTCGGGTATTTATACCACGCACCTCATACTGAACAAACATGTATCGACACATTCAGCATAAGAGAAGAAACCCAGATTACGCAATAACTGCAGTTTTAAATGTTTAGCTGTACCATTAATACCTAAGCACAATCCTATGCATGTTTACCTTGGAGTTAGCTGCTCTTGTGTTCAAATGGGGCTTATTCTGAGGTAAGCATGCACAGGGCTGTATCCTTTATCTGTCTCTTTTTCACTGCTCTTATAAAGATCTTATGAAATGAACAGGAATTATTCCTCCCTGTTCACATACTTCCCCTAAACCATTACACCCCTTGTTGCTCTATAGCAAAGAGATTGGTGTTGGGTTAAGAGAATCCATTGAACTGGTAAAGTGTAAAGAGATGACATCACGGAATAGCCAAGGATACTGAAAATGTCCATAATCAATCAGAATGAGTCCCGGATAAAGCAGTATGCAGAGAGCACTAGAAATCTGGGAAAGAAAGACAGACATTCTACATTAAAAGAAACATAAATACGCTAATTTTGTAATAAGTCATCACATACTAGAACAAGGGTGGGGAACCCTCAGGCTTGGGGGCCAAGTGCAGCCTCCAAGCCTCTCTATGTGGCCCTCAGGCCACACTTCTCAGCAGCCCTGGTCTACATCCTCATTAAGTATTTCTGCTTTGGAATAAGGCTTTGAACTGTGATGGAGCTTGCTTACTTGTCTTGAGGACAGAAGGAAAAGGGGTGTGTGACTTTTGCAAGGCTGGAATGTAGTCCTACTTGTAAGAATACAAAGGTAAGAGGCACATCCATTGCTCTTCTGCATTTTGCCCCTTGTCCTGCTGCCTACTGGTACGCAGCCCAGGCTGCCCATGAAAAAATGTTTTCATCCCCATGCAACCTCAAAAGAGTATGTGACCTTAAACAAGTTTCACTTCTCCCAGCTGAAACAATGCATAGAAGGCAACGGAGAATCCACTGCATCACTCTACAAACATATCTTGTTCTACTGGCCAAAACTGTGATTCAGCCAGCTATTCGTGGCTATTAAAAGGGCCAGTCTAAATGTTAAATGTGGGATTCAAAAGCATGTACTGAATTTAGCCCCAAGCACACACAAATATTTGACTACAGTAAGATCTGTGACCTTCATTGGGCAGCGACATTGGAAGTGGGCGGGGAGCATCTAAAGTGCAAGTAAGGCTAAAAAGAAAGTCTCTTCCAATGTGAGCAGGTACATCTGATGTAGAGGCTCCTATCAACATCTGTGTCCTATCAACATCTGAGTGGCGTTTGGAGGTGGCCTGGGAGAAGGCTTTTCCTGTGGCCATTACCAGATTGTTAGCAGCCTTGGGCATTTTTAGTGGAAAAGCAGGGCAAAAGTATTTATAATGAAGAAAAACAAGTCCACAATCCTATGCGATCTTTCTTGGGACTAAATTCCACTGACGTTAATGGGACCTACTTCTGAGTAAAAATATAATTTGCATTATGCTGCATACTATGTTTGTTTGTTTGTTTGTTTGTTTTTGCAATCCTTGTTTCTTAATTATACAAAAAATGGTCAACATTACTTGCAACACATTTTGTTTTTGCAAGGCTTTCCAGTAACTGAGGTCAATGTAACATTATTAACTATAAAACAAACTAGCAATTTGTGCTATCAATTTTATGTTAGAAGAAAATATTTTCTGATTTTGTAGCATTAAGTAGCCCCATGCTTGCCTTCCATTCTAGAAGAAAAGTTTTCATCGCAAGTCCAAAAAAAGAAAGAAAAAGAAATCATACCAACCTTCCTCTTAGCTGAAGTCTCTTTTAAATAACAACAGTACAAGATTACTGCAGGTATGTAAACTAGCATATCAGCAACAAAAACTGAAACATAGAAAATATATTTATGTATGAATCAAACTACTATTGTTTATTAGCCAACTGGGCTATTGATTATTCTGCTTCAAATATTGTCTCCTAACTGTGACAATGCTATTATTCTTGGCCTTCCCCCATAACCATTTCCCCATCACCTGCATCTGACATATATTTGAATTATTTAAAATATCAAAAGCAGCCAAGATTAACTCTTATGTGCTATAGACACAATAATTCATTACACACATACAGTTCAACCAGATGTAAGTCTGCACATACACTCAAAACTGATTTAGGAATAATATCCTTTTCAAAGATTCTGTGGCCACAAGAAAATACAGGATTCATGCTGTGGTTGACAGATCCTCAACCTGAGATAGTGTCCAGTCTACACCTTTAAATCAGGGGTGAAGAATGCCAGGTCTGGGGCTGAATGTGGCCCTTCAGACATCCTTATATGGCCCTCGGAACTCTCCCCAGGCCACACCCCTCACTGTCCCTTCTTTGTGCCCCAAGTGCTTTTGTCTGGCTGGAATGTGTCCCTGAATTCTAGTGCTTGTCTAGCTAGAAGACAGAGAAAAGTGAGAGACAGAAGAAACTAGGCTACTGCACAAAGGTAAAATTTACCTTCATAACTTTCCCACTTTTGCCCTGCCCACGTCTGGCCCTTGAAACCTAAATGCAGCTGGAAAAAAGCTCCCCATCCCTGCTTTTTAAAATGTTTTAAGGTGCTGAACAAGGACACAGTCAATATGTCTCTCACATATTGGTATTCCTTTTCCACTCCTTTTCCCCTGCCTGCAGGATGGTAAAACTGGACTCCTTGTGCGGTAGGCAGCGGGGAAAGGTATGTAAAGGAATCAATGGGGAAAACAACATAGAAGCTGTATCATCTCTTAGTGCTTGAGCTTCTAATTGTAGAAACACCATCTCCAAGTGAGCCCCCGGCAAGCCTCATTTTCATACAGTAATGATATGTGCTTCAAGGAGCTACCTTAAAGCAGTAATTTTTTTTGGAGTCATGTCTTGTATATAAGGCATGAGCAGTTTCTGGGATTACTATTTTAAACATAAGTCATAATACTGTCAATATGGTAATATCAGAAACCAGCTAGCCTCAAGGCTAGGAAAACTCTACAAAATTTGATCCAGTGGCATCATAGGGCTGGTACTCATAGCTGATAATGAGTTCTCATAAAACCAAGTGCTTCCTTCAGAAATGCTACCAAAGAGGTATAGCTGCAAAAAGATCAGCCCAATGCCACTCGAAATCTGCTTAAAGGTTTTATGACATGTTTAAAATAGTAATCCCAGAAGCTGTTCAAGCCATATATACATGAGTTCAAAGAATGAACTGCTTGCAGGGCAGTTCCTCATAGCAGTTCTGAAATCAAAATGGATAGCTTTCTTTCTTTTTCTGACTCACTTCATTCAGTTACATTCAAAGAATGCCAATAACTTCCCTAAATGTTTAAAATTAATCATTTATAATTAAAATGTCCTTGACAGAGTTAAAGCTGAACCCTTCAATCCTGCACACAGGACACTTCAATTCCACTGAAGTCAATGAGATTAAAGAAGACTTAACTCTACATAAGGATTGTAGCCCATGTGCTCAGAACCGTGTAAGACTAGAACCCCAAATTCCTCCAAGATGACAGAATATAACCTTGAAATTTCTTTTAAGATGTAGAGCAACTGAAATGATACCTTTATTTGCACCCATAATATTCAAAATGATGGAAGAGAGTGATACTGAACTCTTCTTTAGATTACAGGATTTCAAAGCAAAAAATTTAGGAAATACACACACAAACACACCAGCCACCTGGAATATGATGCTGGGGTAGTATAAACACAGTGGTTTGGAGAGCTCTTCACAACACAGGCATTTTTGAACAGAGACTACTGTTAACTATTTCAAGCCAACTGGAATTGTCAGTAGTGGCACCCGCCCTGCGGAACGCCCTCCCATCAGATGTCAAGGAAATAAGCAGCTATCCTATTTTTAAAAGACATCTGAAGGCAGCCCTGTTTAGGGAAGTTTTTAATATTTAATGCTATATTGTTTTTAACACTCGATTGGGAGCCGCCCAGAGTGGCTGAGGGAACTCAGCCAGATGGGCAGGGTATAAATAATAAAATTATTATTATCATTATTATTATTATTATTATTGATCATTTAAAAGTATTGCCTTGTCTCAGAAGCTCTATACTATTTGTTCTGGAAGCCCAACACTAAAGAGTTATTCAGACAGAACAGTAAGCCATCCTGGTTCATGGGCAATACCATATTTTACCCAGATTGGGGGGGGAAATGGTAAACTATGGTATGCCAGAAATGCGAAAGTAAAGGTGGGGACCACAACACAAGGGACAAAAGAGTGTCTGAGGTCAAGGCTCTTCAGGATTCACTCATGAAATGCCACATCCTGGTATCTGAATGAGCTCCGGGACTCCTATGGTTTTTATTTATTTGGCAGAATCTGTTGTCTGTGCATGTGCTTCAGAAACACAGAGAGAATCTTCTAAAACATCTAAAACTAATGGTCAACATTTAACTGTATTGAATTTTGTAACCCTGGTGCACTCGTTTAATGGCAATTGTTAAAAAGAATGTCTATCCATTTTCTTAGTTTGTACATCAATGATTTGTCAGGCGTGTTGATTTGAGCATTATTAAAGACCATTTCAAGGGTAATTTGGTTCTAGTGATTTTTAAAATATAATCAATTACTAGAGACCAGATGGAAAGGTTTCTGGCCAATGCAAGAGGTGGTGTGGAGGAGTGTCTGCTTCTGCCCAGGATAATCAGCAATAAGACAATGCTGACACGTCATAAGAGATTTTTACAGGACTTCAGTCAATCCTGTGAAACAGAGGAAGACTGAATATAACCCAATAAATGCATTGTCTGGGCTGCCTGATACATTACTCTTGTGACAATGCTGTCCATGTTTTTCTTCACTGATCACCACGTGAACTATCAATTGATACGCATCTGAGAATTATCATTGTCGTTATCCTCCATTTGGTTTAGCTGTAAAGGCAAATGAACACTGAACTTTTAGTTGTATATTGGAACTTTTTTGAAGCCTGGGAAAAGCTACTATATAATGATTCACAGCACCTATAAGCATTTGATTTTGAACGTGCGTAATAACACCTTCTTCATTCCAATGTTTCTTAAAAATATATAATTTCGTTACTTCAGTATTAAAAATCCCTGAGCATGACAGCCCTTCCAACCGCTAAATTTAAAAACTAACAGAAAAGAACTATGAAATTCTTTTTTAAAAAAAACAGACAAGCATAGGCCATAGTTAATAACTGACATGAACTTCAGAGTGCTATCAAAACTTAACGTTATATAGTAGGAATTGGCAAAACTATTATGTCAAATAGGTAACTTCTCAATATACTGCCATTACTGTAGAATATTACCGTGTTACCTTGTAAGACAGAAACAAAAAAAACCTATAATGTCCAATTTCCAATAATATATAAAACCACAGATTAAAACAATTCACAGCCAGCAGCACATTGGCATATCTAAAGAATTAAAAACTATATTCTCCACAGATCATTAAATAGTTTAACATTCAGCCCAGCATATCAACTAAAAGCAGCCCCAAATGGTTGGATTTTTGAGACCCATTTTAAAAAGCATGAACTAGTGGAGCCAAGAAGCACATATTCCATAGGTATGAGGTCAACCCTGAAAAGATTCTGTCTCTTATGCCCTTCAGTCTAATTTATCTGAAATATTGGGTCATGAGCAGTGGCTGTCAGTTGTACCCCTGACCATGTAACCCATACCTTGAGCAATCTCTCCCACTATAGTCTTTTGTCAGCAGGAAATTGCTTTAGCATTAGGGGGCTGAGGCCATTCCCAGTTAGAATTATTTATCTCCTTGCATCTTTACACCTTAAGAACACCCCTTGTATGGGTAATCTGCACTGCAAAAAATAGAACTGGATCAGGAACATTTCGAACTTATGTCGAAAAAAAGGCTATTTTCTACCTGTTGCCCGCATGAATAGCTTGTGTGGCTGACTCTCATACCCACGAGATGTGTGCAGAGCAATCCAATCTGGATTGATTAATTTCGCTCTATAAAACAAAGCATCAAAATATTAAAAAGTAGACTATTCACACTGCTAATTGCTTCAGCTTAACAAATGCAGATGACACACATAGAATCATCATGAAGAAACTGCTTCAGTTTCAATTATAATTAAGCACTTATCAGCAATACAGAGAACTGAAAAGATTTTATCTTTTCACATACAGGCTATGTTTGTGCACCACAGCAAACCATAGTTAATGCGTGTTGATGGCTCCCATTTCACTCCCCACCCTCCCAGTGTGAGCAGCAACAACAAACTACAAAACGCGCCTTGGTGTTTTCTCCAAAAAGGCAATCATGGATTATTTTGCTCCAAACAAACCATAAATGCTTCCTGATCATAGAATATGTAAAATAGACCACAATCTCTGCTTCAGGCATAACACTAAGGCAGAGGAAGTCATGCCACATCTTCTGGCACAATGCTGGGTATTGCATTACCACATAATATAGGCAACTAACAATTTACACGTGTCCAACTGACACACAATCGCACATGCGTGCATCGTGTGACTTTAAAAGTGGAAAAAATAGCCCAGAAAGGGAAAAAAGAACAAAAAAAACACCTAGCAATCCCATGAGCCTTTGCAAGTGCAATTCCAGGAGCGCTTGCACTGACCTTTGAGGCCTGTGGAAGGTCTGAGTTTGAGAAAGGAGGTTTGGAGGGAGTGACCCTGGTGGAGTTTGGCGCCTGGTAAGTGCTGCTGGTTTTTAAAGGGTTTTGTTCAGGGAGTTTCAGAGGTTGCCTGCAGACTTTTACAATGGCGTTTCAAATATACGTGATTTCACGTAAACACGTGGTGCCTCGGAATGTAACCCCTGCATAAATTGTGAGTTGCCTGTACATAGAAACTTTGTTGTTGTTGTTTTTAGTCGTGTCCGACTCTTTGTGACCCCATGGACCAGAGCACACCAGGCACTCCTGTCTTCCACTGCCTCCTGCAGTTTGGTCAAACTCACGTTATTAGCTTTGAGAACACTGTCCAACCATCTCGTCCTCTGTCGTCCCCTTCTCCTTGTGCCCTCAATCTTTCCCAACATCAGGGTCTTTTCGAGGGAGTCTTCTCTTCTCTTCTCTTCTCATGAGGTAGCCATAGAAACTTAGCCAACTACAAACTCCCTTTTATCCACTAAATAATCAGGAGATACAGAGCTGTCTCATCTGTGATTGTTTACCACACGGGTAAGCACTCCCACATGCTGCTTGTGTGTACACGGTCATAAGTGTGTAATTGCCACACTTATTGTGAATGGGGAATGCTGTAGGTGTGCATCAGAATTCCCATACATGGATCAGCCTGCATTTTTCTATTTCTTCTAGCAATCAAAAGGCATTTAAAATAATGCTCACATATTTAACTTACACATAAGCACACAGAAGACTGTGATAAGCAGTAAGAGGCGGATAATCAAGGCCCCAGTATTGCAAATTATTGTCACTGGTGTTGAAGTACCTGAAAAAGAAAAGGAAACCCTGAAATAAATATGTCTTCAGAATGCAGCTCACACAGAATGCAGATCTTCCTCCTTCCCTTTCCCCGTTGCAGCAAGATCCCCCTGCTCAGTGCTGTCCAATTCCCCACTTGCACTGCAGCCCAGTAAACCACAGTCCTTACTGTTCAGAAGTGTCCCAAACCCTATAGGGAGGGGTTGCATGGGATACAGAGCACTTCCAGGGGGGAAGAGAGGACAAGACAGATTGGTTATACATGTTGCATTCCACCCAGGCAGCATTCTACTCGCACAACCAATGGATACAACCCAGGGTCATGTTGTTTTTCTACGAAGCTGGACAGTTTCAGTATAAGAGTAAAAAAAATAAAATTAAAATATGGCTCTTACTGCATTTTTGTTGTAGATTCTTTTTTTAAATAAAACAAAGACTTGCCTGAGTTTTTGGATGCAATTGTTGATGTTTGTGTTATGGCAGAATACAAGACATAAAGATTCTGAAGGATATAAAATTTGTGCCTGTAACCAGCTGATATTGTTCTGGGAAATACATTTTCATTTCTAGGAAACAAAGCTAGAATAATTCAAAAATCTACTGGGCTATGAAAGGTAATTATTGTTCCAATTGCCATGATTCACAAGATCTGATTCATCAGGGCCATTAATTTTACTTTTTCAATATATGTGAGCAGCTCCAAAAATACAAGGCTCTATTCCAGTCAGTCCTACATTCATTGGACACTTTTCCCCAACCTGACCAGCCTTTCTCCTGAAACCTTCTGCAATCACCTTCAGCTGAAGATATGTACCCAAGGACCCTCATCTAACAAAGTCCGTGGCTTTGACAAGATGGTGTTTTCTAAAGTGTCAACAGACAACTTTAGAATTAAAGTTTACTAAATACTAAATACAACTTTAGTATTAAAGAAATACAGAGTTGCATATAAAAATGTTACAGTAATACAAAGTCACTAATATAGTTACTGACACACTCTCCCTCTAAGGCTCCGGATTCTAACCCAGGGTTCAAACAAACTCTCAGCTCACCCACAAAAGTGGTTAGAGCATTACAGCCTTCAAGGTTTTGCAGTCTTAAGCGCAATTTTATCTAAGGGATTCTAAGATCCAACACTAGTTCTCCAAAATCACAAAACCCAAACATCTGAGCTAAAAGAATGATTGGCCATTCTTGTGAGCTAACAAACTACTGAACCTGAGCTGCTCCATATCAACAGTATCCAAATTGTACTGCTGGCTTTCACAAGAATTAGGAGGTGCTAAAAAGTAAACTCTACTTAATTACAACAGTACCAAGTTGTCAGCACAATAGATGACAAAGGTCATGAGCCTGTTCAGTCATACCAATAACAACAAATTCAACAGGCCCTCTAAACTAGCCCAAGAAAGTAACCTCTAGAGGACAATAAGAAAGCGCAAAGATAAAGGAATTTCATTCATACGACTTTTCTGTACTTATGTTTCTGTGGAGAGCAGTCAGAATTTAGCCACATCTTCAAGTTGAAAGGCAGAAGATTTTATTCAATGAAAATAAAAGTTACAAAAATAAGACATCAGAACCTTTAAATCTCAGTGAAACAGAGTGACTAGTATTTTATAATTGCCAAGGGGCAAGTTCTTAGCTTTCCCAGTCTATCCACTCAAATGCAGCCAATTTTTGACATTTATTACAATAAATGATATTTCTTGAATACCTTATGAGCAGCCTGAAGTATCTTATGAACAATTCATGATAAATCATATTTCTTAAAGCTGCATCTCTGCCCCTTATCCCACCATTTAAAATTTCTCATGCCAGGATAGTTTTAACTCCTTCATTTGGATATTGATGTCTTGCGATTTACTAGTAAATATCTCATTCAATTCCATGCTCTTATTTGAACTTAGATTCCAAAGAAAAAGTTTGTGTATAGGTGTGAAAAAAAGGTAAGAACTGTCACATTTCTAACATGCAATATAAGAAGAAAAAGATGCTGTCAAGATTGTCTTTGATAAATATGCATGGGCTCCAAAGAAAGATAGAGAAGGCAGAAATATTTAAATTTGTGCCTCTGGCTCAGAAAAACTACATACAGGAAAACTACATACAAATCACATTTCTCATTTACTGCCTACCTTTTTTAATATACTTTTTTTCCAGAACAAAGGAAGTGAACATGGAGTACATGATAATACCATTTGAGCATACCTGAATAATAATAGTAATCATTGCCTTTTCGAAGGCAAGGACTTTAGGGGGCAAACGTTCAAAAGATGCCACCTTGCACCCAGTACAGGGGATCACAAATTTGTTTGTCACCAAACAATGAAATCTCATCCCTTTACACTGCTCACACTGTTATACTATACAGCAATATATGCAGAACAAATTGTAAGTTTCCAAATTTAAATTAGTAGCATGTATTGGCTAATTGTAGTACAGTATTTGGTTTTGATGGCAGACAGTGCAGATTTATTGGTTATCATTCCATTGGCTGTAAATTTTAATGCTGCTATCAACTTCTAAAAACAGCTAATTCTTAAGCAATCTTTTCCCCCTTTCTCACCAATACCAATACCAACCACACATTTTATGACAAATACATTCCTGCAATTAGGTCATGTTGCAAACAATTTCTCTCTTTACTCTCTCTCTCTATACACACACACACACACACACACACATAGTAAAAACAACAACATCATTACTATATACAGTGACAGTATACCAAGTCAATTGGCCGATTATCCCAGTACAGTGGTACCTTGGTTTAAGAACAGCTTAGTTTATGAGCAACTTGGATTAAGAACACTGCAAACCCGGAAGTAGGTGTTTTGGTTTGTGAACTTTGCCTTGGAAGCAGAACATGTTTCGCTTTCTGTTGAGTGTGTTCCATTTGTAAATTGAGTCTCTCGCTGCTATGGGAAAGCACACCTTGGTTTAAGAACTCTTTGGTTTAAGAACGGACTTCCAGAATGGATCAAATTCGTAAACCAAGGTACCACTGTATTCTCTATTGTTAGGCAACAACCTCCAAAGTATCTTGCAGCCCTGCTATTGTTCTTAATATTGTACTGTTCTTTATGTGCTCAACTTATGAGCACGTATAAAAGATAAGTTATGACTTGACCATGTGGCAAGGAAGCATCTTCTGCACATCAAAGTGGTCAATTTATTACAACTGGAGGACACAATGTAATGACAAAATATGCTCTAAAAGGCAATCTTGTAGGTAAACTGGTTCCAAGTTGTTAAGGGCTTTGTAACACCTTGAAGTTGGTCCAGTAGCAAATTGGCAACAGAACTAGAGGACCCAATGTGCACTGCAAAATAAGCCTCCTTCTTCTTTTTTTGCAGCCTCACTGCCACATTATAGGCACGACTGTGTGTTCTTAGCAGTGTTCAGTTGGCTTCAGAGTGAGACTTGCGCCACCTGCACTCCAGTCTTCATCCGGACTGTTTTACAGTCTGGAAATCCTGAGAGTACCAAGAACTCCTTGGGCTCGAAAATGCCAGAGAGAATGCTCTGCAGTGATTGTGTCTACTGCCCATTTCCTCTTGCCATTCCATAGCGACAAGGTCTTTGACAGGATCACCTGCTTTCTCCACTGGAAAATTCCCCAGAGCATTCAGGAACATATCTGGTCCCATCAGTCTCTGAGAGCGGGCCATGTAAATGGGCTCACCACCCTTACAAGTTGAGAGATATGGAAACCAGAAATCTACTGCTTATGTCTGAACTCCAGTTTTCAGAGAATTCGTATCACTTACAAATCGGTACTGATAGTTATAAAATATATTTAACTGGACAAATTGGAAAATATTTTTTTCAAATATTAATTTTGCTAAAATATTAAAATTGGTGGATCGCATCTTAAAGGCAGATGACAGGAATCGTTATACGATATATATTTTTTGTTACTTTACCAAATTGTTCTAAAACATTTTAGATACAGGTATTATATAGATCTAAGTAGCTCTAGAATGAGATATTTCAAGGGAAACAAAAATAAGTAAAGGAAATGGTAATTGGCTGCAATGCTATGTACACTTAACTGGGGCTTACTTCTTTGCAGCCTTATGTAGGGTTACACTGCAAAGGGCTGTGTAGGCAGGAAGGTTTTATGCACCCCAAGATTATAGTCTTTCCATATAAAAAGGGAATAAAAAAAAATCAAAATTAGGCATACCACTGTTTGACTGGCAGATTGTAGGTAACTTCTTGCCAATGTCTTTGAGCTTCGTAGTCTCCATACATAGGTGGTTTTCCTGCACCTTAAAAGAAAGAAAAAAGATGGGAAACTATATTTATCATTTGTTAATGAATGTATAAATTAATTTTGCTCTACTAATGCCTGCAATTCAATGCTTTGCTTGGAAATTAATATACCCTCTGTAGCAAAAGTGTGACAGGTATTTGCATGTAATTTTACAATCAACTCTGTTAGGAAGAGAATAAGTTCTTGGGGTAGTATCAGACGTAGGATACATTTCAATTTTCTGAATACATCTTTTATGAGTATTCTTCTTAGTTCCCTATTCTTCCCTCCCACCCCCCTTTCTTCTCTCGTCAGAAATTCTTTGTTTTTTCCTGTAACTTTTTAAAATCAGTACAAAATTTGCACAAGTTTCTTCTTTATTGAATACTACAGAACAGGCCAATTGTGGCAGTATCACATTAAACAATTAGGCACACAGATTATTCATTTCCTGTCGTTCCTGATTAGCTATTGAGAGCACACACTTATTTCTATGGTATTGACTCTAACTTCATGGAGATTGAAGAGTTTCTTTTAAATATAGGAAAGCTATCTATAATTCTTTCATATGATCTATGTTTGAGCGATTCACACAAACAGCAGAGAAGGACATAATCTGTCCTTTTGCAACACCGAGAGCAGACAATTACTACAAGAAGGATATTAAGAGGAAAGGGTTTCAGATAGGCCAGTGCTTCTACAAACAGAAGACTCCTCTATGGACATTTGGGAAGAGAGTTAAGAATATGTGCCAAGAGACATGTGCAATAACTTCCTTCTGCCCATTTACCAACGTAATGGATGAATACAGGGAAATAGGATTGATTCAGCAAAAGAAAACATTCACATGGCAGCAGCCCATGCTCCAGGTACAGGGCACAACCAAAAGAATGGGAAACATTCCTACAAGGGTCCTACTGATTACACAGAAAACAATAATGTCTGATGGAAATGCTTGATATTTGACCACTGCTGTCTTTTACTGCAGATCTATATCTATCACTATTATTTACAATGCTGGGAAGACTGAGAAACCTACAAAAATTACCAACCAGTGATAGCTTCTCCTAGAAGGAGTTTATGACAGTGTTCTTCTCACTACAAAACCAAAGAGGAACTGATGTCCAAACAGCAAAATATATAATACAAAACCAGAATCAGTCAAAACTAGGCCTGTTAAAATTATCAACTCTGAGGCAGCAGTGAAAGTAAACAAAGCAAGGGCAAGCATTTTAGCATCTGCTGTGCTTTGTGGTTGTTGTTTTCCAAAATGAACCAAGCAGAATGCATTGAAAAAAATTGGTACCCATTTCTAATTGTTTGGGGTTTATTTGTACATATGATGCAAAAGGATATAGGTTGACATCTCAAGGCAAAGTAGTAGTGGTGAGTAATTAAATACCAAACTGATCAGCTAAACTATTTGGTTCTTTCTTTTTAGTTTTTGCACTTTATATTTTGCCTTGGGTTGCTATTCTGGGAAATTAGGTTGCAAAAGCACATTGTAATGAGTGAGCCTTAAACAGCATGTGTGCAGTATTGAAGCCATGGGCTGCAGGCAATGAATTGCTTCCAAAGGGGACATTTTAATTCCATACACCTTTTGCAAGGGAGACAAAAGCTGTAAAGTATAACATTTTAAAAGTTATTACTAAGCAGATCCTCAAAGCAGCATACAGTACTGCTTTATTATAGTGAACGAGATGTGCCTTTGAAGAACAAGAGGTTCCCAAATATAAAAAGTATAAAAAGTTGCCCTAAGATCAGTCAAAGACCAGGACATTCTCCATTGCTTTTGATGCAACCCATATATAGAAGCAACTAAGACTTTGGGCAGCTTGATGACACAAACATATATTTCTCACACAAAAAAACAAATTTAATTCCTCATATTAATTCTTCTTCACCTTTACATTGTATTATATTATTCTTAACCATGAAAAAAATTGAACCAGTAGTGTTCAATGTCATTTGTTACCCACATTCACTAATGCTAACTAGTTCAGCAAACCCACCTGGAAGAAAATATATGGTGAGAAAAGCAAAGTAAAAAAAGAAGCTTGATGCATCTGAAATATAGTGGACTCAGAACAGAAGTAACCTTCCTATATCTGGTTATCCATGCCTTAAGTTGGAACTATGTTGAATTAGAACCGCTCATGTCAGCCTTTCGATCTCAACTGCCATTGCATTGGGCAGCACCTGCATACATTTTGAGGGTAACCAGCAAATTGGATACATAATTGGATTTTATGAATGAACATTTGGGGTTTTGCATCCAAGTCTTTTATGGTGGTTTATGCTACTACTGTACCTATTTAGAAAACATGTGATGTGATTCATAAGCAGTTTGTATTAATACAGGCAACAAGTATAAAATGTAGCTTCTCTCTACCATCATTTCATCACCACTTTCACTTGATATATGTACAAAAGAATTGCCACCCTGGCCAATTGTAGGGGAGAGGGAGTATATCTGTCCGTCATAGTGACTGATCTAACAAATTACTCAACTGCAAGGAATTGTTCCTTGTCCCCAGTGAGCATCTAACAATACATACATTAAACAAAAAGTGAGCAGGTCAGTGCTATGCATTACAATACACAAGGCATACAGTACAAGTTGCAATATACACAACTACTAACAGCTTCAACTTAACTCTCCTTTGTCTGTTGAAAGTTTGTTAAAGTGTTGGCCTTTTTTGTTTTTGTTTTGTTTTTTAGTTCTTAGATGTTTTCGTCAGAATAGAACAGTAGTTGTAACTTAATATTCAGACACTATTGCATCTGGAAAGTTAATTTTATTATACCAAAAAACATAACACATTAGACATAGCAGAATCTTAATTGCTTCCTCTTTGTTCACTTAATTTGAACAGGTGAGGGTACAACCAGAATTAAATACCAATCTTCCCATTTTGACTTCCACATCATGGTAACTAGATTATAATAATGTGAAGGGAGACCAGAGTTGTGCTTTTTGGACCCACCTTCCCACCATCCATGTATTGTTGGGGAAAGGCTGAAGAAAGGAGCCTGTTCTTGAGTAGGCTCCCCAAGCAACATGATCAGAAGGATTCTAAGCTGCACAAAGAGCTTTTCACATGTAAAGCAGGTTCCTAGAGTTGCAACAAAGCAGGTGGGCCAGGAAGAACAGCTACTCTCGCTTTCACATGAATCATGTGAGAGGTCAACACCCAGACAGAGCTCAGATGTTGTTTATCATAGTTGTGAAAAGAACCTAAGGTCCTAATCTTGTACTGTATAACTAAATTTTTTTTTCTAAATAACTACATTAGACAGCTACAGTTGTCACTACATTTGTGTGACAACAGTAATATTTTCTTCTGTTCTCTTTTGTATTTGGCTTAGATTTATAACAAGCTTAAATGATATAGATTTCATTTTCATCAAACTGAAAGTAAACATGAAATGCTAAGAAAATAGTTATGAGTATGATGTGGCGGAACAGGGAATGGGAAGATAACACTACTTTATTCTAATAGTTATAGCTATGGTTGTAGTGCTGTCAGGAAATGAAGGAAATTCTTTATTGCATTTTAAATTTTGTTACATGTGAAAATTCTTCAGTTTGGTTGTGTACTTTTTGATGTGCTTTATTTATTGCCTATGACAACTTTTATGTTTTTAATTATGTAAATAGTTCTATGCAGTGCTTTTTTCTTTAAAAATGTTTAGGGGTACTCTCATTTTCCTACTCATATTGAAATACTGCCCCTCAATGAGGCCAAATTTGGATTAACAAAATGTTTAGGGGTATGCATATCCCTGCATCCCCCCAGAAAAAAGCACTGCTTCTATGTTGTTAGCCGCCTTGAGCATAGTTTTAACTATGAAAAGGCAGCATACAAATAAAATAATAATGATGAAAAAGCAATAAAACACATTTTTTTAAAAAAGAACAAGGCTATTCAGAGTTGAGAAGATGATTAGTATATACCTTTCATTTTTAACTACTATATACTTATTTCCTTTTAAGAAACTTCTAACAGTAATTTCACTACAATAGTTCATATACATTCAGAATATTTACTACCTGAGTAAGAACCAAGGGACACAGTCCAACGGACAAGAAGGCCTAGTAATGCAGTAATTGTCATTAAGCTCCATTTTTCCATAGTTGCTTTTCCGAAATCACCTTGAAACAAGAACAGAAACAATGATGTCACAAAATTCTGGCTTCTGCCCCTAAAGTTTATATACAGAGATAAATCCACAGGTAGGACAGTGAGCAAATGCAGCCTTTTTGATTATGCTACTATGGGAAAGGCAAATCCAGCGAAAGCCATTACTGCATCCAGCAAAGTAATCTTTAGAGCAAAGAATTCTCTAATGCTGCCAGGGATATCAGCAAAATCAAATTTTTACTCAGTCTCTGTTCACAAGGAGAATTTAGCTGGATGGATTACATTGGCAAAAGTGCAGATGGCTATACAGTGGTACCTCAGGTTAAGTACTTAATTCGTTCCGGAGGTCCGTTCTTAACCTGAAACTGTTCTTAACCTGAAGCACCACTTTAGCTAATGGGGCCTGCTGCTGCCGCCGGAGCCCAATTTCTGTTCTTATCCTGAAGCAAAGTTCTTAACCTGAAGCACTATTTCTGGGTTAGTGGAGTGTGTAACCTGAAGCGTATGTAACCTGAAGCATATGTAACCAGAGGTACCACTGTAGTTCCAGGAGATGTCAAAGAAAATGTAACTTCAGCTGATCATAAATTTCGGAAGTGTAATCAAAGTAACCAATCCAATTCTACAAGCTAAACCACCACTATTATTTGGGGAAAGGCCAATAGAATACAGCTGGACTAAAGGAATCACAGCCATGATCTAAGTTCTATGCATGTTTACTTGTATGTTCTGCTGCTGATTTACTCATGCACAGAGCAACACTTATTCTCTTGGTTTAAGCAGATAGGGAGCTATAATCCCACATGGCCAGAAAAGATTGAAAGGTCCCACAGTTTACATTTGACAATCAAACATACAAAATGGCAAGCCTGTCCCCAGATATCCCCCTTTAGTTCTGTCTCGTGCTAGGCCTTAATGATAGTCTAGACTAGAGCATGAATAGGGAATCTGCAGGTCTCCAGGTGTTGTTGAACTCCAATTTCCATCAACTCCAACCAGCATACTCAAGGGTCAGGATTACAGGAGTTGTAGTCGAACAACCTCTGGAGGTCCACATGTTCTTCATCTGTGCTTGATAACAAGGATAATGCCTGGTTGTCAATGGTCCATGAGTCAAGCAGTGAAGCATTAAAATGACAACATGGTACAATTCACAAACCATTGTGAAAACAAAAGCAAATCCTGACCTAGAAACTCAAAGTGTTTATCTTTTCTGAGAATCTGACAGAAGCCAGAAATTATAAATACATAAATCATGCATATCAGGAGCTGGAAAAGCTGAACCAAAATGATAAAGAGGGTGGAGCAGCTCCTCTCTGAGGCAAGGTTGTAACATTTAAGGGTATTTAATTTAGAGAAAATGCAAGAAAGAAGGGAGATGTATAAAATTATGCATAGTCTAGAAAAAAAAACAGATCAAGATATCACATATATATCAATAATATCACATATTATTAGCGCTCATGAACATCCAGTGAAACTGAATGTTATAAGGTGCAGAACAGAAAAAAGGAAGTATTTCTCTGCATAATGCATAGCTAAACCATGGAATTCACTCCCCAAGAGGTAGTGATGTCTGCCAGCCTGGATTCCTTTAAAGGAGGATTAGAAAAATTCGTGGAGAAGGCTATCAGTGGCTGACTGCCACAACAGCTATGTTCTCCCTCCACTGTTGGAGGCAGTAAGCCTTTGAATACCACTTGCTAGCAATCACAAGTGGGAAGCACGCTACTGCACTCAGCTCGGGCTTGCTGGCTTCCCATAAGCATCTGGTTGGCCACTTTGAGAACAGAATTCTGGACTAGATGGGGCACTGGCGTGATCCAGCAGGCTCTTCTTCAGGAGAGTTACAGTGCAATCCTATTCATATTTACTCAGAATTCTGCTGAGCTTAACCTATACCAAAACAGAAGTCAACCATTAAACCAAAACAGTTGGAAACTTTATCCTGTATTTTCCTGCACAATGGACATTCAAGGACTAGGTTTAATTTAATCTATCTGGGGCTCCTGATGTTCAATGGCAATACTCAATACCGTGTAATTAAGCCATAGCTTAATTCAGGTTTATAAATATTTAAAACCGAAGACTGTATTTGTCAATATTATTTCCTCTTATTCCATGCTGCAATTGCAGGTGTGTATAGGTCCCTGCTCCTGCCAACCTAGCAGTTCAAAGGCACGTCAAAGTGCAAGTAGATAAATAGGCAGGAAGGTAAACGGCATTTCCGTGCGCTGCTCTGGTTCGCCAGAAGCGGCTTAGTCATGCTGGCCACATGACCTGGAAGCCGTATGCCTGCTCCCTCGGCCAATAAAGTGAGACGAGCGCCGAAACCCAAGAGTCAGCCATGACTGGACCTAATGGTCAGGGGTCCGTTTACCTTGATAGGTTTTAGCAATAAAAATAAAATAAGACACGGCAATGGAATTACTAAGCATAAATTGCACACCAGACCTGCAATGTTGCTCTGCAGTTCCCAAGAGGTTATTCCCCCCCCCCAAAAAAATACCCAGAAGTGTTGTGGCAGACGCTTTTTCAAAAGCTCACTTGCCTACCAAAACACTCTCCACCTCTTGCCCCCGTATGTGCGCGCGCGAGGGTAGAGATGCTCAGTGGCTCAGCAGAGAAAGGGAAAGAAACTTTGCACACGCGTCCAGAACATGTTTCTTCAATAAAACTGACTACTTCACATAACCCAGGGCCGAAATGGGTTTTGCAGCAGCCGAGGCACAGCATCTAAGCAAATCATCTGAGAGGGCTGAGTAGGACCAGGGTGGCCCCTTTTGCTGACAGGGCCAACAAAACACAACCCCGAGAAGAGAAAGTCGTTGGAGTGACACCCTGTCAAAGGAAAAGGATGGGGGCGGTGGTTGGTGGTGGTGAAGCAACGCCTCCTTCTAGGACGAGGCTCTGCCTTCCCTCCCTCGAGTCGGGCGCAGCTCAGAAAGCCCGCCCCCCTTTTGAGTTTCCACTAGAGGGTCCCGCCCGCTTCGCTCGTCACCTGCAACCCTCCTACAACTGCCCGCCCCTCAAATCAATTTCTGCCAGCCGGGAGACGCCGCGCTCCCGGCTCTGGCTCCGCTCAGGAGCGCGCTCCCGATGCAAGCCCGCCTTTTTTCTCTCCCTCGCTCAGGCCCCCCTCCCCGCCAGTCCAACACGTGGCGTATCCGTTCCTTTCCGCGCGAGGCTCCCCTGCCTCGGACGCTCTCGAACTCACCGAGACTGACAGGCGCGAAGAGGAAGTTGAATGGGCAGGCGCGCGCCCGACCTGCTTTTCCTCCCCGCCTTCGTTGGTCAGGCACATGCGCAGAAGGTCCTCCTGACGCGGCAGCCGCGCGCGCGTCGTGACGTTACCGTCCCTTCCCTTCCCACGGATTGGAGCGTTCGGCTCAGTCACAGCCCTGAGCTCAAGTGCTGCCTCTCATTCGGAAGCGCGCCCCGTGGACTGGGATGGTAGCCTAGGAACTAGGGCAGTCTCTAGCAGAGCCAGGCCGGCCCTTAGGCGAGCCTTAACCCTGCACGAGGTCGAGTTTGAACACCGTGGGGGTTTGCAATTGCAGCTCCAGGGAGTTCCTTAGTAGGGCGTTTGTTACTAGAGAAGTTGCTGCGCCGTTGGCAGAGAAGAAGCAGGCTTGAATTCTGAGGGATGCTGCGCTGCATACTTTCTAAACAAAGGCTGCTGTTGTAGCACCACAGAGTAACAAGGCTGCAAAAGTTGCCAGGCTGCAAAATACTTTTATAGGTGGCAGAAGCGAGATGGAGCACGCTATATCAGGCAGCCCTACTGCATTTCCGTGCTTGGCATAAAAAGGTAAAGGACCCCTGCACGGTTAGAAAAGTACCTTTACCTGTGTTTGGCATGAAGCCCTGATCTTCAACTGATTGCAACCTGATCCAAGGTGGGTTGCAACAGGAGCACTACCTCCGTGGAAATGTATGGTAAAGGGTTAGGACATGGGTCCTCAGGGCCTGTGCCAGAAAAAGTTCTCTCTTCTGGCAGCCTGCTTGGTTTTCCACGCTGGGTGGAGAGTGCTGTGCCCTCCTCCACCATCCCAGTTCTCTTGCCTGCAGTCAATTCTTTGCCTCCTCTGGCTTAAATACAATGCTGGAAGGACATATACAGTGGTACCTCAGGTTAAGAACTTAATTCGTTCTGGAGTCCGTTCTTAACCTGAAACTGTTCTTAACCTGAAGTACCACTTTAGCTAATGGGGCCTCCCACTGCTGCTGCACCGCCGCCGCACAATTTCTGTTCTCATCCTGAAGGAAAGTTCTTAACCCAAGGTACTATTAACGGAGTCTGTAACCTGAAATGTCTGTAACCCGAGGTACCACTGTATAAAGATGGCAGGTCCCTTCCCCAAGAAGATTGCAGTCTAGATTTTGAAAGTGGAGGCAATGGAAGGAGGTCTCCAGAAGAACCAGGGTTTCAACCCTCTCTCAATCCCCAGGCTTGGCTCATTAAGAGAATTAATGGGCAAGGTTGTTGTGAGGATAAAATGATGGTGAAGAGAACCATGCTATAAATGTGATGGATAAATGAATAAAATAATGACTGTTTCAGCCAGTGAACTTCATGGCTGAAAGGGAATTGCATATTTGTGGTCTTTTTCGGCTGCAGATAAAAAACTCCCCCCCCCCCCCATTTTGTTCTGCTATTTTAATATTTTGCTTCTGTTTGTTTTATTTTAGCTTTATATTGTGCTTGGTATGTTTTTTTATCCTACTCTTAAGTCACCCAAAGGATATCACAAATAAATAAATAAATCCGTCCATGTTGGCTTAAAAGAAGCCCCCTCCATCCAGACACTAAAGCTGCTTAGTTGCATCTAAGTTGATATGTCATGAACCAGTGTGGTGTAGTGGTTAAGAGCGGTAGACTCATAATCTGGGCAACCGGGTTCGCGTCTCCGCTCCTCCACATGCAGCTGCTGGGTGACCTTGGGCCAGTCACACTTCTCTGAAGTCTCTCAGCCCCACTCACCTCACAGAGTGTTTGTTGTGGGGGAGGAAGGGAAAGGAGAATGTTAGCTGCTTTGAGACTCCTTAGGGTAGTGATAAAGCAGGATTTCAAATCCAAACTCTTCGTCTTCTTCTTCAGACCGCACCTTAGGATCAGGATATTTTATAGAATGGAAGCAGGATCTGCTTGTAGAATTCTGACGGCTTTGTAGTAGATTGGCAAGAAAAATGAAAATGAAAAATCTCCCAGTGCCATGGCAGGTGTTGTACTAATCACTTACCTCTCAGCCTAAGTGTTCCTTGCCTGCAAAATATCAATTATTGATAAGATCCTTGGAAAGTTATGCAGGCCAGGTATAAAATGTTGCATTCAAGTCCCACCCTGATCTGTCATTCAGAATCAGATTTGTACTTGTACAGTACTATAAATATGCAGGTTGTCCCCATGTGTTGCTCGTGGAATGGGGCAGACAGTTGATCCTGCCATCCACCACTAGGCTGTCAGGGTTCTAGTGAAAAGCTATGGAGATTCTTCAAGCCTGCCCCTGTAGTAGAAGGAACTAACACTGCAATATTAAGTACGTTTACTTAGAAGTCAATCCTATTGAATTCAGTGGAACGTACTCCCATTTTAGTGGGATTAGGGATTAGGATTGCAGAAGAGCTTTATAACTTGAGAATTTTCTCCCTAAATTTACACAATAGGCCTTGAAACTCAGAAACCAGCCTTTCCATTAGACTAGATGAAAGCATGGCAGATAGTCAATGCTGCTCACCTCTAGGAGGAAATGTGTGCTTTACATTGTCCAGTCTCTTGTTAATGTCCTTAAAGTAAGTATCCTAAGCAACCGCCTGCACACTTTTAGTCTAAGTATCAGGCCAGCTAAATACAGAAAAGGAGAGAAACAGAAAGATAAACTGCCGTGTCTTTAACAAATTGCTTGATTGGTTTTCATTTATAAGACATTTTAAATTAATAGAATTCAAATTCCTTCTCATTGAAATCCAATTTTAATTAGTGGAATCAATGCCTGGTATTCTTATTTTGAAAATAAGTGAGCCAAATGGTGAGCTCTGAATTAGTCTGCAGCCACCAGATGGTGACTACATATTGGGGTCAAGGTGTACATATCGATGCAGATGATGTTTGCATATAAACTCTGTTAATACAGTCTAATGTTGTTGATGCAAGAGGTGGATGCAGAATTTGTTACTCCATGGAACTGCTCAATGTCTTCCAATTGTCCATGTTCTGTGTACACATGTTCAGCACACTGATCCTTCTGAAATGTGTGGTGATATTTACAGTGGTACCCCGGGTTAAGTACTTAATTCGTTCCGGAGGTCCGTTCTTAACCTGAAAATGTTCTTAACCTGAAGCATCACTTTAGCTAATGGGGCCTCCTGCTGCCACTGTGCCGCCGGAGCACAATTTCTGTTCTCATCCTGAATCAAAGTTCTTAACCTGAAGCACTATTTCTGGGTTAGCGGAGTCTGTAACCTGAAGCGTATGTAACCTGAAGCGTATGTAACCCAAGGTACCACTGTATAGGGAAAGGGTTACAACAGTCCTATAAGCTTTCTCCTTTGTTCAACATATTCAGCCCATCAACAAGTCTTACCACTTCTGCCTTCAGAACATGGCAGAAGATGGCCCTTCCTCTCTATCCCCTCAGCAAAAATTCTGTTCCATGACCAGAGTCATCTCTTCTCTGGTCTTTTGCCTCACCTTGGTCCCCTCACATCTATCCGCCACTGGGAAGGGCCGTAGCTCAGTGGTGGAAAATATGCTTTGTGAAATGTGGAAGGCAGAATCCCCAGGATTTTTAAGGCTTGATGCAAAATCTACAGACCTACCTTTTTTACACTGTTCCTGATCACCTTTTGATATCAACTCCCCTTAATAAAGCACATAATTGTCTAAATCCAAATGATACCCCTGTCTCCAGCTTTGAGGTTCTAGGGACTTTTATGAAGTTCGGTTTTACTAGTCCTAAAACAGTTAGCGTTATGTACTTAAAAGATACAGAGCATTGGTATTACATCCACAGGAAGTATTTTAGTCAACGAGTGTGTAATGTAGCAGGTAGACATGAACTTAGCACGTCTCTCCAGATAGAAAGGGGAACGGCCTCACCAACCATAAAATGCACTTAACAGTCTATTTAATAGTGGCAGGGTCCTTGAAAATGCCATATCCATGCTAATCCAGCCTATTCTAAATCAGAATTATTATTTTTTAAAAATAATAATAAGCCAGTAAGGTAAAGCCTCCCTCCCTCACGTTCAGTTCTGATATTTAAACAGCTTGAGTAAACTAGATTGATTCTGCAATTTGAAAATTAAAAAGGTGACACACACACATTTGACTGAGACAGGGAAAGGAGATGTACGTAACTGAACTTAAAAGTTCAATTAAATCCCTTCTACCCCCTGAAGGGGGGGGCACACCAGAAGCAAAAGGAAACTTCTTTAGTTAACTGTGAATTAACTTCTATTCTTGTTGCAAAGGCGCAAAGTTGCCAAAAGGTTATACACACACACACACATTTTCTGGCTTTAAGATCTTACCACCAAGATCATTCACCCTTCCATTTAGGTGGCAGTTAGCCCCAAACCGCTACTGTAGTATAGTGGTTAGAGTGTTGGACTAGGACCTGGGAGACCTTGGGCCAGTTATGCACTCTCTCAGCCTAACCTACCTAACAGGATTGCTGTGGGAATAAGATGAGGAGAAGTATGCCATCACCTTGAGCTCCTTGGAGAAAAGGTGGGATATAAATGTAAAATAAAACACTGTAAAAACTTTCTTACAGGTGAGGCTATCAAGAGAATTGTTTCTCTCTCCATTATCAATGCATTTCTGTAGATGTAGAGGGGTACATCCTAAATCCACACAAGTGGTTGTATCTTCAGAACCAAGGAGAGCAGGTGCCTGTAGCCAGGTTGTTCAGACTCAGGCTGCAGGACATGGAGGGCAGCCTGGGAGAGCCTACAGTCTTTCAGTGATGAACTCTACATGTGTGAACTCCTTCTTTCTTAGACAATGTCAGATTTTCCTATTTGAGCGACATATATTTGGCCAAAGAGACTTTAGCAGTATATTTAAATCATACATACATAGATATCAAATACATCTCACAGATACAGTCTAAGTAGTATTTTTGTGTCCTCATAGAATATAATCCTATGCATGTGTACTGAGAGGCAAGTTCCAGTGTGTTCAGTCAATCCTAACCCCACTTAGATGGGAATAAGCCTCATTGAATTCAATGGTACTTCTTAGTAGACATGGTTAGGATTGCAGTCTTACTTCTTTGTAAGCATGTTTGAAACTGACCTCAGTGGGACCTATTTCTAAGTAGACATAGGACTGAGCTATCAATGTAATGAGTTTATCGTAGTTTTACCTGCTCCAGCCCTTCTTGATAAAAGAGTTTGCAAATTATTTTTTTAATGCGTCATCAAGTCTTCTATACTTTTGTTTGGGTCTAGTTTGGAGATTCTTTTTTATTTTAGCATTCAGCAAAGTTAGTTGTGATAAAATCCCATCGAAAACAAATGAATGTGTGGGTCACAGGGTCAAGACCTGTCGCACCATTTCTGGACTGTTGCTTCAAACAAACCTTTGAAGGAAGGGAGAAAAGTTGGCTGAGAAACCAGACTACAGCCCCATCATTGGCTGTGCTTGATGGGAGTTGGAGTCCACCATTGCTTGTCAACCTGTTCGCTAACCCTGCCAATCCTTTCGGGAGCTATTCACCATCGATTGCTTTCTATGTGCCTCGACCCTTAAATTAAGCACACATTTCCTTGGGAGGAAACCCCTTTTACACCGACGCGGTGCTTCCTTCCCAACAAAAGCCTTAGGGGGTGCCAAGTCCTCCTTTCAGTCCGCCAGAAGGTCTTATACTGTAATAAGCTCACCTAGAGGAAGGTCAAGCTGGGGCTCTTGCAACTGAAAGTAAGGCACATATGAGCGCTGCTTTAAAAAGCCATCACCCGTTTGGATTTCCAATTTCATTCTTTTGCACCTCTCAGCCCATAGACAACTCCTTTCTAATTCCGGGAAGAATTTAAAAGTGCTACCGATTTCTCTCCTCCCTGCAGCTCAGAAAATATCTTGGTGTTTTTTTCTGGCTTGCTAGTTTCTTCCTGATCGTTTCATCCAGGGTCTTCATCATTGCCCTGGGCGGCAGGCCAGGGAAAGGAGCGGGTCCACAGAACCGTCCAGCCCGCCAAGGGTTAACGTGAGGGTATTGAATCATAGAATTGTACAGCCTGGAAGGGGGCACAAGGGTCATCTTGTCGAACCCCCTGCCACGCAGGAATCTTTTGCGCAAGGTGGGACTCGAACCCACGATTTAGAGATTAAGAATCTCATGCATCCCCAGCCTTCCCACCTCCTCCCGGATCAGACTCGACCCGCCCAGCGTCCTTCCGCGCGCCCTTAACGCCTTTCCCAACCATTGATCTCAGCAGAGCTGTCAAAGTCACGGCAGAAGCGACAGCGTCGCGGTGAGAGGCGCTCGACGGCCGGAGAGGGCTGCGCTCCAGGCTGCCCTCCTCTCCTGCTGCGGGCGCTGGAAACATTGCTAGCGCGCACTTGAACCAAGCGCCGTCGCAGCTTTGCAGCCTGGGACAGAGCAAATCACGGCCAGCTCCCAGAAGGAGCTGCTCTCTGCCTTTGAGAAGGGGATGTGCAGCGGCAGGATTTCCCTGCTGTTAGATGAGAATGAATTGGGGAAGGCAAGGCTAGGGGAAGCCCCGCTCCTCCGCGTTTCCTGCCACCTCCCTGACTTGCAGCGCAGTCCTACTCGGAAGCAAGGCCCACTGAGTCTCATGGGGCCTCGCTCCCAGGAAGAAACGTGGAGTAGGATTGCGGCTGCAGTCGACGCATCAAGTCGAATGGTTCCAGGCTGCAACCCCTGCTACACTCGGTTCTTAGGGAGCGAGGTCAGTTGAACACGGTGGGTCTCTATCCTGGGCGTGCATAGGATTGCTTGCTTACTTCATTCATATCCCAACTTTTCTCCAGGGAGCTCAAGGTGGAGCACGGGAAAACTTTCTGACAGTAAGAATGGAACAATCTCCCTTGGGAGGTTGTGGACTCTCCTTCCTTGGAGGTTTTTAAGCAGAGGCTGGATGGTTATGTGTGAATGGTCACCTGGATGCTTTAGCTGAGATTCCTGCATTGCAGGGGGTTGGACTGGATGACCCTTGGGGTCCCTTCCAACTCTACAATTCTATAATTCTTTGGTTCCCCAGCCCCCCTCCTTATTTAATCCCCACACACCCAATGAGCTTCATGGCTGTGCAGGGATTCAAACCCTGGTCTCCCAGGTGCTAGTCTGTGACTCTCCAACCACTTTCCCACAATGGCTCACTTCATTAGTCATCAGCCAATTAATTGAGGGAAGGGGACCCCAATGCAGTGGATAGAGCATAAACTTTCCAAACAGGTTTAATACCTGGTAAAGTAAAGGTAAAGGACCCCTGGTAGTTAAGTCCAGTCATGAACACTTTAGTGGCCGAGGGAGCCAACGTTTGTCCACAGACAGTTTTTCTGGGTCATGTGGCCAGCATGACTAGGCTGCTTCTGGCAAAACCAGAGCAGCGCACGGAAATGCCGTTTACCTTCCCGCCAGAGCAGTACCTATTTATCTACTTGCACTTTGACGTGCTTTCAAACTGCTAGGTGGGCAGGAGCAGGGACCGAGCAATGGGAGCTCACCCCGTCGCGGGGATTCGAACCACCATCCTTCTGATCAGCAAGTCCTAGGCTCAGTGGTTTAACCCACAGCGCCACCCGAGTCCCTTAATACCTGGTACCTCCAGTTAAAAGGATCAGGAAGGGAAAGGCCACTTGCCTGCCAGTCAGAGTTGACCAGGTTTCCACCAACTTGGACCATAATTCCCATCGCCCGAGCTGGGTGGAAGGGAGTTGCACTTCAGAGCCAGAGTGTGAATGCTGGGCTAGATAGCAAATAGTCTGACCTAGTTGGATAGCTCAGTTGGTTAGAGCGTGGTACTCATAATGCCAGGGTTGCAGGTTTGATCCTTGTATGGGACAGCTGCATATTCCTGCATTCCAGGGGGGTTGGACTAGGTGATCCTCATTCTGTGATATAAGGCAGTTTTCAAGGCAATCGATAGAGGGAAACATTTGCACATGAAGAAAAACAATAGTTCTGAAGGGGGGGAAGCACATTCCATGTATATCACCTCGTGGTTTGTGGCTGATACAGCTGACCATGCTGATACTGGGGGGAAAAGTGTGCAAAAGTGTGCCCTTAGTTAAAGAGGATGGTGTAGCTCGGGAAACCAAGGATCAATGGGGCTTTGGATCAAGGGGACCCAAAATTATTGGTGCCCCACCCTTGAAAGCTCAGTTTGCAGTCTCTGTGCCCTATCCCCAGCAGGAGCTTACCACCTATCATGGACTTCTATAATGGAAAGCAAACGGATGTGGATAAGGTTGGAATGCAATCTTCCATTCAAGCCCTCGCTGCACCCACAGCTCCAAAGCTGCAGCTAAACAAGCATAGTTCAAAGCACTATGATACCCTTAACTTCAGTAGTGGTTAAAACTGTCCTGTAAGGATGGCGAGTATTATTATTCCCCTTGTTGGAGAAGTCAGTAGGTTAGCTGGTCAGTTGTGAAGTCAAACACATGTGAAATCCAATGGGAGGAGAGAGGCAAGGGGAGTTGGAATGGAAAAGCAGTGGGTGGGAATGGGGTTAAGCACTCCTCTGCTGATTCTCTTGCTCCAACCCCACCTCCCCAAAGCCACCTTTCATTCACAAACAGGGCTATCAGGTTCTTAAGCATGTTCTTAGGCCCTAAAGTAGGGGTAATAAACTCTTTTTGGCCCAAGTGCTGCATTTACCCCTGGTCCACCCACCCGCCACCTGCCATGTGTGGATGTGGCTAAAAATGGGTGGTCACTCCACATAATACACATGTGCACACAGGCAGATAACCCCCCACACACACACACAAACACAGCTGGTCCACTTCCATTCATCAAATGATTAATCTGATGAATGGGGAGGGTGGCGATTTGTATCCCTATTAGGACACTTGGCTCAGCCTATCCCAAGGATTTACCTACCTTAATATTCTGTGGGGTTTTTTTGCTGCAGCCACTCAAATTGGTTGAGTATTGGGGCTTGCAACATTGCAGGTGCACATGTGCACATATTAATATATTTTAAAATATATTTAGCATAGGAGATAACTGCTTTAAACTGAGTGCTTCTCTAAGCCTCTTGATAATTTCGCATTCCCTTTCTGTACCTTTTCCAGCACTGCAATCTCCTTGTTGAGATGGGACAACCAGATCTGTATAAAGTGTTCCAGATGTGGATGTGCCATCAATTTGCACAAAAGAGAATATCAGCACCGAGTTTTATTTTCCTTCCCTTTCCCTAAAGATCCCTTGCATGGACTTTGCCTTTTTCATAGGTACTTTTTCATAGAGCCATGACCCAAATTATTTCTTTCCTAATTAGTTCGTAGCTAGTTCAAACACTATTAATGTATATATGTGAAATTCATGAGGGTTTTTTGCCCCAGTGTGATCCACTTATACCCAGCTTAAGTTGGCGATTCACCCAGTTTGGGGAAGATCCTTTTGCAGCCTTTCCTACCCCTTTTGGTTTTTCAGACATTCAGGTATAAAATCCCTCCACCTCAGTGGCGTAGCGTGGGGGGTGCAGGGGGGGCCGGCTGCACCGGCCGCAACATCTGGGGGGGCGCGCGCTCGCACTTGCAGCTCTCTGCCCCTACCTGGCTCACTCACTCTAGGGGGCGCAAATTACTTGCCTTGCCCCGGGTGCTGACAACCCACGCTACACCACTGCTCCACCTGCAACCTAAAGTGGTACAATCCAGGAAAGGCTTTTCCACTTGATTATGCAGATCGTATAGGCCAGGCTTTTAATATCTGGCAATACAAGCAAAAGATGTAACTTAACAGCTTGGGAAGAGGCTGGCTGTTGCTGTGGTAGACAGCATGTGCTCTGCATGAACGATAAGGTCCGAGGTTCAGTCCCTGGCATCTCCAGGCATGGCTGAGACAGGCCCCTTCCTGCCTTCCCAGAAGGCTGAGCTAGATGGACCAATAGAGCCAGTGTGGCGTAATGGTTAGAGTGCTGGACTAGGACATGGGAAACCAGGGTTCAAATCCCTGCTCAGCCAAGAAGTTCACTGGGTGATCTTGGGCTGGTCACCATCTCTTAGCCTAACCTACCTCACAGGGTTGTTGTGATGATGAAATGGGAGGGGGGAACCATGTTACACCCCCTTGAGCTCTTTGGAAGAAAAGGGTGGTATATAAATATAATAAACAAAAATAAATAAAATAGCCTGACTCAGTATGAGGCTGCATAGTAGCTTAGAAAAGGTGAGAGAGGTGGCTAAATGCCCCTTCTTTCTTTGAATAGTGTGTTTCATTACAGTTAATGTTTTTTTAATGGAATAGCTGCATAAAACTGAGAATAATAAAGCCACCCCCTATCCCAATTATTATTAGCAAGAACAAGGTATTGATTCCCACCCCCCAACATGCACACACACACACACACACACACACACACACAACTCTATGGATCTCTGTATACAAGTTCCTCCACACACCAGCTGCCCCCCGGGGATTAACCCTAGAGATGTAGGGCAGCACTGACATTTTGCTTTCCTTATACAGTACATACTAAGAGCTGAGGGTGGCATGGACTCTATGAAAAGTGCCATAGCTTTTCCCATCAATTTGTCCCAAAGTTTGTACAGGTGGGGGCAGCAATAGCCTCTTTCCAAAAATTCCAAGCCCTCCAAAGAAGCCTCATCCTAATGTCTCTTTACTTCAGTTGCTGAGCCACCAGGTAAGGTCTTTCAGCTTCAGCACGGGAGAATCCAAAAGGGAGAAATGACTAAGACACAATCCATCACCAACTGTTGGCCCAGCCAAACCTCCCCCCCACTCACACACACACCATTCGTTATAATGTACAAAACCCTAAATGGCTTGGGAACAGGCTACCTGAAGGATTCCCTTCTCCTGATGAAATCTCCTGACTTTTCGACAGGTAAACCCCATATTATTTAAACAGATGTTTTGCCAGTGAAGTGATGTGTTTTTCTTCAATGCTCTATGGTTAATCTGCATCCTTGCTATAATTGTTTTATTTAACTGGGTCTGACTTTACTGTGAGATTTATTGGGATGTTGCTGACTTATTATCTGTTTGGATTTTATTGTTAGATGATTCTTAATGGAAAAGGGGGATATATGTAACAAAATAATAATAAACAACTAAAAGGGTAGTGTTCAACTAAGTCTTACTCAGAGCAATCCCATTGAAATTAATGAACCTGCCTAAGTTAGGTCCATAAATTTCAATTGGTCTGATCTGAGTAAGACTTAGTTGAACACCACCCATTATCTTGTTACTTTGAAAATGCTCCAGAGGACAGAGTGTCATGTCTGGTTAAAACAGGCGTTTGTTTTAGTTGAACAGTTGGGTGTCTGGAGGATGGCAGAGAAGAGAAAATAGAAGGACAACGAAAATGAAAAATTATGGTATTCTGAGAATTTGGATCGTGGCATGGGTGTAGCCAGGATTTTTGTTAGGGGGGCTGGTCTTTTGTTAGGGGGCTGGTGGCACTGCTGGAATTGGGAAGAATTTGCCTTCTCTTTTGCCGCCATAGTTCTGGGCAGGAAGGAACGGGCAGGTCCTGGGAATGGGGTCCGAAACGTGACCAAAATACTACTATCTCTATCGCCCCCTACACCTGCGCTTACTATACTGCAGCAACCAACGAAAAGAGCCGAATTGGGTTGTTTTTGTTGTAACTACTACTCTTCCACAGCACTTTTTTTGGGGGGGGGTGTACCGAGATGCATCTACTCACCTAACATCCCTTCCCCAATTCAAACCAGATGAAACACAAACACCCAGGTGTCTATCCTGAAAAGTATGACGTCCCTCTTGACATTGACTGACGCTTCAGAAGGGTCAGAAGGCAAACGGGCATATATTCTGCGAAATCAATGCCTAGCATTCGAGATCGATTATCTGTTCCCCAGAATTCCCCTCCCGCCTTTCTCTCGCCTGCCTATATATCCGAGCATCTGCCCAACTATATCCGCCTCCTCCCGTGTCTTGCACATCTCCCCAGTTAAGCCGCGTAAGGATGACCATCTTTGAATGATCACAACGATAGTCATCTTCTCGTGGCTTTCTCTGGGATTCTCCCCCTGTTTAGCCCCTAAAATGTAAAGTTCTCTTCCTCCTCTTGCCATGATATGACGACGCCCCAGCCCAAGATTCAAGGATAAAATGAGGCGCCCCTCTTTCTGTCCCGGTTTTCATTCAATGGGCCTGGAGGCTGGAAGGCTACGATCCAAGAGAGCAGGAGAACTCTGCGCACGACAAAAGCCCCCTAGAGGCGTCACTCTGCCACTACAAGGCTGTCATCCTTCCAGAGTCCAGCTTCACCTGCCTGCCTCTTCTTCGGACTTTTTCTCCCCGGATTCCTGGCGTTAACATCAATGGCCGCCCTCTTTCCTTCCTTCTCTGTCTCTCTCACCACAGCTCCTTATGCCTAACACTAATAATTCCAAATGCGCTTTCCTGTGGCCTTCAGCACAGGCACCAGCCATTGGGGGGTTTTAGGTTTGCGAATGCAAATGCCTAGCTCTTAACTATTCCCAGCCGCATGGACACAACCTAACGCCGTGCAGAAGGATTCGATTTAACTCAAAGGATCCACCTCTGAGCTGGTCAGAGAGCGGGGATCCCCTTAAGAAGGAGAAGCGCCTCGATCTGGAATCTGGATCCCCGATCCTTTCTGCTCGGATCAAGGAGCTGCTCTGATACACGCAGAAGGAGAAAAACAGAGAGAATTTTATAATTCCTGTTGAAACTGGAAATTCCCCTAACTCTACACCTTGGTGCCTGGTACCCAAGCAGCAATGTCCTTCCAGATTATCATGCCCTATATATTCTCTTGCACGCCACGAGACAAAAAAAAGGTCCAAGCAGAAAAGTCTCGAGGTTTTCCTCTCTCCTCCCCCCCCCTTTCCTTTCTGTCAAGCGGAGCCAATTGGGCAGAAAGTTGACGGCTCTCTTTCCCTTGCCCTCCCTCCTTCTCTTCTACCTCCAGATGATGCCCGGGGACGCCTTTGGGTGTGTTGCGTGGACCTTATTCCACTTTAAACCAAAAGGCTTCTGTTGACACTCAACACACACACACACACACACACACACACACCCTCCCCTCCGCCATGCGAGGCATTGGAGCTATGCGCGGAAATATGAAGGGAGTAATTTTATAAGTAACAAAGGATCAGGGCTGGAATGAGCCCTCTGTTATCCAATGTCATGGCGAAGGCCTGGCTCAGCAGCAACGGCGAGCCGGCCCGTGAATTCAAGAAGAGCCCCCTTCCTCTTTTCCCAGGGGTATCAGCTAAATATAGACCGGGGTTTTGCACAACCCACGGACCATTTGCTGTTTGTGTAAAAACCGATTAGCCAGACACAACTGTGAAACAACTTGTGACTTTTATAGCGGCAGCAGGAGGAGAGGCAGCAGCGCACCGAGCAAGTTAAATCCGTTTCTCTGGCCTTGGAAGAAAAAATAAATAAAAGGAAAAGAGAGACAGACAAGCAGAGAGATTTTTTAAAAGGAGAGAGAGAGAGAGAGAGAGAGAGAGAGAGAGATTTTGGTAAGGGGGGCAGAAAGGAGCGAAAATGGGAGGCCACAGCGGCCCGACGGGGGGAGGACGGAACACACACACACACACACACCCGGTGCTTCCATGTAGGGACCTGCTTGGAAAAGCGGCTGATACCTAATCGCCCGCTTGGATGAGCTGCCTGTTTGCCTCGGAGTGTCAAATGATTAGCAGGTCCTTATTTATAAAGTTCAAGCACTCGCTCTCCGCCTCCTCCCCGCCGCCCCCCCCCCCCGGTCACCAGGCAGCTTACTTTATTTTCGTCCACATATCCCGAGGTCTAAATGTTTACTTAGGGTGGAATAATATTTATGGTTTATCTGGAAAACAAATTGTGCACCAGGCAAGGACAGCGGCCCTCCTTAAAGGCGCATCCAGGCGAGTATCCAGCCTCTTGCCTGCGCTAAAGGAAACTGAGCAAGGCCCGTTCCTGACCAGGGACAGAGCAGAACGAAATCCTTGCCTTTCCTCAACTGACAAAGCGCATGTTTTGTTCCAAAGAGAGAGGGGTCATTTGCACTTCCACTGCCATGTATAATACATAGATAGATAGAGATATCAGATATATACTCGCGCGCGCGCCATACCCATATTTCCTACCCTTTGAAGCTTTCGGTTGTCTCCTTTCTTTCAGAATGCAAACAAATTCGCTCCGAAATGGTTTATATCACGCCATAGGGTGGGATCTACATTCTCAGAAAGTCGAGGGGAAAGGCGCCCATTGAGTCAAATGGCTCCCCTCTCCACCTCCTCGCCAGGCCCCTCCGTGACTTAAAATATGACCCCAAATATCCCCATTTCTCTAGCCACAGATCTCTATCTACAAGGCTACTGATATATAGGAATAGCTATAGAGACGTCTTTACCCGATCGGACACAGCAAAAAGGCACGATTTCCTGCTTCAAGACATTTTTTTTTTCCTTCGATCATCGGTTTGTAACGCACACCTTCTTTTTTCCATCGCGCCGCAACCTCACCGCGTAGCTGCTTGTTAAAAGAGGAGCTTTCATTCACAAAGGTGGGTGATTCTGGGTTGTGCCCTATACCTTTGTTTCTATTTCAGGAAGGGGAAAAAAAACAAAAACCGTTCCAAGCCTTTAGTTCGAAAACCTGGAGTTAAATCCCAGTATTCCCAGACATCGCACAAAGCGACCCACACCTTCAGAGTCGAGCAGGTGAGAAGCCTGACGCCTTTTCCTCTGCTGTAAAAGCGGGAGGAAATGCATTATTTGGGTAAGGAAAAGGAACCTTGGCGGAGAATTTAAGTTAGCCGGTTATTGGATGAGAATAGAAAACTTAATTTAATTTTTGTTAATGCTGATTCCGTCTTTAATTCGATTTCCTCTCCTATAGCTTTGTGGGGGGAGGGGTGTGTTGTCCTTTTACCACCACCACCGTGAAACAATTTGGCCTCAGCGAACAACCCTGGTCCAGCTTGCTTTATTAACGAAGGCATTTTCAGTAACCTGAGATCTTAAAATCTGTATATAAGATCCTTTGCGAAATTAAAACTGGCGCTGCGTAATTTTGCAGGTATTTAAATGGGAAGTTGTCTTTATATGTTTTCCATCATCAACATCATTATTTTAAAAATGTTAAGGGCGATATTTTTCGTGGAATCTGTGATAGCTACCCTTCGCCTATTTCGTTTTAAGGCATCGGAATGCCCACCTTTGCGGGGAAGCGAATCCCAGCGATTTAAACGGAATCTTCTCCCACCTGAGGGCCTCGACTTCCTACCTGACGCCGCGAAATTGTTTTTCCACGGCACTCTGCCTCGAGTGATTTCACACGCTCCCATCAGTAGGAAGTCAACAACCAAAAGCACCGTTTTAAAAATTTATTTACAAAGCTGTGTACAACACGAAGGGATAACATTTAGAATACATATATTCATTCATATATAAACAGACTTCTATAATAGAACGATAGGGGAATTCCCCTATTTCATTTTTTGCTCGATTTCTTTTTGTTCTTTTCTTTTTCTCCTATCCAAAGTCAAAATGCCTCCCCTCATTATTCAGGTGTGTGTTCGGGCTTATTTTTCCCCTGCCGAAGGAAACGACCGAGGAGAATAAGAACCTTCAACAAAAGTGAAAGTTCGGGGCTCCCAATCCTTTGCTTGCGCGCGTGTGTGTTTCCTTTATTTCCCCCCCAAATGTGGCTCGTTTTAAAAAAATAAAAACCGCAAAAGGGAAGACAGCCTTTTGCCTCCCGCTTTCGCCCGAATACAAATATGTACAAATACTTTGCCGTGGGATTTTGAGCGTTAGGCTTTTTTTTACCTGCACAGACAGACACAGCATTCCTTTTTGTACGTGTGAGCGGGAGCGCGAGAGTTTTTAAGCGCCGGAGAAGCGTCCGTGCAACGGTTCGGCCTCCAAGAGGGCGCCGTCCAGGAACCAGCGACTGGAGTCCCAAGAAGTCCGTGGACTTTGCCGCGTTCCGTTCTTCTTCGGAGTCTCTGCTGTCTCCGGAGACGGCGGGTAGAAAATCTTTACGACCGTTTCTTATTATAAAAAACCCCAAGAGCCGTCCTAAGAGCAGGAGCGCGAGAGGGGAAGCATCCCGCGGGGGCCCCGTCGAGCCTACTGCGCCGGCCACTTGGCCTGCACGGGCGCGGCAGAGGCGGCGGGCTGCAAGAACTGTCCCGAGATAATGTTCGTGGGCACGCTGAGGATCGGCGCGATGGCCGCCGTGCTCCGCGCCAGCGAGAGCGGCTGGTGCGCCAGGAGGCCCGACTGGACGGTGACCGGCGGCCGCAGGAAAGTCTGCGCGCTGGCGGCCGACGACGTAGCGGCCGGCCCGCCGACGCAGCCGATGATGTTCTCGATGCTGAACGACGGCCGACTGCTGGGCTCGGCTTTCACCCCCGACGAGGCGGCGGCTGCGGCGGCGGCGGCGGCTGCAGCGGCTGCGGCTGCGGATCCGGCGGCGCTGAGTCCGCTGAGCTGGATCTGCAGGCTGGGGCTGAGCTGGGAGTTGAAGGCTTTCCGGCTGAGCTCGCTGGACGGCAGCAGCGGCACAGCGGGAGGCAGCATGGGCCCGACGGGGGGGATGTAGGGGTACTGCAGGGCGGCGGCCGGGTGCGGGTAGGCGCCGTGGGGCAGGCCGTAGGCTCTGCCGTAGGGCCCGGCGGCGGCGGCCGAGGCGGCGGCGGCGGCCAGGCTGTACGCGCCAAAGCTGTGCATCATGAGCGCCGTCTGTTCGCGCAGCTGCTCCTGCTGGTGGCGCTTGAAGCGCTTCCTCCGGCGCAGGAAGGAGCCGTTGTCGAACATGTCCTCGGACTGCGGGTCCAGCGTCCAGTAGTTGCCCTTGCCCGGGTTGCCCGGCTCGCGGGGGATCTTGACGAAGCAGTCGTTGAGCGACAGGTTGTGTCGGATGGAGTTCTGCCAGGCGGGGAACTTCTCCCGGTAGTAGGGGAAGCGGTTGCTGATGAACTCGCAGATGCCGCTCAGCGTCAGCTTCTTCTGCGGGCTCTGCAGGATGGCCATGGTGATGAGGGCGATGTACGAGTACGGAGGCTTCACTAAGCTGCTCTTGGGCTTGCCGCCGCTGGAGGCAGCAGCAGCGGCCGCCGCGGCCCCCGACGGCGCTCCCCCCGATGGCGCTCCCTCCTCGCCGGCCAGCTTCTCCTCGACGGGGCTGCCGCCGTTGCTGCTGCCGCTGGTCGTCGTCTCCGCTGCCTCTTTGGCCAGCAGCAGCTCTGCAGCGGCCGCCTCGTCGAGGGCCAGCTGGACTGGCAAGCCCGACGACGCGGCCAGTGCGCTGGGGCTGCAGCCGGCCTCGCCGTCGCTGGCCCCTCCGCCGCCGCCGCCGCCGCAGCCTCTCTCCTCCAGGCCGTCGTCTCCCTCGCCCACCACGTCGATGTCCACATCTTCGGCCGTCAGCACCGCCTGGCCGGACATGTCGCTGGAGCTCAGGCTGCCGGACAGGGTCATCACCGCTGGCGGGAGGGTGGCGGGAGACGGAGAGCGGGGATTAATAATAATATCGCGGGTAATACTACTACTAATATTTTTTTTAAAAAAGCAAAACAAAACGAGGAAGGGTGGGGGCCAGCCAGGCGCCCGGGAGCCAATCCAGTCCCCCTCCTTCGAAGATCCGTCTCCAACAGGTAGCGGAGCTGGCAGAGGAAGAGGCTCCCCCCTCCCTCCTGCTCCTCCCCCCTCCTTCTTCCTCCTCCTCTTCTTCCTCCTCCTCTAGCTGCCGGCCTCGGCGCCTTCTTCTCCCCGGGCAGGCATCTGGGAACAGCTCCAAGTCCTCTCGGAGCGATCTCTCAGCCGGGTCTCCCTCTTTCTCTCCGATCAAGGATCAGGATAGTGCTGGTAGCAGCGGCGGCGAAGAGGGACTCCCCCACCAGCCCCTCCGTAAAGGACAGCGACGGCAGCAGCGACGGGGCGGCGGCGAGGAAGAGGAGGAGGAGGCGAGGACGGTGGGGAGCGGGGGGCGTCGGGTGGGAGGGGGAGGAGGAAGGCGGCTGAAGCTGCTCTCCGCTCCAACTCCTCGCCTGGCTCCTCTTCCGGGCTGGGATCACTTCAGGGCTTCTTCCTCGTCGGGGAATCGTCTCCGCAGGCGGCAGGAGAGCGCGCATCGGAGCGCCCGGGCGGCGAGGCTGTCCCCGGCCGGAGGGATCGCGCGATCTGCTGCTGCTGCTCGCAAGTCATCGGAAGTGCCGCCGGCGCTGCAGGTTAGATCCCTGTCGAGCCGCTCTCCCCATCGCGGGGCTGGGAAGCTCCAGCCACGGCTCCAGGCTTTGACTATAACCCCCCTACTTCTCAATAGACACCTCCTTTCCTCTCCACCTCTTCTCTTTTTAGGATCTTTCTCCCTCTCTTTCCTGCCCTCTCCCTCCTTCTTTTCTTGCCCCCTCCCTCTAAAGGTTTAGGCTGGTGGTCTTGCGGGAGGGGGGGAGGTGGTGTCTTTGCAGCCAAGAGAGAGAGAGGGGGAAGGAAAGAAGGAGGGCGGGGGAAGCGACGGGCGTGAGGAGGAACTCGTTGGCCACTTTGAAAGTCCCTTTTGAAAAAGGCTCGCCTGATAGATTACTTTCCCCGTGCAAGATATACTAGGAGGCGGGGCCACGTGGTTCCCTGACGTCAGCGCAGCCCCGCTGGCAAGCCAGGCAAAACTCAAGTTGTTGCGCGGAATTGTCAACAAAGGGACAACAGCGGCTCTCGCGCCCCCTTGGTCGCAGCCGAGTTATCAGTGCAGACCCTTCAGGGAGGCTGTGGGGGTGGCGGGGTGAGGAGAGAGAGAGAGAGAGAGAGAAAGAAAGAAAGAAAGAAAGAAAGAAAGAAAGAAAGAAAGAAAGCACCTTTGACACGTGAAAAACACACAGAGACCCTCACAAGCCCCCTCTTCGCTCTGCCTTCATTTTAACTATCTCGTCCGGCAACTTTCTTCTGTTGGGAACGAAAGGAGGGCTCAAATTATTCCATCTACGCATCTGTCAATAGAATAAAAAATCAAAAGGCTGAAATTTTGCGAAAGGCGGAGGAGTTGCTCTTTTAAAGAACTCCATGCTCTTTCTGTCAAAGTAAATAAGATAATGTCAGATAACAAAAGGGGGGAAGGAGTCTCCAGCTGTGCTAAACGGGCCGGGATCAAATTCTGAAGGGATCATCGCCAGGACCAAGGACCAGCCCCTGGTTTATTAATTTATTTTAATTTATTTTGAGAACACGCGCACGCACACACACACCAACAGCCACCACCAGAACTACTTTTGGTCTGTGAAAATCACACCCCCACCATTGTTTTGGTTTTTCCTTCCCTTCCTCCCCCAGCTTCCCAAACAACGGCAGCATCTGCGGGGAGCCGAAGATAAGAAAATAGCTATTGATTAATCTATTAGGTCAGTTGCAGAGAAGGAATAAAACAAAAAAAGACGTAAAATAACAACAACAACAACAACAAACAGAGAAACAAAAACAAAAACCCGCACCACAAAAGAAGAAAAAAAGAGAAAATGTAAATGCAGAAATCTTTAGCTTTGTTGTGACTGGTATTATTTTGCCGAGGTGCTAACGAAGTAGAAAGGACGGCGCGTTAGCATATGCAAAAGTAGGAAATGGGGCGGGCGGGGGGGGGGAGCTGTGTGCGAATGAAAAAGCTCCATTCAGCTCCGATCAAGGTGGGGTTTCTCCCAAGGAAGTAGAAAAGCTGGGGGGGGGGGGAGGAGAGGAGGGAGTCGTCAAAGTTTGTTGCAAATTCCTATTTCCTTTTCTTGTGTCAGAGATGTCAATGGAGAGCAATAACTTCGGGTTTAGGTAGGAAACAGCCCGCTCCGTGGGTGGCTTTGTTTTGTGTTTGTTCATCCTGTGTATTGTTGCAATAATCGCCTGTGATTTGGGAGGCGATGTGGATAACAAACACCAACAACCGTCACAAAAAGGGGAATTGGATGAGGGGAGAAAGGACAGCCTTCAAACAGTTCCAAATAAACCAGAAGGCGATATACAGACACAGATTTAATTTAGATACATGATAGATATAGATAGATAGATGATAGATATAGATAGATAGAGATAGATAGATAAATAGATAGATAGATATAGATAGATAGTTATAGCTATATTCATATTGTATATGAATATCATTTTGCAGACAAATCAAACTATTTCCACCCCAGCAAAATATATATAGGTTTATATAACTCAGTGGCGTTACTTCTGCCAGCGCAGTATCTGTATCTGTCATCCAGGTTAGTCTATAAAATGTGGGTCAGTCTTTGTAAGGACACGGGGAAGCTGCTACGGCGAGGGTGTCGCGGTGGGGAACTAAACTGGGGAATAAAGAGGTCGAGGGGCGAATATTACACGCGTGGCACTGGGAAAATACAAGATTGATTTATTCCGTCCTCCCTCCTCCACCAAACCCAAAGAAACCGGGGAGGGGAGCCATAGGAGTAAATCTAATTTTCGGTGTGTATGTTGCCTCTGAATTGTTTGTTCACACGAGAGGGGATAGGCGTTCGCTGTTTCACCTATTCGGGAAACTGGGACAATCCGAAGTTTTCGAAACTGCTGAGCCCTTGTCTTGCGGGGAGGTGGGGCTGCTCTTCGGCCGCCTAAAAGGGGTCTCTCTCTCTCTCTCTCTCTCTCTCTCTTTCAGCGTAACTTGATCTGCTAAATGAACACGAAGGTAAAAAGAAGCCGAGCTGCAGGGCATAGCTGTCGACGTTTTCCTTTAAAAAAAAAAGGAAATTCCCTTATTCCGAATAGGATTCCTCGCAAGAAAAGGGGAAAGTTGACAGCTATGCTTCAGGGTCCTTCTTTGCGTCTGGGTTTATTTTATTTTATTTTATTTTATTTTATTTTATTTTATTGTGTCCGTCCCCCCCAAATCGCTACCCCTCAATTTCTGTAAAGGAAAGGATTTAAAAGAAACTCCTCTGAAATAAGCCAGCACCCACCCCACAAGCCCTCATCACGTGCTTCTACTTCTTCTTTTTAATAAAGAAAACTCAAGTACGAACTTGCTCTCTGGGTCGCGGTGGGGAAACGGACTGGACGTTAGTGTATTTCTAAGTATCGATCAAAAACAGTGGAGAAATGTTATCTTTTCGCTGAGGTGCTGATCAGGGCGGCGAGGTAATGAGATGCTTGCTTGGGGGAAATCCATAAGGGGGGGGCGGGTGCGTGAAAATCCGCCGTGCTTCGCCCAATTTCGCATATCCTTTTTCTTTTGGTGAGGATGACAGTCGTTTCTATTGATTTCCGTTTTTTGTGTATTTTTTTTTTAAATTTCCTTCAAATGATCCCAGTTTTAATGTTGTCAATCCGGTCCATAAACTCTCCCTTTTTTTCTGCGAGGAATTGGAGTTAGCCCATTTATTTTATAGCATCTGCGATCCACACAACAGGATTCCTTTTAAAGAAAGGAATAATGAGCTCCTAAGTAGGATCTCCTCGTCCTGGTCCTCCTCTTTCTTCTTCCTGGGGTCTTTAAAATAAAAGTTGTCCCTTTGGCTGAGCTCTGCCCGGAGTCTGGATGACCTCTCTGAGCTGGAGATCTCCGAGAGAGAGATCCTCTCTTCCCGAAATCTCTCAGGGAAATGTAAACGGGGAGGAACAAAAACAAAATGCGCCATGACCCACGTTAAAAGCCTCGCTTTCATTTGTTGCGCTTTTTCCCCTTTCGACACAATAAAAGTCAAATTAATTGATTCATACCATTAATTACGGTGCTTAGCGTGAAAAGAAACGTTTCCCCTCGATTAGAGATCTATTGTGCTAATCTCTTGTTCAATCAGTGTTACCATCTGATGCGGGTGGGGGGGGGGAGAGAGAAGGCGCAGAGAGGAGGAGAAGGAGCGGGGGAGGGAAGAAAAGAAAAGGTAAACCCCCCTTTTGGACAGAAAGTTTGGGTCTCCCTTTGGCGTTGAAGGGAGCTCTGAGCGGGAAGGCTGGCCGCTGTCGTCTCAATCTCCTTTTGCCATTCATTTCCATCAAATGACTGTGGGGTTTGCGGGGGGGGGGGGAAGGCGGAGTGGAAAGGATTTGTCATCCGGACTACGGGTCACTCTGAATATGGTGGCCACGTTGGGGGCTGTCTTGCCCTCCTTGTCCAGCATGACAATACAATAAAATAAAATGGAAAAAATGAAAAGCGTTGCTTTTGAAAGCAGCGCCCCACCCCCGCTACCCCAATAAGGCTGCGTCCAAATATATTGGGTGGAGTGGGTGGAAATGGGTGATATGGTGGTGGTGGTGGAGGAGGTTGAGGTGTATGGGGAGGGGAGCAGAGAAGAAGGAAGGTCACCGTCGAGAAAGCGCCTCTGCAACGGGCCAGTCCATCTGACAGTGCTCGGGTGTTAAGTAAATCCTGTTTTAAGCCTAATTGAAGTTTGCTCTTAAAACCCACACGTCTTCAATCATCAGCGCTAAGCTGAGCTGGGATGTCGGGCGGGCAGGAGGGGGCGAGAGCCAGGGAGGGAGTGGCGGGGGGGGGGAGAGAAACCCTTTTATAATAATAAGCAAACTTTCACAGGAGGTGTGTGGGGAGAGGGTACTGAGAGGCACCCAATTTGGAAGAGTTTAGGGTGGCTGCCCCCAGCCCCTCTATCTATCTATCTATCTATCTATCTATCTATCATCTACCATATATATTGTGGTTGGGTGAAGAAGAGCTGTTGACCTTACTTGAGCTACTAGAAGTAGAAAAGAGGTTGTGTGCATGTGATATATACGCACACAAAAGATTTAGCAACGAGAGGCAAGGAAACTGTACAGCCTAGATCGATAAGGAGTCAGATAGAGACATAACCAGCATCAAAGCCGGGAGCCGAGGTTGCGGGTGGGGTGGGGGGTGTGGAGAAGAGAGAGGAGCAACTTATGATGGAGAGGAGAAATTAATTCCCGTCCCCTTCGCTTCTAATGCGACCAAAGCGAGAGAGTATCTGGCCGGGGAAGCGAGTTGAAGATGAATCCGGACACCAGGTGGGACGGGAGGTGGGGGGGGGGGGGCTAGAGCGAATCGCAACGCTGGACTCAGATCCTCTCTCTAATCTTTTCAAGGGAAAGGAGGGACCCAAGGTGTCCTCTTTCCTCTCCTTAACCCAATTACTTTCCCAATTAATTAGGTATATATATC